TCATTTGGTCTGAGCTTACCTAACATAATGAATAGAAAATAAATTATTGTTGAAAATTATGCAATGTACACAATGTTTGATTAAACAGATACTTTGATCAACTGGTGTGCTTGCACTTCTAGAAGAAGAAGATCACGCATTCTCACATATTTGACCTATGACGTATGCGCCAGCTGATCGTTTTATTTTATTTTATAACCGTCTTGAACAGTCGCAACCCAATTTTTTGGGTTTACGACAACTAATGTTCTACTCCGTAGACTTGTAATTTTGAACCCAATCCAGAAGACAAGGGAACTCCTGTATCGAGTATCGGGAGAAATTTCTGCCATTGTGGAACACTTTTTTTTGAGGGAACTAACCCGCATTTGCGTTTCATGGAGAGGAAGACCACGAGAACTTTCCACGGTTAGCCTGAAGGTAAGGGGACTCTAACCCATGATCCGTTTACCACTGAGGATATTTCACGTCAGCACTGTGGTGGGTGCGAGCCGGATACGGAATTCGTATCGACTGGGATTCGAACCCGGTTCGCCTCATTGGAAGGCGAACGCTCTATCCCATGAGCCATCGCGGCTCAATAAATTGACCCGGACGTGATTTGAACACAGCTGATCGTTTGTAAGCAAATTGGTGTGTTTGAAGACGTGTTAAGTTTCTCCACATAAACTAAAATGTTAATTAACGCGAAGTTAATTAAACGCTCATCGAACCGCATCGCTCATCGAATTTATTGAAATATAATTCTTAGGTATCCAATTATCATTGATCAAAACATTGCAAAGAAAAAGTGTCTTTAGTTTAATTTGTAACAATCCTTAATGCTTAAACCTGCATGAAACATTCAATATTGAAATGTAATAAAATTAGAGAACGATTTTGAAGATCGGAGAGCTGTAATTGTTCGTAACTCATTCAAATTTAAATGCTATTACACAGACAGTTCTGGAGTTATAATGAAAATACACAGACACAGACAAATTCTTTTTTTCTCATAAAACCATTCAATCTTCTAAATGGTTTAATAATTATGTTTTTATCTAGTTTAGAGCGTGATAAAAGACAATGTATTTTTCCTCACACTGAACTTAGAAATGCGGAAACATTGACGGCTCTTTTCTGTCATGATAATTGGATTTTTCGACTTTAAGCGATGTATCTCAAAACCTATTAAATATAACTGAGTGGAATTTGGAATACTGATGTCTTAATTACTTTAATTTGTTTTACTAATAAAACCCAAGACAAAATTTTGTTTTGAATTTCTTGCTTAGTTTCTTTTTAAAAATAATATTAGAAAAATACAAAATTTTAATTTCGAGAGTTTTTTTTCTAAGTACTAAATCAAAATTTCTAAAAACAATAAAAAACATGGAATTTTTATTATTCAAAACAAATAAAAAACATTGATTGTTGAAGCATAATATCTTAAATTGTGTTAAAACTTGGTATCAATTTGTTTTAATTTGTAATATTTTAAAATTCGGAATTTTTTTTAAAGATGTGTAGAAGATTTATGAATATTATTGCTATATAAAAAATTTAAATTAGTGCGTGAATTTTTTTAAAAAAAAAAGCTTTATAAATGCGTCTCGGGCTCCTTGAAAATAAAAATAGGGTGTTTGAAAAGCTGGAGAAAAAAGCTCTCATTTTAAATATACAAGAATCCCAATCAATCCCTGTGGTGTGGTTGATTTTGCTCAATTCCTATTTTTTTAATTTATTTTAATTAGGTCAAATACAATCCTGTTATAAAATATTCTTATTGTTAGGACTAATCATAATCTATGATACCCTACTCTAGTTTCATTAACAGTAAGGGGTGTTCATGGCTTTATTTTCTTTATGAGAACAAAGTAGGTTATAGTTTATCTGAAAAAGGTTTTGCTTGTTGGCAGTATATGTACTGACAGCTTCGTTAATTGTAGGAAAATGTAGTTTCATTTTATTTATCTAATTATCATAGATGACTGGCAATATTATTCATGCAATTTTATTTTCGAAATAAAACTGCGGCTCCTACATAAATATTTACTAAACTTCTTTTATTTTATTTGGCGCAGTATTTAAAGTGCTCAAATTATTTTTACACAGCTTCTCTAACAATAAGATATTTTTCTTTGTTTAATCGTTTTTATTATCCTAATTTTATTTTAATAAACACCGAAAAAAGATAAATAAATAGGTTTGTACAAATATTCTATCTTATATTTCGCATATTTTAAAACTTTTTTTCTATTTAAATAGATATTGTAAAACTATTAAACATAATATTTTCCAAGTATTTTTTAATTTTTTTTTTAAATGTCATTTAATTTCATGAACGAGAGGTCATTTGTGATTTAAAGATTCATCTTAATAATTGCAAAATAATCAAAGATTACTTTTAGTTAAATCATTTTTAAAATATTCCAGAAAAATTTCCCTATCCTCCCTAACTATTAACACAAAATCAAAATACATTAATGCCTCATATTGGCGTGTAATTGTATTAGTTATCTAGAAAAACAGCTTTTAAAAATACGCCTTTTTTTTTCCTTTCATTAATAGGGCTTTTCATCCTAGTAAAAACAAAAGCTTCCCATATTTAATCTCCTCCCCATTGAGGTAAAGCATAACTTCAGCCAAGCGGAAAGTGTTACTATTAATAGCATCTTTTAACAGGAGGGGGTTTCTTTGTTTAGACTTTGAATGAGTTAGCTTTTTTGAGTGATTTATGAATCTCAACCAAGAGAACTCAGCCCGTTTAGAAGAGATTTCTAACAAATATGTTTTGATTTTTAAAATTATTTAGTTCAAATTTAATACAATGTTTTATCACTTGGAATTAATTAATGTGTTTTACCGTGTTTCTTGGCATGTTTGTGTTTTAAACCCGTAATTTTTCTTTTATTTTATTTATGTATGATTTCAATCTCTTGATTATAGTTAAAAATATTTTTTATTTTCATTTTTTTTTTCGTAACCTGAGGGAATTCGTTTTCTATATGACTTGAAATGTGCTAAGGGACATATGCCCTTCTTAAGAAAGGAAAAAAAGTACCAAAAATGTACAATTTCATTAAAAAATGCTCAAAATCTATTAAAATGCATATGAATAAAATAAAAAAATTTTATTTTTATCCATTTTTAGTAACTATTATCCTTTTTTAAATTATTCTTTTTAATAAAATTTGATTTTGCCCTCTTATTGAAAAAATATCATAATTAAATTATTCAGAAATAATAAATTAATAGGATATATGTGAATGGGTGATTAGAAAAGTATGCATATCATTATTACTTATTATCACTTTTCTAATTTTAAATAAGTATTATTCGTGTTCTAATCATCCATTAACATATTAAATTATAAGCACTCATTAAGGAAACATAATATTAAATTTGTGCAATTTAGTACAAAGAGTTTTCTTTTTCTTAAAAAATATGTAAAATTAAAATTTATACTGTGTAATCGCAGAGTTCTCCCTAGGAATTAAAAAAAGGCAGGGTGCTTCCTCACAGAAAAGGGTACTTTGAGTTGTGAAAATGTGACTCACTTAACACAGTAAATATTTATCAAAATGTGTAATATTATGTAATAACTGAATTTGATCCTCAAAAATTTTTAAGTTACCGTCTTATACTATTTTATGTGTATATTTCAAAAAGTAATATTCACTCCTTATCTCAATACGAGAAAAATTTGCAGTTTATAGTTTGTAGTTTTTCGGCAATTTATACTGAAAAATATTAAGAAATGAAAAAATACAATACAATTTAGGTGTTTGTCATTGGCAGATTTTTATATTTTCTGTAGCCTTTTTGTTACAAAATTTGACAGTCGAAATTTTACGTGGTACAGAAAAAAAGCTAATTTAATTTTAAATGATTTTTAATTTAATACGGAAGAACATGGAATATGGAAGAAACTTATCATTAACAAGTTGCCGCAAATGGCTACTATGGCAATCCTATTTGTGACAATATGTAGGCAAATTACGACTATATCTGTCTTAAGAGTGTCTATCGTCTCAAATAAAAATCTTTTTTAGTGGATCTGCTAATTATCTTTTGTATCGAAAGTCAGGAGTATCGAAAACATTAGTAATCTCAGAATCATCGAATTGGAATCTTAAAAAACATCGAACGTGGAATGATGGTCTCGAAAATTTTCGCCCCTAGAGAAGGCACACCCTGCTTCTGCTCACTTTAATTAATAATAAAATGAACATCATCAGTACGAAGTGTACTAATACATTTATTTGTTAACTATTCAGTTATACAGTAAAAAAATGTAACATCCCAGTTAACTCATAAATTTTTTGGAAGAGAAAATATTGTTGCGATTGAGCATATGACGATTATAGTTGGCGATAGTTTTCACGGAAAAATTGACAAAAGTGACAAGTTTCACTTCCAAATTTTAATTGTTTGTATAATTGAAAAAAAAAGTGTTTTTGAATAGCAGCAAAGTGTTAAAAACTCACGTTTAAACGTAAAGTATTACTGAATTATTATTGTTAGAAACGCAACTTCAACTTAAAAGGAACGATTTAGTTTAGTTATTACTATGATCTACTTTTTATTAACTTAAACTACTTTAAAGAAATTTTTTTTATAATAAGTCATTATAAAAACATTTTTTTAAAAGTAATAAATATAAAGCTAGAAGAGTTATCATAAAATAGAGCAAAGCAGTAAACATTTTAGAAATATGAATTCATTTCATTTAAAGTTTTGCACTTATTCTTTGTCTTAAGAAAAAATACTGCATTTTTTTTTCATTTAAAAAAAGCAATTCTACAATTTCTATTTTGACTTCTAATTGTTCTATATGTTGCTTCCGGTAAAGGAGTGAGTTCTTGAGTCTTAAGTAATATTAAGTTTTATTATAAGCCAATAACAGTGATGGTTCCATGATTGATTTGAATAAATAATTTAAACCTCAATTAAAAATGAAATTTGAGAAATTAGAAGAAAAAAGTATTCAAAAATATCTTTAATAGAAATGTACTTACGAAATTTTCTCAAATGTCTCGACAATTTCATTTTTAACCATTTAGTTGGAACATTTTAACTTTCCTACTTCTACATGAACTACTATACAAAAAAGAATTACAATTCGTGTAAATCAAAAGATAATTTTACAACAGATGGTGAACTTCTTTTGATTATCTTTATTGTTCGTTACTACTGATATAGAACTCTGCCAGAATTTTAATTTTCTTTTATGATTATTCTATTCTTTCGTTCAATTCGTTAAGTTTAATTGGCAAAAAATCACAGATACCTACTTCGTTTCTTAGCGGAAATATACTATTGCTTAAAAAAATAAATATTTATCCCCTAAAATGAAACCCTTTTTTAGATTGCTTAGTTGTACTTTATTTAATTAAATATTTAAAACAAACGACAAAATATAAAAAATATTGGTTATTTGGGTTTTAAGAATACACTTTGGGGAGAGAGAAATAAAAATAGTAAGAGAACAAGATCATCTAAATCACAAGTGGACTTATTTATTTATTTATTTTGGAACAGAACGAACATGGTTCTGATTTTGAAGGTTAAAAAAATATATTGACACATGTAAAGTCAATGCGGAAATGTAAATTATTATTATTTTCCTTCGTAGCTTTATTAATGCCAAGTGTTTAAGAACAAATTTCTATCAATAGTTGTTAAACCGTTTCTCTGTTCGCTGGCGCATAGAATAAAAAAAACTGTTATTATAATATTAATTAATAAATAAAATAAATAAATGCATGATAACAGATAATATTAGTTAATTAATAACTTTGTATATTAATGGAATAAAAGGTCCAGATTGATCATAATTCTGAAAAACCCCTAACGAACAAGCATGTTCTTGTAGAACAATGACCAACGGAATTTATTTGCTTTCTTACAACAGGGTTCATATGAACCATGAAAATTCTGAAGTGCCGTAGTTATATCGATGCAAAAAAAAAAAAAAATTTGTTCGCAACTATCAGAATATTTTATTAACTAAAACCAATCTCTGGAGAATTTGAAATTTTAATTATTTAGTTAATGTTAATAGTAAAATATTTCAACCTCTTTGAAACAAGATAGATACCTCGATTTAATTTCCGCCAAAGCGAATTAAATCGAGTACTGACTATATGGCAGCATTGAGGTTTTTGGAATAATTAAAATGTTGGCGGCATTCGGTCACTAAGTGTTAAATTTTTTTAAAAAAATGGATAAAACTTGTTTTAGAACCAAACGACTTTTACTTTTCAATAGAGCGCTCTCCGGGTGTCTCAGGTTCAAATCCCAGAGATGGATGATCAATACAAATTCCGCACCCAGCTCGCACCGATCACAGTGCTGACTTGAAATATCTTCAGTGGTAGACATATCATGGGTTAGAGTCCTCTTGTCATCTTGCTAACCATGAGAGGTGTTCGCGGTTTTCGTCTCCCTATAACGCAAATGAGATTTAGTTCCATCAAAAAGCCCCCACGAAAGCAATTTACCCCAAAGCTTGATCCAGGAGTTACCTTGACCACTGGATTAGTTTCAAAATCACAAGACTGCCCAGTTGAAAAATTAAAATTAGGTCGGCTGTTCAACGACAGTTAAAAATAATGTAAATGTGAAATAATTGCGTTGACCATGCGTTGATTTCTGAACAAACTGAATGTCTCCCCATTTTCCTGAAACCTTAAGTCAAAAATGGATTAAACAAATTTTCTGAAAGAAAAAAGGAGTTTTCTAAACAGTGAATCACAGTAAATATTGCTCTCTTGCTAGTAACTACAAATATTGCCATCAAATGTAAACACATTTTATAATTAGACATGATAAACCCCTACATTTCTTAGCTGTGGTTGTTTCTATTTCTTGCGGAATGACAGCTGTTATACGGTGTTTTAGCTGCTTATGTTTTCATTTTTCCATTTTGTTTTTTAAAAAATGAAAATGAAAGGGTCTTTGTAAAAACGTAAAGACTGCAATATTTTTTTTCCTTCAAAATAATCGCACCTATTTTACAATCAGTATTTATCTTATTTACTCAACATATATCAAAGTTCTTATTATCTTATTTTAAAATGAAAAAGTCTGTAATACACGTAAAAACAAATCCGTATCTTTTTTCAATGATATTTAGCGCTCAATTTCAAACTCAATTATTTTCAAACCACAAGGAAGGTTTAAAACGATCTAATGATGTTTATTCAACTATTTCATTTCAATTACTTTCAAACCACTTAAGCTTTTTTTATCTATAAAAACGTTAGCGCGGAAGAAATTCAAAGAAAATAATTTAAATTAGTTGCAAAAAAAATTAGTTCACAAAAGGTGTTGAAGGTGTTTATCAGAGATTGCCTTTAAAATAATTTTTTGTAACTTAGTTCTTATTGTTCTTTTTTTCTTTTTCTTTTTGAAAGGAAATTTCTCACGCGATTCTTAGAATTTACTTACTGGTCACATACATAACTCGTGTATTTCAAAATACGGGAAATATTTTTTCAATCATCTACTTAACTCCATTTTTAATTCAAATATTTTTAAAAATCTTCAGCTACCACAATATTGTTATGAATAAAAATAGCAGAAGCTGTTAATTTAAATATATTTATTAATTTAGAACTAATCTTAACTCTCATAAAGAGCAGAAACAGTATTTTTTTAAGATGGCATCATTTACACACGCTGATTGATTTCCATATAAATTCAATCTCGATATGGTTCCTAATACTTCAAATATATAATCTGGCTGAGCGGTACGTACTGTACCTTCAAAAATCGCCCCACCAGGTAAGGTGGAGACTGTTACTGTATAAATATCTCCATCCTCTTTAAGGTCAGTACGTTCGATGCTAGGCGATTGCATTATGGCATTATTAATTGACTTTAACTTTAATTTAGCACATACATTGGACACTCGCAAAAGTAATTCATTTATGTATTTCACGAGATACTCGGCAAGATGCGCAATAAGATTATCACTAACTTCGACATCTATCGATATATAAGGTTTACAAGTGCACCAGTGTTCGTCAATGAAAGCATCTGCACAAGATCTGTCTTCCGATATAGTTCCGAACAAAGAATTCGCTCTGGTAGTAAAATTTTGAGCAAGTTCTTTGCTAACGTCGTCCATGTTAGTGAGCGACCAATCTTCCTGGATATAGAGGATATTTTGGAAAGTCGCATATAAATCAAATGGCGTGACTAAACGATGGGTGTTAATTCTTAAGTTTGCTGATTCCTTGGGATACTGTTTTCGGAAGTTTGGTGGTAAAGCTATAAATAGCATAGGTAATCTTTCTTCTAGCATGCCAACAGATGTAGCTCGCAAGCGGCCAAAACGCATACCATGATCTCCCATGACAACCACAATGGTTCTATTTAACGCTCCAGACTGATGCAAATCTCTAAAGAATTTCTCATACCTATCATCAACTTTAGAAGCAGCATTGCCATCATCATGAGTAACACTATTGATCCAAATGAACGAAAAATAGGCCTTATTTTTAAAATGGCTCGCGAATTTTCCTGTCCAATGAAGTACTGCATCAGTTTCGGATACAGAACCAACACATAAACGACAATTACCCGTCTTTTTCCAGCCGAGTTTATCCTCATATGGTAATATGAAAGGGCGGAAGTAATAGTCTGTAGGCTGATCATAAAATCCTTCTTTTACGTAATTGAAAGTAGATATGTGGGGGACATCTTCTGCATAGAGTGTTCTGTAGCCCCTTTCAGCGAAACTGGTCCACAGAAAATTGCAGTTGTCGAATGTCTCTGAGGCAGAAGAATTCCAACAAACTCTTGATAGCTCCCTTTCGTCGTAGCCTAGAAGCATAGCTGCTAGATTCGGAAAGGTATTGTCGCCGATTTTATTGAACCCGAACATTTCTTCAGCCTTCATGTTGTTCAATAAATAGCTTGCAGTCTTGTTCAGTTGTCTATGCGCGTTCAATCTTGAAACAGAATCTATTCCCAGTATCATGACGCTGTATGGTGGCGTTTTCTGAGCTTTGCATCGTTTTTCTACTTCGAATTTATCGTGAATGAAACTGTGGAATTCTTGATAAATTTTTTTATTGCTGATAGTACCTCTACAGATAACTGTTACAAACTCGTCGTGTATTCTAACTTTGTCTGTCAAGCTCAGACAGTCCCCATATCTGAAAATAAGATAAGTATATATAGAATTACTTTGATGATCATCGTAAGCAAAATTAGAGTAAAAAATGATTTCATTGATGATAAAACAATCTATATTTTTTACGGAATTAAATATATTTGAACTCAGTAACTGACCATTTTGTAATATTTTGTCTACGGGTGATTATTATATTCATTTGCAGAACCGAGTTACCTCGCCTATTAACTTGTGCTGCTGGTATATCTTGTTCCATAATGCTACTTGCTCCAAACACAAAGAAGCTACAGTTAACTTTTCATAGAATAGAGCAGTTAAATTGATTTCGAAACTAACAGTTAGAACACTTAGAACACAGTAAAATGTATGAAAAAAAGTACAACATGTCTCAATGAAAAGTTGTTAACTTCAACTGTTGGTTAGAGATTATCAAAAACTAACCGAGATCGCACTGTTTTAGAAAATATAGGTGAGGTGTTCGATGGAAAACAATTAAGCAAGTTTCATAGTACGATCTGTTTATGTATACTATACAGCTTAGAACATAAATAACCAGGCAAAAATAAATAATATCTTTTTTTTCTTACACCCGGAAGCCAATCATATTTTCTTACTAGCAGCCGAGTACAAAATAACCTACATTTGTGAAAGTTGTTAATGATCAAATAACTACAGGAATGGGCAAACTGTTAAGTGATTAAAATTCATATCATTTCCTGTGGAACATAGAGAGCAGTCAGGGGAGTCAGAAATGGCTGTTCGGCGATAATGGTTTTAAAGATTGTCATGTGCAATTTTGAAACTTGCAGAGAAAATCTATCGGGGGAGGTCCATGGGAATGGAATCGAGAATAAGGCTAGACCATATTTTTCCTGAAGCACCAGCAGTTAGGTTGTTTTTTAAAAAATTGTTTGTCGCCCTGACAATGGTGACAGAAATTTGATTATAAGGAGAGGTGAAAAAAGGCTTTCAAAGCAAACAATCTTTTTTTTTTTTTTTTTTTTTTTTTGGTCCTTCTCTTTTCCGGATATATTGCAATGAATGGGAATTCACTGGAAGAAAATTAAATAATATCTATGCGGCATCAATAAATTTTAGTAACACATTTAATAATTTAAATAACCTTTTCCTGCTCTATAGATAATAAATGGCCCACAACGACGCAAGTGGCAAAGCAAGTGTTTAAGGGGCTCGGTACCTCCTATGTTGACAATGTTAAAATGGCATATTTCGATGTACCTTTTTAAAAAAAAAGTATCGTAGTTAGAGCTTTGAAATTTTTTTTGTGTATGTAATAGATATTCTAGATTATACTGAAGGGAACTTTTTTAAATTTAGTAAATTAAAAGAAATTTTAAAAAAATAAATCACACAGCATGTCAGAAAATTTTGAAAGCTTCACATTTCCAAAAATTTTGAATTAAAAAAAAATATTAAGTTTCTCTAAAAAAAACTGCTCACTTCAGCACAAACTACAGTACTAAAGGAACTTTTTAAATCAAATATCAAAGTGTTGTGATCAATAGTTTTCAAGAAAAGGTACATCGAAGCAAAAAAAACATAGTTTTGAGTTATTTGCATTTAAAGCGTAAATATTAGNTTACTGTAAAAAGCACTTATACTTGTATTTTTTTTATCGTAAAATCAGTACTTCTTATCATAAAATCTAATTTTACCATAAAATTTTAAGTAGCAAGAAATTTGAATAACCTAATTTTTACAGTAATAGTTACTGTAAAATGACTGAATCACTGTAAAAATTTGCTATAAAAATTTTATTGTAATAATGAATTTTATGCTAACATGTACTTCACAAATGCTACACTTGGAATTCCAGTGCTTTTTACCGTGATTTGATCCAGAATTTTTTACAGTGTAAACTTTACTTTGCATTTAATTTTTTTTCTTTTGTTTATTTTATATTATATTATTTTTTAATATGTTTTTCGATATTTTAAGGGGTTCTATATCTAAAAAAAATTCCTTCGAGAATTCGTACTATTTATTCTATATTTATAGCTAATAGCTATGTACAATTGATTTGAATAAATGTATTGATCAGGTTTTTTAGCGATTGTGCAGCAATTAAGTGGTATCGTTGTCCTCTAGAACTGTTGCTGGCCTTCGTATGAAAGACATGGTTAAACTATTCAGAAAATCTTTCCGATTATTCAAGCATAAATTCATAAATTCTTATCATTTAATACATCATCTATTCATGATTATTCAATACTAATGTATCAAATTGCTTACAAACAACAGCAAAAAAAATGCTGTTTTAAAACGGATATAAATAAATATAATTTATACGAATCGTTTATTAAATCTGGGAAAACTCGCTTTTAAAATTTCACCAGATAAAATCAGACTAGTATAAAATGACGCAAAAAAAATTTGCACAAAGCTACAAAGCGAACTTGTTTTATGCGATATCTGTTCGAGATTTAACACACATGTTGTTCTGTGCATATTATAGTAAATTTTTTCGATAAAGACTTGAAAATACTATTTCTGGAAACATCCGCATTCATAGTATTTAGTTGAATGGATAATAAAAACAATTTCAGGTGTCTCAATGCAGCGAAGCGGATAAAGCTCATTTTTGTTTATCAGATATAGATTTAAAGAAGGTGATAAAAGAGGAAAAGATAATATTCAGTACGTTCTGTGTATTGTTTCAGATGAAGTCAGATCCTTTTCAATTTAAAATAATATTGTAAAGACATAGTATTCCTAAAAGATACAAGATAGCTATTTTTTTTAGCAACATTAATTGTTTTTGTTAAAAAATTTAGCTGCGTTTCAATTCATTCATCAGCAATGTTCATAAAATATTCCTTTTTAATTAAATTATAATGATTGAATACAAAATCGAAAATAAAATTTTACTCTTATATTTTAAAAAAAAAAACTATAGCTTCCACCATTGTTTCAGGAAATTTCCGCTGAGCTTCCCTCTCCCTGCTGTAGCTCGAAAACTATTAAATGAATACGAAATGAAATAATACAAAAGGAGAAACACTTTCATGTTTCATCGGGAATTTAAATTGGTTTTGGATATATTTAATCTGACATTCCTTTAGCGATTTTTCAGAATTTGATATCGTTTTCCCTTTTCCACGTTTAAGTATTAATGTAGAACTCTTAAAGTCTATATTTTTCACTTAATTATTACAAGGATTCTGAAAATTGCGTATAAAAGGAGGTGATTGCGAAAAACCCTGTATAAAATCCGTGTTTGATATGATACAAATTTACTTCGTTACTACAAATTTAGTTGATATGATACACTTCGTTTAAGCAAATTGGGATTTCGTGAACTTAATTTTAATAAAAATGTCATCATGTTATTTCAATTGAATACAAACACATATTTCCAATCCTTATATGATGCGTCTTCGGCTTCATATCTTTCAAGAGACCTATAACAGCAAGTGTAGTTTTTAAAACCTCTTCTCATGACTGCGTTTTTATCTAATATAAGCCAATTTCCATCTGTTTTAGTAATTGGTTCTCGTTTCTGTGAATAAAAAAAGTAGATTCATTTTAATTTGTTTCATACAAAAACCTTACATTTTTAAGCATTAATACTTACCTATAAAATTTCGATTCAACATATCAATATTTTATTATAAATGATTCCTTCATTACATGAGGGTCATCCAAAAAATCTAATTTTCTCATGGCCCATGAGAAGGAAGTAGATGATTTATATATTTGTATTTTTTACCATAAATATTTCCTATATATAGCTGTTCGATTTGAATTCTGCTTCAGGTTCATACCGACCACAGTGCTGACATAAAACATCCTTATTTGGATGCGAATCATGGGTATAATAATCCCCTTGCCATTGTGAAAAGTTTTTCGCGGTTTTCCTTTCTACGTAACTCAAATGTGGGTTAGTTCCAACCCATGAAAGCTAGTTTGTTCCAGTGCTTGATCCTGGAGTTTTCTTACTTTATCTTATAATTTTATAACCAACATTGAACAGCCAACCCAAATATGAATTTACGCCTATCAATATTCAACTTCGTACCATTGTAATTTTGAACACAACGCTGAAAAAAGAATCTGCATCGAGCATTAAAAGAAACTATTCCTCTTGGGAACGTTTTTGATGGAACTATTCACATTTGTGCCACATGTCGAGGAAAATCATCCATGGTTAGCCCGATTTCAAGGAGACTCTAACCCATGATTCGTGTACCTCTGAGGATATTTTTATATCAACACTGTGGTCGGTGTGATCTGGGAGCAGAATTTTACCTTTCACCTCTGGGATTCGAATCTCATTCGCCTTAGTGGGATGCAAACGCTCTATCCCCTGAGCTACCGCAGCCCCCTGGAGTTTTCCCATCTTCTGGGTTGGGTTCAAAATTGCAGGGCTATGAATCTAAAATTCATAGCTGGTGAACCCAAACAAGGATCGACTGTTCAATACCAGTTATAAAATGAGATAAAATATGGTTACAGGGCAATATTTTAATTTATCATTTTGTGAATGATAAATTTGAAAAGCATTATGCCACCAAAACTATTGATTTCTGAATAATTTAGTCGAGTGGTGAACTATTTCAAGATATTCTAATTCTTTCTTTCTTTATTTATTATTTTTTATGTATTTTTTTATGCATGTTGAAAGGGATGATTTGTGAGCAATCTATGAAATATTTATGAGTACGCAGAAATGATAAGTGATTCAACTTTGCTTGACTATTTTAATATGTCGTCATAAATTGTGTTGTTTTCAGAGAAATCGATTTAAATTTTATGACTTAAATTGTTTTTTTTTTTTCTTCAGTTTTGCATTTAGCATTTTGTATCTTTTACAGTTTTACTTTACTATTTATTACAGATCTTAAAACTACAATTTTAAATCTGAAAACATCTAACATGCGGAATAATGATGCTTCGAAATAATAATAATGATTATACTTATTAGAAATAATTATCAGCATCAGTCTAATAAAACTCAATCTCAATTCAACCAGTTCTTAATATTTAAAAATAAGTAAGTAGATTAAAACCTAAATTTACACATTTTTCCGCCATTAGAATAAATAAGGTTATTTTTCTGTGTATTATATTTGCTTAGATTATTTAATTTGAGTTATTTATCTGCGAATCATACAGTTATTCAAATCTTATTTGTCCCACAAAATATATTACAGCTACTTTATTTCCAATCTTCCCACACTTTAAAACTAATTATGTATATTTTTGAAGACGTATAAAATCTCGATAGGAATTGGAACTTATTCGGTAAGACTCAATTATATCTAAAATAATGAATAAAATATAATTTAATTTCGTTGGTTATATAAGCAGTCAGTACTTCTTTTGATGCACAGGCTTTTTTCCAGATGATTTCTTTTTATGAAATCCGCTTATCAGATTCGTAATAATAACCTTGAAATTACATCAAGCACAAATACCAGAGAAAGAAAAAAATGCAAACTACTAGATTGCCTTAAATCTTATTTGTAAGATATATGATGCGGAACGAAAGCTGAGAAATAATTCTATTCAATATTTCTTAATGAAGTCGAAGTGAGCTGTCAGAATAGAAAAAAAGAAGAATAAATTACTATCTAAACACCAACGGTAAAATATCTTCTCACGGTATTCTAACATCTTTCTCAATTTGCAGTTAGGCTTAAAACATATCATTACTTTTCGAAAGCATAATTAGTTTTGATCACTACCCCGTTTTATTATATATTTTATTTTGTATGTCCTATATAAAAATCCAATAACGGAGACGTTTGGTAGACAAGTTTAGTTATTCTAATGATGGAGCCTATCAAATCCATTCAAAAAAGTTTTGGAGGGAAATATTGATACAAATGATAGGCTATTTAAATAAAGTTTCTTTATTTCAAAATATTTTTATATTTAGAAGTATTTTAATGCAAGCAAAAGTAATTACAGTGGTAATAAAGTAAATGACGACAGAACTGAAGGTATTGTGGAGAAAAAAATGGTAGAAAAAATATAGGGTAAGCCTAGGATAGATGTTCTTAGTTTCTTTACAAATCGAAATAAAAATACAAAGAATGGAAGAAACGTTTACGCATATTTTAAATTCTCATGCAAATGTATTCTACATATTTTGAGCAAAAAAGTTATATTGAGGATAAAAGAATATTGAGAACAGAATATGAGAAAAGTTACTTGAAATTAAACTGATAAGTGGCCATCTCTCTTTAATGTCGAGGTGAGATGGCCATCTAAGAAAAAGGGAAGTTAATATATGGAAAATAATGCATTTCTTACTGTTAACTATAAAAAAAATCAGATAATACGCTGTAAAGAATGAATTTTATCCTGGAAAATAAGTAAAAAGAATCGAATGAACAAAATCTATTGTACAGTACACTACACTTTACTACTAAACTTTAATACATTTTTGGTAAAGGTTTTCAAAGTATGTACGTACATGTTTCATGCAGCCATTACACGCACCTTACACATTTCATTCAGTTATCGCTTTAGTTGTAAAATGGTATTCTTTTTTCAACAGCTACCACACTGATACTTATCAAATTTTATGTGCGTAGCACTGGATAATATTTAGGTCTGTCGAATCGAGATGTAAAATATGCAAAATTCGTAAGGTCCTCAAAATTTTTTTTAAAAAAAAAGTAGTTTCAATATTATAATAAAAAAGATAAGTTTTTTTTATTAACTTTCCTCTTAAAATTACGAACCAAACCACAATGTAAAAAATTCTGGATCAAATTACGGAAAAAAGTACTGGAAAAATCTTAGCATTCCTCCAGACCAAATTATACCATACATTAGAAATCAGTTACTTTCAACCGTAAGAAACTGTTTTTACCGGAACATGTTACGGAATATAAAACCTGATATACCGTTATTTTTACAGTAATAATTACCATAAAACATTGAATCACTTTAAATAAATATATATTACGGTAAAAATTGCGGTATAATATTTTACGGTGAAATTGAAGTTAACGGTAAAAATGGATTCGACTGTAAAATGGATTTTACGGAGGATGCACCTAAAGTTTTTTAATATATTTAAAACTTTTGCTGTGAATTTAAACTTGATTGTTCTTAGTGCTTAATATTTTAACCTTGTTGTGCTCCCATCTTTTGAGGAAAAAATAAGATAAGAATTTTAATTCATAATAAAAATAATAGTAATTGCTTAAGTTTTAATGTCTTTAGTCGCCATTTAGGTATTTACTTGGGACTGTTTCTCTGATTGGGTCAGGCCAGTGTTTCCCAAACTCATTACTTTTGTGTACCCTTTCTAAATTTTTCGTAACGTTGTGTACCATTAATAAAAAAGTAAATGAATTTTTCACTATAAAAAAATTGCACAAAAGTTAAAAATCACAACTGGCTGTTGGCACCACTAATTATTAACTGTTAACTCTGCAAAANAAAAAAAAAAAATAGAAAAATACGTAATCGTAAATTTTTATGGCTAGCTTTGTTTTTAAATAAAATTTTGTGAAATTATCGCTTGTTGCAAGATATTTCGTATAAGAACGCGCACCCCGCTAAACTGTTCCTGTACCCCTGGTGGTACGCGTACCACACTTTGGGAAACACTGGGTTAGGCTATTATTCAAAAGTTACCTTTCTAAAGAAAGTTTCTTTTTATAAAATGAAACACAAAATGCATATTTACCGTACAGTTTAATGGTTTTTTAAAAGTGATCAAATTTTTAATACTTGGGTCCATCGGATCAATGTCAGGAATTTTACAGTTGCTTGAATAGACTAAATAGCCTTTCCGCGGTTGCGTTGAAAGCCTTTCATTTAATAATTCAGCACTTGTGACATTTGACATCGTTGAAGTGTTTGATATGCTTTCCAGGGAATCGGCGATTTTTGACTTGGTAGTAGAATTTTTCAAGTGTGCAGGAGATGTGCTGAAATCTCTCTCCTCAGTTGAAATCGTTGATGGCTCGAACCTAACACCGTACTTGTTCGTAAAGACAAAAATACTGGTGCCCAATTCCCGAGGAGATGAGTATAAATAGATGAGAATGACTGTGAAGATGAACAAAACTGAGTAGATGTAATATTTTGAAGACGGAAATGGGCCTGAAAAAAAAAGAACATAGTTAGATGTAAATCATAAAAACATTGAAGTTGAAAATTAAATATCAATTGTTTTCATGAAACAATTTTTAAATAATCATAAAGTAGCCCAAAATACAGATATAGAACTTCTAACATCTATTCTATTATATATATATATATATAATTCTAATATACACATTTCTATTCTAATTTAGTTTATATACTTACTTCTAATATACTTCTAACATCTATTCTAATATACTTACTTCTAATTTACCTCTAACATCTATTCTATACTTCTATTCTAATATACTTCTGACATCTATTCTAATATATTTACTTCTAATAAACTTAACATTTATTCTAATATACATACTTCTATTTTAATATAATTAGTTCTAATATGCTACTAACATCTATTCTAAATTACATACTTCTAATATACTTCTATCATCTATTCTAATGTACATACTTATAATATATTTCCGACATCTATTCTAACCTCTGTTCTAATATACATACTTCTATTATACTTCTAACATATATTCTAACATCTATCATAATATACTTCTTACATCTATTCTAATATGCTTCTTACATCTATTCTAATATACTTTTAACATCTATTCTAATCTACTTACTTTTAATATACTTTTAACATATATTCTAATAATCAAAAACATTAAAAGACATAACTTTCATTTAGTTCTATTTTTATGCACAAAAAAAAGCTTGAAACAAAAATTGGAATATAATAAATGGAAATCAATGTTCATTATTAACACCTTTAATAATAATAACTTTAATTTATTTCTCTGGGATAATGTTTCTTTTCACCCCGACGTTAAAAAAATAATTTAATCTGATTAAGTTAAACCTAATTCATCTTAAATTTGATCTTATCTGTATCATTTCAAATCTGATTGAGTTAAAAACAGTAATTAAAATTTTTTATTACTTATATTGAATGCGACAGCAGGTAAACGCAAAATTATAAATAGATGTTAGTACTCTGCAAAAGATAATAAGATATTCTTTTTTACATTAAATAATTTTCTTAAATTATCTCATTGCATTTATAGATATACAATCTAATCCCAATTTCACGAATTTTTATTTATCTTTTTAACGCATTTTCCTTTATCCCTAATTAAAGGGAATGCAAAATACTTTATTTAATGAATAATGAATCATTTGATGAATAATGAACTCCAAATTAATGAATTATTTATGAATTATTACAGAAAAATACCTTTTTTGGGTGTCATTAAATGAAATTAATTTTTTTAACAAAACTTTTTCCAGACTTTTTGACCTCTTTAGATCAGTTTATAAATTACAAAAGAAAAAAATAGCTTATTTATCAATCCCACTCATTCTTCGCTTTTTTATTAATCCCGCTCATTCGCCTAGTTCTTATTTTCCCCTGCAAATTGCACTAGCACGCTAGTTAGCAGAAATTTGCTACCGAGAAAAATTATCGCATCATTAGACGAAAGAAATACGGTGAAAATATACAAAGCCAGCATTTTTGATACTCTATATTTTAGTCGAAACAAAGAGTATAATTAATCATTTGTGTGTGTATTAGATTTGAGCATCATAAAGAGTATCAAGTACAGTTTCTAATTATCAAGTAGTATGACAGTAAATGAAGATCAGGGGGAAGAAAGAGGTTAATGTTCATGAAAGTTGATTCGAAGAAAAAATTAATGTCAAAGGTCCGAAATTTACCAGAAGCAAGCATACGATTGAAATCGTAAGAAAAAAGTATGCACGATTATAATAAGCATTGATTTACATTCTCCAAAAGAAGTAAAATTTGTCATTTTTGATACTGAAAAAAATTGAAAATCGGATTGAACAAGAAACGTTTTCTCCTCAATATTCCTCTACATCAGTGTTTACCAAAATGTGGTACGCTTACCCCCCAGGGGTACGGGAACAGTTTAGCGGGGATACGCGCTCTTATGCGAAATATCTTGCAACAAACGAAAATTTCAAAAAATTTTATTTAAAAGCAAAGCTAACCATGAAAATTTACGATTGCGTATTTTTCAATTGGCTATTTTTTGCAGAGTTAACAGTTAATAACTAAAATATGTTAATAAATATTTTTAAAAATTGCATTCATTTTTTTATAAGTGGTACCCCGCTTTACGAAAAATTTAGAAAAGGTACACGAAAGTGGTAACTTTGGGAAACACTGCTCTACATTCATACCTTCTTAATAGTATTCCCGTCGTCTTCCTCATTATATTTTTCTTGTCAACACTGCACAGGAATCTTTTATCCTCAGCACAGCCCATCTTTACTGTGTATTAACTCTCGGATTTTTCATGATATTGATTTGTCAAAAATGAGTAATACTACAAACTGCTACAACGGTCCAATCGTCAATTTCATGAAAAATAGACGAAAACCGTTCTACCCCTACACAACATTAAATAATAACAATTTGTGTAAATATATAGGAATTCATTTAATTTCTTTACAAACATAGAAGTCAACTTCTTTAATAACCACGACGATGCTTGTACTATCAATGATATGGATAAAATTCATAAAACATTAATATTCATCATTATAATTAATTATTAATCTATCGTAAAATGTATCAGGTAAAATTAATGTCTATCTGTAAAATAAACACATTTCTAAATTAGTAATATTCTCTTGGGTAATTAGTGGTTCATGCATATCATTAGAGGTATCAGTTAGGGTTTTTGCATCATAAATAATCTTAGTTTTTGTCAGTATCTCATGAACGTCGATATTTTTTAATAATATCATGGCGATGTTTATTCCATCAATGTTATAAATAAAATTTATAAGATATTAATATTCATGATCATGATTAGTGATTTATGTATCATAAAAAATTTAAGGAAGGGATTATGAATCATAAATATAATACTAGTCTGAGTAATTCATGAACGCAGACTTATTTAATAATCATGGCAATGTTTGTTCTATCAATGAGATACTTGAAATTCATAAAATATTAATATTCACCATGATAATTAAGGATTTATGTATCATAAAAAAATATCAAGTCGGGTTTTCGCAATATAATTATAGTTTGTGTATATTAAGAAAGTCGACGTTTTCTTTGTACTTGTTTCATTGGAATTATTCATTAGGGCAAATTTATGGTTTATGTTTCATAAAAGGTATAAGGTAGGGTTTTTGTATCATAAATAATTTTAGTTTGTGTAAATATCTCCTTAACGTTGATTTTTTTGTAATAGTCATGTCGATGTTTATTCTATCAATCAGGTGAATAAAATTTATAAGATAGTAATATTCATTATAATGATTTATGTATCTTAAAAAGTATCAGGCAATATTTTAAGTAACCTAAATAATCATGGTTATATCTCATGAACGTCGATGATTTTTTCAATGACCTTGAAATTTAAAATTCCAAAAACAGTAATATTCATTGTGATGATTAGTAGTTTATGTAACATAAAACGCATCCGCTAAGGCCTTCGTTAATAATAATAGTCTGAGTAAATATATCATTATTCCATCAAAAACGCCACCGTTTTTCAGACATTCCGTGTTCTGTCAATCAAAAATATGAATTTCATAAAATTATAATATTAATTAAGATGGTTAAGGTTTATGCATCATAAACAGTTTATACGTCCATAAAGAAAAGAAGATGGCTCCCTTTTGTGTCACGTATAGAAGTTTTATTTTATATGGCATCTTTATTTGTTCATTGAAATTTCTTTAACTTAAAAAATTTCTCGCTTTTATGATACAGCGCTATCACGGTAATACTACGCGTAAATATCTTTCCGTTTGTTCTTTTTAAAGTATATGTATTTTACAATCCCACGAGATGCGTAGAACTGAATTATGAATACATGAGAAGTCGATTTTATTACAAATCATCCCTATTGTCTAACTTTCTGGCGATCCGAAACAAACCCTAAATTCATATTCACAGTTTCCTCTCATTATGTTCGATATAGCGCGTTAGTGAGGGAGTTTTTATTGACAGCGCAGAAAAGGTTGAGAAAAGTTAATGTCAAGGAGATGTTATAGATGTAAGTACAATGACTCATCTTCATTTCCTCCCTCTAATTGTGTGTTCTCTGTGAGATGATTGCGTAATAAAATGTCTCGTCTAATTTTTAATACACTACAAAATTCACTATATTATACTCTTAACGAAATTCGTTTTGATTCAAAAGTTTAAAAAAATGGAAAGCAAAAGGACAAAAAAGCGTGACCGCACATAACTTATAAATTTATAAACTTTATGAATTTATGAATTATAGTTTAATTAAATTTAATATAAATATATGAATATAATAATATAAATATATAAATAGAATAATATACATATGTAAATATAATAATATAATAAATATATACCTAAATATAAATACATAAATATAAATACACAAATATAAATATATAAATATTTAACATAATTATAAATATATTTAATTTATATTAAATTACTTTATAAATTTAAAATAATTATTTAATATAAATAAATTTTTTTTAAATTTATAAATTTTAGATCACACTGCTAAGATTTATAAATTTTAGATCACACTACTAAAGTTTATAAATTTTAGTAGTGTGATCTTAATTTTGTATTCTAGTAAAAAGAATATGCATTAAAAATCTGAAAAGAGGTCACTTTTTTGCTAGTTTTTTTTTTCCAATAAGAAATACTTTTTTTTGTGTAAATATGATAAACAAAAAATCTTTTGAAAAATTTGCACCGTTCTTTGAAGCAAATGTACTTGTTAAATATTTAATAAAATCAAAGGCAATATTTTATTTAAATTAAGTTATTTTTATTTAAGTAGGGTCAGGTGGGGTAAAGTGGGTAAATGGGGGAGAGTAGAACATCTATTTTCTAAAAAACATCTAAAAAAACATCTATTTTCTCCTCTTAAATTGAGATTGTTTCTTTCATATTTTTAGAGACATTTATTGGGAGTGTGGCAAGCATTTTTATTTCAATTTTAGAAACAGATGAAAATTTAATTTTTTGCAAATTATCTGTTTATAATCATCATTTACAGTAAGCTGCAGGCGAACTTTCTTCCAATATAATTTAAACCTGGCAAAAACTATTAAATTTAGTTCACACTGGTAGAGGGACAACTAGAGAACAGATATACCTGGAAATTTAAGAATAAATTTCAAAACTCTTTTTATTATGAATTGTTTTCTGAGGTGGGGTAAAGTGGATATATGGTTAAACTTAGATTTATCTTAGCTAAGTGTTGTATGATATGGATATTTTTTCATTTATTCTGTGTTAGCTTTAGTAAGTATCTAATGCTCTATATATTTTAACGAAATAGCTAAAAAATAATTTACCTGTTTGATTATTGTTCTACATAGTAATTTTAACACTAAAAAATAAAATTTCAATCAAGTTCTGTTTTTTAAAGAGAAGGAAGATAGGGAGGAAATAACACTATATCAGGCATATTATACAGTTTAAAAATTTCCAAAATAGCATAATGGTACAACTTAGTAAGCATATTTGAAGATATAGGTGAGTTTTCATGTTTCTGCCTTCATATGGCAGTTTTTTCACGGAAAACAATTTAATTTTCTTAAAGTAAGTAAATTGAATAAAAATACTTGTTTGCTATATATATAGTAAAAACACTTCAAATTACCATTATAGATATGTTTTTGCATTTCAGTTTTTACTCTCTCATTTATACTTGAAATAAACCAAAAACTATTACACTTTTCTTACTTTTTGATGAAATTGTGTAGAGTGCAGCAAAATGTGCTGCATCAGAAGTGAAACCTAATTTTAATAGCCAAGAACATTAACTCTTTAATTTAATAATACGAAAAAAAATATTTTTAACTCTTATTCGTTTAACATAATCAAAATACGTGCTCTTAAATAATTAAAAGCTTATTTCTAAAATAATATTTGCATGGGATTTATAAGGAAATATATACAAATTTTAGAACTATGCCCACTTTACCCAACTTTGGAGTAAAGGGGGGGATCAAAACATGTTCTTTTGAATACATTACTGTAAAAAAAAATAATAAATAAATAAAAAAATTTAAAAAAAAACAATTAAACAAAATTGATAAGTTATGCTTCATATTTAATCTATATGAACGCAATATATATAAAATGCATAGAAAATTTCGGTAAAATGAATTTAATAGTTTTATTTTAGCGTCTTCTTTAAAAAAAACTCTTGATTTTATACCTACTTTACCCCACTTGACTCTATAGACTGATAGCTTCGTTTTCAAGAGAACTAAAAAATCTGTTAAATTAATTTTTTTTTGTCAGAAACAAGCTTACTTTATAAAAGCTTAGACTGAAGTTTTTAAAAAAATTATTATGCTTTTTAAAAAAAAATTATATCACATACTAACAACAAATATTAATTGAGGTAAAATATGCTATAAACGTTCAGGTTACGGCAATAAGAACCCATCATTAAAAAATTCCTCATTTTTATTTATCCATTTGTACTCTATTAAAATAATGTTGCAAAATGTAGTAATCTAAGTTTTCCACTTTGCGTTTTTTAAGAAGAGAATAGAAATGTTAATCCAAAGTTATCATTAGTTAATGCTAAAGAGACTAGTTAGAACGCGGAATTACGGGTGTTCCTAAACGTTTCGCATTTTTACTAGCAACTGGACGAGTAAAACAGATTATAGCTGTTCACAATTAAATATTCTTCTTCAAAAAAATTAATTTTCCAATCCTTTTAAGACTATTTATAAATTTCATATAGTTAGGGAAAAAGTAAATTTGCTTTAATAGCATTTATTTATAGATACTATTATTTCATGAAATCTTTCAGCTAAATATCAGAAATTGAATGGACTATTTTAGTGAGGCGACAATCCAAGAAAATAAAGCGTATATTAAATTTTATAAGGATATCTAAGCTCCATGCTCTGTTTTACACATTCAATCTTGACTTGTGACCCAAAATAAGATTTTATTTATTTATTTATATACTATTTATTAATCTTTTATTTATCCGGCCGCAAGTAGCAGAACATTAAAATGGCAAAGTTATTCTTCACTTCACAAAAAAGTTGTCCAAGAATATAATTGAAATTGCAATGCCCCTAACTTTTTGTAAAATTGAAAACACACAAATGGGAATATGAATATCTTGTCCCGATATTTCAAAATATAATTCAAATTTATCTTAACTTAAGGACTTTTGACTTGCTTTGATTTTTATATGTCAAAATATAGTTCAAAACTAATGCGTTTTAAGATAATTATTTACTATAGGTAGCATTTTCACTTTTACAATTTTTATAGTACAATATATTATACTACATAAAATAATGACTAACAAAATAACATTTTAAATACCTCCAAAGATCTAATCAAGTCATTACTCCTGATAAATATGTTATCATTTATGTATCATATATGTTATCATTTTTATGGAGTTCTGATGATAACACTAAAAATCAACAAACGGCAAATGACAAAACGCAAAATAATCTTTTAGCGTGTGACCTGTTTGGGATTACCTTAATAATGGTATGTACTCTAGTTATTTTACCAAAGCAATGTGACATAGAGTGTCTTACAAATGAAAACTACTGAATTGTTTCAATTGTATGACATTCAAGGAAAATAAGATCCCTACTCATACTTAATATTTTCTTAAATATTAATTTTATATTTTTCAAGTCCAGCAGTGGACTAATCGTGAAGAGATAGTTCCTAGTAGAACACCGAAGTCAAGCATCACTGGCTGCGGTCAGTAAGCGAGTGGATGACCACTTTGATCAGCGTGCGTATGAACCGAGGGTGCGCGGTTTCGGTCCTCGTTAAACTGTTCTACCGTAAAGTGCTCGACTTCGTGCGCGGGTTATCGGTCTATCAAAGCAGGAGAGCCATCCCCTGTGCAGAGTATCAAAATTGCGATGGCATGTCTTCGAATCATCCTCAGGGATGTTTCTCAGACCGTCGCCAATAGCCCATTGGGAAGCTCTAGTGCGACATTAATAAAGTACCTACCTAGCTACATATTTTTCGTAATTACCGTTTATCAAAATCTAAAATTACGATAATAAAATTAATGAGCTTGTATATTTTACAACATTAAACAAGATTAAGGGGAAAAAAGCATTGGCACAGTTAGTTTGCGTATAGTATTCTACTATTTCGATTGTCGATCATCCTGCTAAAGGCTTCATCCTGTATATATGCGCTTTTGATTGTTTTCCTGTAGTCTCTTGAGATGCAATGTATTAGGCAATAAATTTCAAGTTTTTTATATTTTTTTCTGCTTGCGTGCCTTCACGGAGCGATTGTCTACATAAAAATATAATTGAACTTACTTTCTTTGGTCGGAAATTTCAATGAAAATTTAGCATGTTGACCCAAGACCAAAAGTTGTTCGACTATATATGTTCCATGACTGCTATAAAAATATATACCACAATATGCAAAAAAGAGGCCAAAAGATTAAAATGTATAATCTTTTTATAATAATTTACAATATCTAAGAAATTAATTAAATTTAATTAACTGATTTTTTTATTTTATTAAAAAGTGTTTTGTCGCATTTATGAGTCTTTTACTTTCTTCCAAATTACACATTTCGAACTGAAAATTTTATTTTCTACTGCGATTATTTAAAGCTCTGGTATTGCTAGAATATTATTCTAAAAACTGAAAATTTAAAAAGAAATAAGAAATAAAATTTTAAAGAAAGGATGATTCGAAATTATTTTAATAAATGTATTCTCAAGATTCTCTCAAAAATGAAAAAGGGAAAAAAAACACATTTAGGAGTCTTAAACTAATATTTAAGCGGGGTAGAAAAAAAGTACCTTATCAATCAATAACAAATCACTAATGGGGAAGGTGGGACAAAAGATATTGGGAAGCAGAAGAGAATGGAAAGGGTTTTTTAGATAATCCTAAAAGTTTCATCGGACAATCAAACTGATTTTGATATTTTTTCCTTCCGACTTTCTCCGGCTGAAAAATGAACGGGAGAAGTGATTCAACAAAATTTGTCTAATCACTAGTGATCTTCGACAAAATTCGGTATCATTTATGTTTAACATTAATTTGCAAAAGCTAAAGTTTGACTTCAGTATTTGTAACGATTCTAAATATATACATTAAGGGTGGTCATTACGAACATCATGAGTAACATATATTTTAGTAAAGTATAACGGTGGCAGTGTTTTTTAATTTGCATCTCTGTTCGAAATATCTATTTAATTAACCATATTCGCAGAGCAAAATGGCGCATGTCTTCATAAAAATTTTAAAATATATTTTAAATACATTTTTTCAAAAACATTTAGTAAATGCTTACGAAATCCTGGTAGATGTCTGACCAATTTCATCCTTATATTTACGTAGTTTCGAACCACTGAGTTTCTGTGTCACATTGATAGCACAGTGAATTTTACGCGTCTTCAATCTAATATTAGATTTGTACTGAAGTATTTAATACTATTTCAGGCTAAAGAGATTTCATATTGAGATAACAAGCACTTTTATAGCAGGTGTTTAATGTAATTGTTTCTATCTTTGTGTGCATCTTAAGTAGTTATTTATGATTAGAAGAGTTCGTAAAAAATGCTTTTAAAAGATGAGAAAATCAGGTTTGTCATATTCGGAAAAAGAAAATTTTTTTTTCCTGAAAATTAGTTACTGTGTTATACCATTGGTCTAGCAATTAATCTAATAATGCGTAAAATGCTACATTTATAAACAGTAGCATTTAGAAACCGATTAAAAAAAAATTGTTGTTGTTGTAATTTCCTTTTATTTTGAAATATATTTGTGTTCCGTATCGATAATCGTTGCACACACTTTCAGAACCCTCATCAAAAATTAAATTTAAAAAAAATGCAATTTCGAAGTCGTAAATCAATAATTAAGCGAGGAGAAAACAAAAATGTTATCGTAAGTCTAATGAATTACAAGTGAAGAAGATGATTATTAAAAACTTAAAATCGATTTTCAACTTCTCGCTGTTTCCTTCGGCAATCTAATTGGTTTTTAATCTCTTCACCAATTCGTTAGATATCGATTAAAGAAAAATTCCTAGCTTAAATATTGAATAATTTATGGTTTTTAATGCTTGCACTTTTTTTGTCTTCATTTTTGACAAAAAATTCGAAAAATATAGATTAAGGCAGTCATTAGAAAGTACCTTGCATTTTTTTTTTTTTTTTTCTATTTTCAGAACTATTAGGCTCGTAACAGTGTACCAGTTGAATCATTTCGAGATTATAAACTTAATAAAGATAAAAATAAACGTATAACCATAGTCATCAATTCGTACTATAGTTTATATGTTATTAATATGCATTTTTATTTATTTACAAACTGATTCACTAGCGAGTAACTTTGCTGTTTCATAGATTTGCTTTTTTTTCTTGTCCTATTTTCACTCGATTATTCACTCGATTTAACAAGAGTTATTCATAGTAAAGTTTGTTTAAAAAATTATAAAAATGTGATTTTCGTAGTAAAATTATATACAATCGGTATTAAGTAACGATTGCTAAAAACTAAAGCTTGTCCTTTTTTTTCCTGGCTAGCATTATTTTTTTTAACCTGCAGAAGAAGACAAAAAAAAATCATTCCTAGTACCATTTGTTTAAGATGAAATTGAGGAAAAAAATAAAATAAATGAAACAGACTGTAACAAATAAAGAGCTGTAAACTAATTATTTAACAATTGATAACTAGAGTTAATACTGTAATAAAAGCTTTTTTGACCAATTTTATAGCTTGATATGTATAATGTTTTATTGCGTTTAAAAGTTGATTCAAATCATAATATAATAATTCTATTGAAAACTAAGTATTATTTAATAAAACCCAAAAAATTAGTTACATTAAAATTAGTTCTTAAACTTAAAATATACTTTTCATTTAGTTTTTGATATTTTTAAACTCCTAAATAAAGTTAAATTTACGTATCTAATTCTAAGCAATCACTTTTTAATTTTAGTTTTAATTATTGCATTTTGCCAAAATTAATAATGCGAAAAAAACACCTGAAGGTGATTCTCAAATTTTATTTCCGATGCTTTATTATTGGAAATAAAAATATGTATTGATATTACAGCTTATACATAATTATCTAAGGCGCACTTTTTTTTCATGTTGCAGTTTGAGTCTGAAGTTAAGATTAAAAAGAATTTAAAAAGGAGAAAAAAAACTAGTTTTATTGCCTCGATTAAATCCTTTATCACCTAGCTTTTATTGCCTTTGTACAAGTCTTTATTGCCTAAGCTTTTATTGCTCTTGTTAGCTAAAAAAAGTTTTTCAAACTTAATAGCAAGCATAGAAAATAGGTTCTTCAATTTTTTCATAGCAATATTAAAAATAATTCAACACAAAAATTACCGATTAATAAATACTGTAATTAAATTTGAAAAAAAAAAAAAAATAGTATCCAGTTCTTTTCTACCATGTTGGCTAAGAACCTGAGAAGTTTCCCCGTTTTTATAATCAAACAAATTTATCAATTTAAAGATATTCAAACAAAACAACTCTTGTTTGGCTTTATTGCCTGATTCTTATTTTTTAAACAATAAAAATGGAACAAAAATTTATGCGATTTAATTTTTTCCCGCTTGAATCCTGGATATTTTTTATTTTAAAATATAAAACGTCCTCCTCAGGTCTGTTTTCGTCGGCGCCAAAGCGGATTTTGTTTGAGTGTGGCACTCCCGAGGATTGTTTCAATTGAAATCTTGAACAACTGAATTAATAAAGGATCTATTATTTTATGTCAGCATTATTTGATCCTAATTTCTCCTAAGACTAATTAAATTATCGTTATTCATTAGCAGAAGAAAAAGTACTTGATTGTGGATCTGATGTAATAATGATGTAACTTTCATTACTAAGAATCCATTTAATTTGTTTTTCTAAAAAAAATTTTTTTGGAGAGCCTAGATAATACATAATATTTGAAATACAAAACATTTGAGACAAAAGTAAATAAATAAAAAATAATTGGTTTTGGTTTTAGTTTTAATTTGAAATAATTTAGAAAAGTTGAGGTGGCAACAATTGCGAAGTTTACCCTCTGCGGACGAAATGAGTGTGGTTTAGTAGAAAAAGTACTTTTTGTCCTCTATTTTGAATATTACTCTCTGGTTATTTTATTTTTTTACACTGAAATTACCATTTCTCTCCCCAAATTTTATTACAATTTTTTTAACTTCTGAATCCATAATTTATATTTTTCTAAATGAAGCCTTCTTATGAAAGTAAGATAATAAATTTCTCATATTTGTATATCGTTATTGAAATATTTAAACTATTTCAATTATTTATCCTTGTTATTTTTTAACATGTCTTTCATTTTATTATAATCGAAATTATTTGCTCCACAAACGTTTGCATAATTTTATTTATTTACAATTTAGTTAATGTTTATTTACAATTTTATTTTGCTGATTTCATGTTTGTCGTACACTTTTTCACGTAGATGACTCTTGACTTTGTTAATTTGAAATAATGTGTTTAATTGAATAGAAATTAAATTATGCACTTTGTAAGTGATTTAAAATTTTCTCTTTTGAATGATACGTGGAGCTGTTGTGTATTGATTTTTTTTGCATTACATAATCAGAAGAAATCGCCTTTGACTTCTTGTTAATTACGGTAATAGTACGTATATCTGTTGTCTAGGAAGATATTTTTAACGTATTATATTAAGTAATATTAAATCAAGCTTCAAAAATACAGTACATGAAAATAATGTACGGAAAAAATGTACGATGACGTAATTTTTATCATGATCATTAATTTAAAAATGCTTCCAATTCTTGACTAATTATGACTCTTATATGAGTTCATTTTGTTAACTATTAATATTAAATAGAGAGTAGTGCACTAATTTAGCAATAAACTGTGAATTTTCTTATTATTTATAGTATTCATCTAATTTTTATAACTAAAAGTTGGTTATTAAGTACAGTAGGTTAACTGTTAGTTTTTATTAGGCTTTAAAATGAATTGTGCTAATACTTTAAAATTAGGTGTATTTATATTTCAATTAGCAATTACAATAATAGGTTTGTTGATTAACTTATTATATGTTTGTTAAGTAATTTAGTTCTCATCAAAATGATTTAAAATTGAGATTGAGTTGCTTCTCAATTTTCAATGCATTTTTATGTGTAAATATTTTTAATCCTGGGAAACTAACCTGAAAATTTCCAGAAAAACTTTTTTAATTTAAAAAAATAATAATTTCATGCTAAAAAATTGAAGCTTTTGTAAATATTTATATGCATTACGAAAAGTCAAAATTATTATGTTATGAGAGATTCTAACAAGAAATTATATTTATGTAATGTTTACTAAAATACTTGCTGAATAACAATTAATTAAGTACTAATTAAATTCACTTTTTTTTGTGCTTATTTTGAAAAAAAAAAACTTTTTAGTTTGACTTGAAATTATGAAAAACCTCTTTTTGTGATTTTTCACAATCACAAAATTAAGAGACCTATTTTCACTAATTCACACATTTAAGAGTAGATTTTGCACAATTTTATAAAAATGGATGTTTCACTGAAAGTCTGGAATAACCTGATTACTAAATTAGGAATCGTTTTCATTTAAACAGTTTTTCTTCTTCTTCTTTTTCTATCTACCATTGAACTTATACTGGAACAATTTTTCTAATATATGTAGATTTAAATTCAAGGAGGCCAAATCAGAAGTACCAAAAAAAATCGGAACAGTTAAGGTTTTAATAATTTCCTTTTTGTCAGCCCTTATAAAATTCTATTGAAAGATTAACAAGTTTTAATTGTTTATGTATATAATGGTGATCAAGTATCAAGATTATTGTAAAATAAATTTATTAATTTAAAAATTAAATAGATCAGCATGAAATTTGATTTCACGAAAAAAAAAATCTCCTACCAAACGCAAAGAAATTCTGCAAATCTGCTGCAATAGAATGATAGTTTATTCTGTGCCATATTTATCAATTTTGAAATTTTCCAAATTTTTTAGAAATTATATTAAAAGTTCCTTTTAAAGTAAGTTACTAAAAAGGTTTTTCCATAAAACATAAACATAATTGTTGAGCTAACAATTTTTTTTTATTTTATAGAAATATCTGATATATTTAAAACTTTGTAAACAACTGAAAATAATTACCGTAGTTTTATCATGAATCTAGTTTAGGTAAAAAAAAATCTTGTTTTTTCTTCATATTGTTGGCAAGTTATGAAGTAGGAAGATGGATATGAATTTGCTTAGATTCCCATTTTGGCTCAGTGATATCACAGAACTATTGTTTCACATTCTAGTTTATATCATAAACTATTCTACTATTATTGTTCTTTTTATATATATATACAAACATATTAGAATAAATTGCATTATTAAATATTATAGAATACATCATTGTTTTTTCAACTTCTATTCGTTTCTACTTTCTATTCATTAAAAAGATATTTTAATAAATAAATACTATGCTAAAATTATTAAATTTGCTTTTAATATAATTAATTACAAATTTTTAAACTTAATTTATTCATTTGATGTAACATTTGCTTATGAACTCTGTTACTAAATTTGAAAAAATGTAAAAAATTTCCTTTTGCTACACATTATATTTAGCACCTTTTTTAGAAACTTATTACAATAGAAAATATTTTCTTTGATAGATACATGTATTTAATTTTTAAATCAACATTTATTGATTATTATTAAATTGATGTTTATATTTCTTTCATTAATTTGGTCATTTAATTGAGAAATTATGACATCTTTCTGCAATATTGGTAAGCACTAACTACATTTTTAATATGTTTTAAAAGCACTTAAAATATTTTTATAAACATAAAATTAAATGGGTATAGTTAATTTAGTTTATTACCAGCATTCATTTTATATATAACTAATGGAAAATTATAATTTAACAGTCTAACATTACTTTATCCATTTTTAATTTTATTTATTTATTAAGTCTATTTTAAATTATAATAATTTATTCTTACATTATTTCTTTGGATAAAACCTTCAATATTAATGAAATATAATACTTTTAAAAAGAATCATGCCCTAAAAAGTATTTTTATAAAAATATTTATCACTTATTTAAGAAAAAAATCTGTTGGTTTAAATTGATTATTTTCTTTAAAAAAAATCATAATTTATTTAAGTCAATGATTAAGTCATAATTTATTAAATCAAGGGATTTAATGATGCCAACACTAAAAACAGTGTAAAACAAATAAATTCTAAATTTTTGTAGAATACATTCAAGTGCCTTTTGAGCCTTTCAGTAACTGAAATGTTTTCTTTTACTAGTGAAATCTCTGTATTATTTGCATTTAACATAATTTAAATATCGTTTTACTGTGTAGTGCTTTAGTAGTGCTAGATACTTTTCTTGTTGATATAAAAGAGAATGTTAACTTCCAGAACTTCTGGCAATCAATAAAATGGCTTTAGGGTGAGGAAGTGCATGTATCAGAGTATATTTGAGGCCCCAAGCTGGACACCCATGAGGAAGCGTCATCCCTTCGTACTTCTGAAATCAACGAGACGCTTACGGATGCTTTCAAAAATAGCGTTCAAGATGACATGACTGAACAGCCAGTCGCAACATTTAGTAATTCTTCTACTCTCACAGGTATTTGGTTTGTGAATAAAGAAAATGAATGGATAGAAATATTTCACTAACTGTGTAACTAAATTTAATTTTAAAAAAAAAATTAAAATTCTAAAGTAATACAAAAGTAAGAATTGTTTGAAAATAATTTAATTAAATGCATTTCAGTTGTAAAGATTATGTAAAAATTTTGTTTAACCTTCCGTTAGTCGCGCACTTGTTTCTGACATGGTTAATCGCGTTGCACCTATGAGGTGTTTCTGATTTTTTGAAAGCCAAATGAAATTTAGTCTAGTTTAAATAGTTAATTGTTACCAATTTAAGACTCTTTAGAGAGATAAATATCAAAAAACTNGCATAATCGCAAAATTTTATAGAAATCACGGTATTTATTTTCGATAAAATTGTAAAACTTAATAAATGTTATAAGGCATTTTAAAAGCATTTTGATATATATATATATATATATAGCATAATAAATAAAAACAAAAAAAACATGAAGAAAATTAAAATAAAACAATCAGTTTTATATTGATGCAATATTAGAAAGCACTCTTTATTGCGGACATAGTCATGTGAGCTGATGAAAAGATTATATCTTTTATTTTTTGGATTTTTTTATAAAAAATTTCCTTTTTTTGTTATTTTTATTATTATTTTTCTTTTTTTTTTCCCCTTTTTTCATTGTTCTGTAATTTTTCCCTTGTTTTCTCTACATTTTGAACTTATTCACATATATCTATGCTCATACACGCATACATATGTAGTCCATGCTCTTAAGTATGACTCCCTATTAGTGCATGTATCCACTATAACAACTGCTACAGGAAGTCTTGTTTGCTGTTCTATAGAGGTAATGTTATTTTAACATGTATTAGAACATCCAAACTGAACACTCCAATATAGTGACCCACAAATTTTTTTTTTTTCAATTCTCAAAAAATCGCTACAAAAACAGGTGTTGGACATTTTTGTTCTTTAAAAACTAACATTTTTGCATTGACAACAAGTCAATCAATAGCAAAAGTCTTACGAAAGCTATTCAATCCACTATTTCTGTTGATGTTACCAATCAATAAATATGAAACATCTTGAATTCTCTTTGAATGATAAAAAGAGTGATGGGTTCACCTGTTCTAAGCCAATGAGGTCCTGGGTGTAATCTATTGTCTGAAGAATTGTAAAGTATGGATTAATAACCATTATTGAGAATTTGAAGTGTATGTTGCAATCTCATTTAGAAATTGGGTTTGTTTATTTTGGAGTTAAAACATGTGATATTTTTCATATTCTTTCTCATCTTCGTTTTGCTTATTTTTGGGACGCATGCTATTTAACAAAAATGGCTGCTCCTAACCTATGTTTACCTGTTTAAAATGGAAATAAAAATTTTTTAACGGATGTGGATAGAAGAATAAAGCAAATTACTTAATTGTTCCAGATCCCTAAAGGCACTTAGTTTACAATAATTGAAAATCACGATGTAATTCTAAAGGCAGAAAAACAAAATGTTCTAATTTCATGACATACTACCCGTGAAGCAAAATTTCAGCACCTAAAATAAGCACTTCAATGACTGGCTAAAGTTTATGTGCATTGTGCAATTTCAGAAAATATCATTTGAAAAAATATTTAAATGTATTTTTAAACTATAATGTACTTTAATAAATAATACTTTACTTTATTGACATAGAAAAACTGCACATTTGTGAATTTCATGATTCTATTAAAGTGTAGCATGTTTTTTATCAAAATAAGTAAATATTTGCACTAATTTTATGTAATCAAGATATAGCTACCTCGTGTCGTGTCGTAACATACATTTTTGTGTGGACTACATTTTGTTATATCAAGCGTCAACAGTATACATTTTATAAACAAAAAAGTGATTTTCTTGATTGACTTTTGTTTTTTATTTATTTATTTTTTTTGCAAGAAACTAAGTCAAAATTTTATAAACTATTTTTCAGCAAAAAACTTTTAGTTTTTTATGTAGGTATGTTTTAAAATGTTTTTTTTTCTCCTTTTATTTAAAAAAATGTAACAAAATAATATGAAAAAACTTGCTTCACATGTTCCAGAAACTGATTCAAAAAGATAAGTTTTCAAGATCTAAAAAAAAAAATTTTACTTTTTTTTTCTCTCCAGAAATTTTAGTTTAAGAATTTTGTAAACTATTTATCAGCAAATAATGTTCAACTTACTGTGTACAAATATTTTTCTTTATTTAAAAATTGTTTTTCTTTATTGGTAAAAAAAAAAAAAATTGCTTGAAACTTGTTTCTTAACTAAAAATCTGAACACAGTATTTCAGATATTTAATGCTTATTACTATCTATGCCCTATTACTTTTTGCTTGCTCTGTATATATTTTTTTTTTTGATTCTGTACCTGTTAATCTTGAATATTTATTTTTATTCACTTTACTTTTTAAAAAAAATTATAAATTTTTTTTTGCGATAAACAGAAAACAATAAATATATATTTTTTCTAATTAATTCTGCTTAAGAGTGGGTTCTTTAATTATATTCTGGTATAATCTGGTATGTTAGTTTTGAATGTAATTTCATTCTATCAATTACAATTGCAAAAACAAGTGTCTTGAAATATTTCTTATTTTCTAATTCTCTTTTCATATCGTGAAAAAATTAACATGCAATATGTGTATAATCTGGCTGTAACACACTTAGCTGTGCTAATTACAATGTCATATTAATTTTATATAGTATGTGTGTGTGTATATATATATATATATATTTATATATTTANTTTTTATGTTCGTATTGTACTTTTAAATTCAGATTTGAGGTATGCTTATTTGTGCTGAAAAGTGGTCCAAAATCACAAAAATATCATATAGGCTCGTTCCAAGTGTAATCAGACGAAATTTTTTTTAAAAATTTTGTCGTCGTGTCACAGATTTTCATGAAATATTTTTGTTGAAAAATTCTTGATTCATCTAAAATAATTTTTTCAGAATTTTTGAACCTAAAACTATAATTAAAGCGTGATATGCTGAAAATATTTATATTATTTTCTAAAAAATTTTAATAAAATAACCTTTTAGGAAATTTTTTGTGCAAATTTCAAGAAGTTTTTTTTATGGGAATATAACAATTTTCACTACCTTTATTTTTTTTCTAATAATGTTAAATATTCAATCTTTTCAATGCATAAAAGAAAAATCCGGGATTGTTTCTTGTTTTTTCACAGTACAAAAATAAAGTATGAGTAGCCATTTTTGTGTGTTGTGTTTCAAATGTGAATTTTTTTTTCTTTTCTTTTTTTGATGAGTTGAAAAGTGATATAAAGGTTCTTGCAAATTTTTCCTCTCGTTACGTTAAACATAATATTTTTTCTTGCAATAAAACTTAAATGTGTTTTTTTTTCCTTTGTTTTTGCTCATGAAAGAAAAAAGTGCTATTTATTAGTCAAAATACTTTCGAGATTTTCAATGCACAAAATTGAAAGTTCCTATAAATTACCTTTCTGTGTTAAAATTGGTTTACTGTTATTGTTTTATTATTTCTTTGAACACAGACAATGATTTAAAGATACGAACAATATTTACTGAAAAGACTTTAAAAAAAAAAAAAAATAGGTTAGAAAAGTTTTCATTTCTTTTGTCGTATTCATAAGTTTTATTACTTCATGTGAGATACTTAGTTCTATTGATACTTTTATCAAAATTCTATTACTTATAAAATTTTAAGATTTTCGGTTTTTTTATTTTATTTATGACATAAGGAAAAAACTTATTTCCTCCAGCTAATCGCATTGACTAATATTGCAGTGATAGTTTTTTCTGACTATTATTGCATTGAAAAAGTACAAAGTAAAATTAATTTTTATTAGGTAATTTTTTTACTTAAAAGATGTTGAAAAATTACCAAATTTACATTAAGAACTTTAATTGTTTATCCTTTTTTTATTATTAAATTGTTCATTATTATTATTGTTATTATTTATTCATTTATTTATTTTTTTTTCCAGATATTTGTTGTAGAGCAGATACTGCTGAAGTTGAATTAGTTAGCTTAATAGAAGAACACATTCCACACTACAAACTTAGAGCTGATACATTAACAGAATTTGGTGGTATGTATTAATTTTAATTTTCAAGATTACAAAATCTTTTAGTGTTAATCAGTAAAATGGTATCAGTAACTATTATTAAAAAGATAACCATGTTAATAAGAATTGTATTTCATTATCTCTGTTAGATAAGGACTTTGTAGTGTGCGACATTTTATTTCCTATGTTTATTTTGATTTTTGTTTATACTTCCTCCATCTAATAGTAAGAATTCAGTAATATAAGTAATTTTATTGGAATTAAGTTGCTGCATTGTTCAATTTCTTGAATTATTTTACATTTGAACTTATCATTTATAAATTAAGTTTTAGTGTAAGTCTGAAACATTTATATTTAACTTAACTCTTATTTTGCATGTAATTTATTTTTTATAATAAGAGTAAAAATTATTATGAATTTGATATGTTTAATTGTCAGAATAACGTTAGTGAAAGTTAAAAAAAAAAAAATTAGAATTGGTTTAAAAGTATATTAGCATAGTTAACGAGAACTATATAAAGTTTCTTGTTAACTATGTAATTCGAAGTCAAAATTTGAATATTCCTTCCTTACTTGTTCTTTTCCTCACTCTAAATTAGTGATATGAAAAAATGTTATTTTGAATTTCAAAATATTTTTAATTTGTGATATATTTTTACTCTTTAGTTTATAATTTTCATTTATGGTGGGCTTATTATTTAACTATAAAACAATGAAATGTTGAGAAGTTTTGAAATTTTAATTGGTAAATTTTCATGTCAAACTAATTGTTGAAAACATGTTATTACTGGTATCATATATTGTTTGTAGATACAAAGTTATTAATAAAAGATTTCTTATTGTTTTTTTTTTTTAATATTTCGTGTTATTGTACTTTTTCATTTCTGAAAACAGATGTAATATACGTATAATTGTATTTTTTATCAATTATATTAAAAGATAATGGTTATTATTTGTATTTAAAAACTTATTCAAAATATATATATATTTTTTTTATTTTAATTTTTTTCAATTAATTTTATTTCGTCGCATCTTCAGTCGGTAGTGCATGAAAATGCCATTCGATATACATGACTCAAAAATTATGACAATTGTCAAAAATAATGCCAAAAAGTTTTTTTTTTTTGGATATGACGGTTAAATTCAGATAAAACCGTCAATTGTCAAAAACTTTCCAACCAAAACTATAAAATATTAATGCAGATACAATCGTACTAAGTAAAGTCACGCAGCCAGCCTACCTATATAATATTCTTTATAATATATTAACTAAGACTAACACATCTGAAAGACAAATTTTATAGTGAGGTCATCTAAGTTGATAGCAGACAACAAGATAGATTTCAAAATGTTCAAATCTAAGTTTGTTGTGATGTTTTAGAAAAATCAATTTTCCTCTTGATAATATTCATATTTTTAGGTTTTAAAATAAAACATGTTTCTAAGGTAGGTTATTTTAAAAAAATCTTTTTTCCTCTTGCTAACATACATATTTTTAGGTTTTAAAATAAAAAACAAGTTAAATTTTACTAAAATATTTAGCAACNATTTATTCAAACTCTTAAAATATTTTTATTTTTCAAGGTATAAAAATCAAGCTACTCTACTTCCTGTTAATCTCATTTTAGACAGCTCTGTTGTCAAAAATATCTTTTATGAAAATTGTTCTGTATATTCTGTATAAGGTCCTTTTTTATCACTCTTTTTAGTGCCTAAAACATTCTAAACCTATAACTTCATATTTACATTGGTAAAAATGGAGTGGCTACAGAACGCAGGAAAGTTAGGAAATTTTATCAATTTGGAAAAATCAGATAAATGTCAATGAGTCAAACAAATACTCAAAAAGTTATGAGAAATTAATAAATTTATATAAGGTAACTAAATGATCAATATTTTTTCTGTGAAAAAATTAGCCTTGTAATAATCTTCTATACTATTAAGAAAAAAAAACTTTTTTATGAACCATTAAAGTTGAAAATAGTGTTTTGTTATGTATTTTATGCTTTAGAATTATATAATTACTGTGTTTGTGGTCACCCTGTAAATAGTTTTTAAAGTATATCATTCATGCCTCTCTCAGTCAGGAATTATATTATTCTCATTTGTAACAACTTTTAAGTTTAATAAGGTTGTAGAATATTAAAAAACAAAAGAATTTTGTAGTTTTGATGCATTTATAATATATCAAAGATTCAAATATATCAATTATAATATATCAAAGAATCTGAACCAATTGCTAGTAGCCAGCCTGTTATGGTACAGGAAGTAGAGTAGCTTTTAGCGCTTAGTAAATATTAGAAAAAGATTATTATTTTTAATATAATATTATTTGAAATTAAAATGGACAAAACTACTCTACAAGGGTGCGTAGCATTTTTAAAAAGTGCTTAAAGGTGCTTATTTTCAATTTTCGTTTTTTAAAAGCCCTTAAAGGTGCTTTTTTCATTGTGTGTTTTTAAAAAGTGCTTAATTTTCCCTTTTCCAAATTGCGATTTTTTCTTTACCGTGTTGATTTTCACTACGAATTATGCAGAAAAATACAGTTCACATTATTCTATTCAACGTTTTCACAATTAATTCAACCCCAATCTATTTCGGCGCATCTTCAGTCGGTAGTGCATGAAAATGCCATTCGATATACATGACTCATAAATTATGACAATTGCCAAAAAGTTTTTTTTTTTTGTTTTGGATATGACGGTTAAATTCAGATTAAATCGTCAATTGTCAAAAGTTTTCCAACCAAAACTATAAAATATTAATGCAGATACCATCGTACTAAGTAAAGTCACGCAGCTAGCCTACCTATATAATATTCCTTATAATATATTAACTAAGACTAACACATCTAAAAGACAAATTTTATAGTGAGGTCATCTAAGTTGATAGCAGACAACAAGATAGATTTCAAAATGTTCAAATCTAAGTTTGTTGTGATGTTTTAGAAAAATCAATTTTCCTCTTGATAATATTCATATTTTTAGGTTTTAAAATAAAACATGTTTCTAAGGTAGGTTATTTTAAAAAAATCTTTTTTCCTCTTGCTAACATACATATTTTTAGGTTTTAAAATAAAAAACAAGTTAAATTTTACTAAAATATTTAGCAACTAAAACTTTTTAGACCCTGTGATGATCACGCCAAGGATTTTTCGTCCAATACTATTATTTAATACTCTGTTTTCTCACTTAAAAACAAGATGTCAACATTTAAATTAAATTATTTGACACTGTAATCTGAATTAGAATTTTATTATCTATACTTTTTTTTTAAAAAAAAGTCTTTGATTTTTAAATTATTATGTTACAAAACAATGATCAAAGAAGTTTGCTTTGTATGAGATTTGAAGAAGTGAGAAAAAAAAGTATATCTTTCTCAAGGGATTAATTAATTCATGTAGAAAGTGTATAAAAAAGGCAAATTAATTTTGCCTGTTTTGTGTTTAATGATACAATTATAATTTGCATAATTATCATACATAAATTTATTTTTTTACTGAAAGCTGCAGTTATAAAATATTGTGTTCCCTCCTCCCAAATTGCACTCAGTTTTTAATTTTAAAAAAAAAAATTTAACTTTTGAACTCTTTACTAAAAATTGAGTAAATATGAATGCTTTTTTTTTTTTTTTTGTTTTTTGTTTTTTTAACTTACATGCGTTTAAAATCTGGAAATGTGTTTTTATTAAATGTTGAAATTACCCTTTATTAATGCTCCAGAATAATGATTGATTGCCTACTCTTAAATGTTGGCATGATCATAAGAATTATGTGTGTAAACTAAGTAAAATTTTATTTTAGACCTTTCTGATTTTCTTAATTATATAATGTATTATATCTGATGTTTGTATTAGTAAAATATTTAGAATAATTCTTTCAGGATACGAAAACGAAGACTGGTATATACAGACCCCAGCTTTAAGCCCTGATACTGATATACCCCTTAGTCCTGAAGTTGTTGAGGAAACCCTTAAATATTTTGGTACAGTATAAAGCATTTTAATTTTGATTCAGTTAAATAGTGTTATTTTCATGTTATTAGATTTTCTAAATGAATTGTAATTTGTTGTAAAATTAATTTAATTATGTAATACTTAATGTCTTTGCTGTTTTTCCCTTAATCTCTTAATTTATTTTTATTATATATTTTAATAATAATACAATAAAATATTTTGTAATTACAATATTTCTTATTAAAAAAAAATTTATTTTTTAAAAAAAATTCTCTTATTAATTTAAATTTATTTAAGCTGACTTTAAAAACAACATAATTACCATGCTAACTAGAAAATGTATTAATTTTTTGAATATGTAAAAGTGAAATGCAGATAATGTATGTTTCTTCACATGTATAATTGTATTAATATGAAAGGAAGGAAATAGCAAAAATTAGGGGTATTTATGGAGAAAAGTGTATTTTTTTCTAGTAAATATTGTTATGCAACAAATGCTTTTATTTTAAATATATTGTTACACTGTAAATAGTTTTTGTTTTTATAAAATTAAATTATTTGGTCTTTGATTTTGTCAAATTTTATTTGCTTATGTTTTTAATTTTTAATGCATCAAGAATCATCTTTTTTGAAATATTATTATAATTGCTTCAAGTTCATGATATTCATTCTAGTGTTATGTGCTGATCGTCTCAGCCAGATGACCAAGACATACAATGATATTGATGCAGTAACTCGATTATTGGAAGAAGTAAGTTCAATCTAGTTTTTAGCTATTTTTATTTATTTTTTTACTGTTGTTAATTTGCAAAACCCTATATGCAATATATGGTTTTGCAAATATATATATTTATATATATATATCCCAGAGTATAAGTCCCTATATCTTTGATTACGAGTTAGCAAAATTCTAGTATGTCTCATTTGTAAGTCAAACACTCAAAAACCCAAATATAAAAATGTTTGAAATTAAAAAACTTACTAAATGCATGGGAAAGTGTGGATTCAAATAATATTATAAAAACCCATGAAAAGTTTTTTGGATGAAAGCAAATTTTTGCGGAACTTTGCAAAAGAGGATAAATCCATTGCAGAGTGGGATCTGCATGATGACACTGCTAACGTCGTTCAAATTGACACAGATAATGTTCTGAAATCTCTAAATTTGTAAGTTTATAATGGCATGTTTTCATTGTATTATATATTTGAGAAATACTCTTGAATAAGTTATCTTAACTTTTCTTAGTCTTAAGTTTTTCCCTAAATTTTATTTAAACTACTGTTTTTTTTTTAAAAAAAAATCTTCATATGTGAAGGAAATATGGTGAGAGAAATTGCTAAATTAATTGTATATAACATATTAAAAATAGTTATTGAGAAATAGAGGACAAAACCTCACCCTGTCATTTTAAAGGGAGCAAGGTGGAAGGAGTTAATTAAGATAATCATCTTAAAAGGTTCACTATATATTCTAACTTCATGATGCACTTTTAACAATTTTATTAAACATCTTATTTTTGCATGAATTTCTATAATTTTGCCTGAAGTTGCATATGATTATCACCTAACATAAATGTTAAAATCACTTTTATCTTATACAGGGTAACAATGTAATCAATGAATTTTATTAGTCTGAAAAATCAGAGAATTTAACTAAAATCCCTAAAAAAATCCCAGAAAATGAATTAATTTGAAATTAAAATATCTAAGTGTGCGATATTTTTTCCAAAAAGAAAAAAAATGGTACGTGCAAAAGTTTTATTTATTTTTAAAAATAATTGGATTTTTTTTTATTTGACATAAAGTTTAAGTTTTTGTTGTGTTTTGTGTACGACTAAAAAATTTATAATAAAATTTAGACCATTGATTACAAAAATGAGAGAAATTCAATAAAATCAATCTGAAAGAAATAGGATAAAATCAATTTTCTTTTTCTGAATTCTTGTGGTCACTGTTATAATTCTTCAAATACAATCTTGAGTTTAAAAAATGTTTTTATTAGCTTATACATGGTTCATAATTTAATGTAATAATTATTATGTATAAATATAAAGTTCGTAATAAAAATAAATATAACTATCTTATGAATTTGTAGAAAGAACGTGATTTAGAACTTGCTGCTCGTATTGGACAGTCCTTGTTGGATCAAAATAAGGATTTGAGATTAAGGAATGATCAACTTGAACAAGAACTGGGGAATTCAAATGATACTGTAAGTATTTTCCATGATAAATTTTACATTTTCAGTATTAATAATTTTGGCAGCATGAATTAATGTAGCATTTTCCTTTTACTAACATTTAACACTGTTTACTTTTCTAAAATTGCATTATGTTAAAAGTAGCAAAATTCTGGTATCAGTAGTAGGAATTGTGTAAAGTAAAAGTTGGAATTGTATGTATCTAAACTTTCTCTTATATTAAATATGGATTATTCCAATATTTGCCCTTAAATGATATGTAACTTATTTAATATTTTTATGTCTAGAAATATTTTTATTTAAACTTAGTAATTATGTCTTTTGAAATGATAATAAAAAAGTTCAATAAAATTATAAATTTTTTTTTTAATTATCCTTTTTTTATAATCTTTTTTTATCTCATATTGTGTGATCTAATTTCTCATTATTTATAAATCGGCAAAAAGAATCATCAGCTTTGATTTATTAAAACTGTATTTATTTACCATAGAGTTGTTCCTATACGACTGGGTCATAATGAAAAGACACATTTTGATCTTAAAAATATTAATGATTGGCAATGCTCTGTAAATTTTAATCATGTTTAGGGTGGTTGTTGATTTTTGAAATGCTGTTTTACAATTCATGTTTTGGGGGGTTATTTAATTTTTTTCTTTCTCATCTTTGGAATAAATCTTTTTTTTTTTTTTCTTCTTTGCTCTTCATTAATGCTGATTGATAAATCTTACATTTAACAGCATCCCTTAATGATGCTGAAACCTTATTTATCTAGAAAAACTCTCATTACAATATAGTTTTACTTTATTTCATCTTGCTAAAAATTTCTGTTCTTTTGATTTTTAGTTAACTCAGTTAAAACATGATTTAACTGTGAAAAATGGCTTACTGCAAATTTATACTCAAGACTTGGACACAGAATCAGACACCAGTTCACCAGTGTAAGTTAATAAAAAAATTTTAAAAATTTCTCAAGTATACTATTATTATTATTATTTACCTATATAACCATTTAAAATTTTGTATAGTATTTAAGAAAATCAAAAATGTACAGTTTGTATCAGTGATAAAAATGTTTAAGTCACTGTTTTTTAAAAAAAAAAAAAAATTTCTCTTTGTATAGATGCTTTCTGTTTTTACTAAACATTTTAGTACTTGACGTTAAATTTAATTAGACTAGTTAAAATGACTGTAATTGCGTTTATTAATGTCTGTTTCTTTTTTAAATATTTTAGTAAAGAACGAGGCTTTTCTGTCAGTTGGGATCTTCTCAATAGGAAGATCAGTAATTTGCAAGAAGAAAATAGCCTGCTTAGGACAGAGGTAAAAATATTCACATCATTTCACTAGCCATAGATTTTCATTTATTATTTATGTTAACTTTTTGTCATAATTATAGGCTATATCCAGGTCAGCAGAGCTTGAGGACGAGGAGAAAAAAGAAATGCAGTTGATTACAGATTGTGTTAAGCAACTGGGTATGTTATTATTTCTTAATATAAAGACTTTAGAGGGAAGTCATATTTTTTGACAATTGGGAAACGCTCAAATTTTTAGATTGCATGTTGATTGGTTGTTAGTACAGGCCAGTGGTCTCCAAATTATGTTCTATGGCCAAAAAATTGTCTAATAAAGTTAAATCACTGGCCTGCTGACCTGCCAGTGATTTAATTTTATTAACATTTTGTTTTTGTTTTTTAAATTTACTACATGTATAAATTTAACAAAAAATAATTAGAATAATGTGCATAATGAAATTGAACATTTTTAATATAATTAATGATCTGAATTTTGTAATAAAAACTTACAAAAGGGGACATGCTTTTGCCAGATAGATAATTATAATTCATTCACTTTCTTGTCCTGAAATGGAAATTTGTATTCATTTCAAAGTTGCAGCATGTTTATATAATGAGTTCACTAGTTAAAATATTGTACAGTACAGAACCTGTTATCCGGAAATCAGAAAACAAAAAAACCGAAACAAAATTTGATAAATTTTCCCGCAATTTTTTTTTTAAATGTTTTTTTTTTTTTCCTTATAAGATTTTAGGATTTTTCTTTCTTTTTTGAAAGATGTTTACCTTACCATCATTTTGGAAATAATCATTAGTGTAATACTTCGTTTTTTCTTCTTTTTAAGATTATTTCCAAATATTTATTTTTTTTTTAGTTGGGTTTAACAATTAAAAAAACGACTTTTTGTAGAGATTCAGAAAACCGGAAAAATCAGTTATCCGGAAAAACGATGGTCCCGATCGTTCCAGACAATCGGTTTTCTCAAATTTCTTAGGCTTTGAAGAGAGTCAGATGTCCTCCTTCCTTCCTAATTAACACCTTTAATTACCTTACAACATTTGATGTTTTTCTGCAATATTTTTCAGGTGCAGAAATCTGATGCCCTTAGGCAAAAAAGTTTAGGAGCCCATTGTATAGATATTTAAATTTTTCAGTGAAGTTTAATTTTTAGTAAAGAAAATTTTTCAGTAAAGAAAGCAGTTATTTTTTTAACCCTTAATGGACCAACATCATTATATAAGCAGCATATAACATCGTACTATAACTTTCACTTATTTGATCAAAATGTTAAGTAGTGGGGTTGCAAATCATTTTATTATTATCATTCTTGTAATTACAGGGTTCCCACAATACTTGAAAGTCCTTGAATTTTGTTGAAAAAAATCAGGGCCCTGAAAAGTCCTTGAATTCTGCCATAAGGTACTTGAAAAGTACTTGATTTTTTAGGAATTAAAATAATGCTAATCTTTCTTACAAAAAAGCAGTAAAAAAGTAATAATTAAATTCAAAGGAAAATTATACAAATTCTGTAAATGCAATTTTTTATGTTTAAAGTGAAAAGGGGTTAAAGAAGATGCAAAACTTTTCTCCTAGATTTTTCTACCAGATTATTGTTCATCTCTCTGATGTTTTGAAAACTGAAATTTCTAGCAAATTTTAGGTTTTGTAGTCATAGTTTTCGAATAATATATATAGTGTTTAATTGATTTAGAAATATGTTCAATGTGTTAGCTTCATTATTACGACAGGTTAATATTGTTATCCTATTTGTTCTTTTAATTTATGTATGAAGGATAATTAATTTTTTATCATTTATAATCAAAACGTTTACATTTAGTTAGTCAAGTCTTAGTTAGTTATCTGTATAATATTGTTCTACAATAGATTTTATTATGTTCAAAATACATTACTGATATTCTGAAGCAACAAAATAGATAATTTGCTATTAAAATTGAAACAGATGTGTTAAATGGATATATTTTGATATTTTATGTAATTATATACATTTCCTGTAACCTAAAATTTGATCTAAGATATTAAAAAAAAAGTATTTATATTTTAATAACCATGCAATTAAAAAATTTTATCAATTATTTACTATGCTTGTTTTATGTAATATGCATTATTCATTCATTTAGTTTCATTAATTCTAATTCGCTTCATTAAATTTTTCTTGAAAATAGTTTCACTGATGCTAGTTTTTAAATGTTTGTTAGTACCCTATGTCAATTAGAGTTTTTTTTCTTCTTTTTTTTTTGTCAATTGGAATTTTTCAAAGTGATTTGAAACAGCAATATAACTATCAACCATTTGTATTATTAGCTGATAAATTTAATAAATAATTTTTTTATGTTGTCAAATACACATTTAGCTTTAAAAATACTGCTTCTACGTAATTGCAAAATTTGGTTGGCATGTACTTAAGCATATAACTGTAATACTGAATAGGTCCTTGGAAAATATGACTTTAGGTCCTTGAAAGTCATTGAAAAGTCTTTGAATTTTTTTAAAAAATTGAGTGGGAATCCTGTACATGACTCCCTGAGTTGGACAGGGAAAACCTGGAATTGTCAGGAAAAATTTTAATTTTTTTAGAAAAACCTGAAAAATTTCTATATCATGCCTGGAAAATAGCCAGTCTTTGAATTGTCAATAATAGTAATCAGTTATTGAGATTAGAGTTACATTTTAACTACAATTATTTGTTATAAAAATTTCATAGTTTAGTCAAACTGATATGTTCCCATCTCCCATTCAAGGATTTTTTTTTTTTGCTCACAATATCTAATATTTGGCATTAAAAATAAATAAGATTTCTGATGAAAAATTGCATGGTATAGATAAAATATGGGCTGGATTTTCATTGAACTTTACCTGGAATTGTCAGAATTTTTTTTTCCCGTCTGACATTAAGTGGGAACCCAGTTATATAGCCGGTAACCTGTATGCTAATAGAAACTAGACGAGATTGACATAACTAGAAATGACCAAAATTATTGTTTGGCAATAAGTTTTATAAGAATAGCTTATATTTAAAAACAATTTAGAGTAGTACTAGAAAGTTAAGTCTTTTTGATATTTTAAGAAAACAAATATAGTATTCTATTTGTAATTGTAAATTCATTACATGTAATGAATTTACACTTACAAATAGAATGTGATTTGTTAATTTAGAGTGTTAGTTAAATTTGGCTACATATTTCAAAGTTCTTTATTTATTTTTGTAATTATATAAAGTATTATAAAGTATAAAGTATTATATTAGCCCGAATACTATACATCATTACATAAAATATTAAAAAACTCTGCTGCTGTGCTATTAAAAAGCACAACATAAGTGCTTCATGATAAATTTCGAGAAAATTGTTCTCAACAACAACAGTTTTCCTTCTATTGCTAGCGCTAAATAGAATACTAAAATAGAATTTCTAATGCTAAAATAGAATTTCAAGAAACTGATAAAACAAATCTTGTCTTTGAAATAAACTTTCTGGACATAAGTAGTTTACCATACAAAAATGCCAAATATATAAAAACCTTAATTTTGCATTTTTTGTCACTTACATGGATTTTTCTAGTGCATGGCAGTATAGTTATTTTAATTTCTTCCATTTAAGTAGGAAAAAATCTTTTCTTCTGTAGCAGTTTGTCCATGGTTTTTACCACAGTGCTTAAAGGGTGCCTATTTTTTGTTGAGAAATCTGGCTATGCACCCTGATCTACTATTCCACTGAATGTTTGTCTTAAGATTTTGAATGAAATGTTTGAAGTAACATTTATATATGCATACCTGCCAAGTCTCCTGTTTTTTTAACGAAGACACCCGTATTTTACAGCTATCTCTTTACCTGTATATTCTCAACTTTCTCTGTAGTTGTTGAAGAAATTAAAAAAAATATATAAATAAATTGGTGATAAAATATCCATTGATGACAAAAATCCTTCTCTTATTCCTCAACAGATGGTAATATTGTCAGTACTGCAGTATGTTGAGTGTTAATAGTTTAGGTCGAGCCGTTATGGCTCAGGGGATAGAGCGTTTGCTTCCCAATGATTTGGAACCAGGTTCGAATCCCAGCAGTGACTGCTCTAAACGAATTCCGAATCTGGTTTGGACCGACCACAGTGCTAATGTGAAATATCTTCAGTGGTAGATGAATCACGGTTTAGAGTCCCCTTGTCGTCAGGCCAACCGTGGGAGGTTTTCCTCTCCATGTAACTCAAATATGGGTTAGTTCTATCAAAAAAAGTCCTCTACAAAGCAAATTTCTCCTATTACTTGATCCAGGAGTTCCCTTATCTTCTGGATTGTGTTTAAAATTACAAGGCTACAGAGTTGAACATCAGTAGTCGTAAACCCAAAATTGAATCGGATAGTAAAACAGTGTTTTCATTACAGAAAAAAAAATGGGAGAGAATTTCTCACCCTTTCTCGAAAACAGGGTGAGATTTCAAAAAGTTAAGTGAGATTTCTAAAAATTAAAAAAAACCCGAATAGACTTTTAAAAAAAATATTTCTTTAATTATAATAAATTTTTAACATCTTCTGATTTCTAAACCATTGAACATTGAATATTTTTGCTGCATTATCATATGGAAAATGTTCTGTATCTACTTTTTCATTAGCTATTCTCATTAGGTTTGCTCAAATGCTTACCAATCGATCTGTTACGATATTTTGTTTTAATTCGGCTTAGGGGGGCTAAATAACCTTGCAATAGATGCTGAACTATTCGGAATCACTCATTAAATTTGTNCTACAGAGTTGAACATCAGTAGTCGTAAACCCAAAATTGAATCGGATAGTAAAATCTGTTATTTTATTTCTCCAATGTTGGCAGGTATGCATATGCAAAAGTTTGACCTGTTAACGAACTGTGGATAAAAGTTTCTTTAAGTAAAAAAGTATTTAAGCAATCTTAGAATGAGCAAATCACTTTTCTATTGAATTTTGTGCATTGTTTACTTAATTTGTATATAATATTCAATAATGTAGTTATTATTTTTAAATTGTATATTTTCCAGATGATTTGATATCTCTGCTAGATGCAGGTATTCACAGTGATCATCCAAGTGTTATTATTGATGCAGATGCTATGTTTTCTGAAGATATGTTTGGCTACTCTACACTACGTAATAGATCCGGAAGCCGCGGTCGCTCTGGTATGAAACTGAAATCATTATGCATGTTCTATATTTTCTGAAATAATGGGAAACAGGGGAATTTTACTGCCGTTCATCAGTCATCATCATAGTTGGCAAGACAGCCCAATGTTTTCCTCTGAAGATTTCTCCATAACTACTTCTGATTTATTTTTGATATCCAAGTATTTTCATTAATTGCAATTAAATCAGACTTCACCGAAATAGCACTTCTCAACCGCTTTCTTGTTCCAGTGTGTCTAAAAAGCTCTAACTTTTTTATTGTGTTCCATCACTCATTCGAATCACATGATCCATCCAATTCATTCTATTTATTTTTATGTACTGTAAAGTACCTTTCACCAGTACTTTCACAAAAATTGACCCTGTAAAAACAGCTTTTTCACAAATATAAGCACAGTAAAATCGATAATTTGACAAAAATGATTACTATCCTAGCAAAATTGGCACCTTCTCAGAAAGAATGATGATTGAACGCTTTGCCCTTTTTTCAGAAAATAATTCAAGACACTAACATATTTTGTAAGAATTATGAATCTGTTTAATGGCACATACCTCACCCTATTCTTACTTGTATTTATTTAAAATTTACATATCACGATTCATATTCAGGTGACTTAATTACGCATTTCAATTCATATTCACCAGTTTTGAAAATCATACATTGTGATTGCTCTTGCAATTCAAAAATCAAACTTTGCGATTCGTATTCACTTGTATTAAAAATCATATGTCACAACTCTTCTCACAATTTAAAAATTACACATCGCTATTTGTATTCACATGATTTTAAAATCACACATCGCAAATCGTATTCACAAGACTTAAAAATCCGATATCTATCTTTATTCACACAATTTTAAAAGTGATGAAGGAAAATCCCTCATGGAACACTAGGATGAAATTCCAAAACTGGTGAAGTTATTACACCCAAGCTTAATACTACTGACATCAACAGTTTCTGTAGAAAAACTTTTCCAGAATGAATTTAGAAATTCGTTAGATTTTCATTTAGTGGCCTTGAAAAGCTGTCAGATCTTGTAGATTAAATAATCACATGAACCATTTTATATCCTTTTAAGTGTAAGAAAGTGTAATCAAGATAAGTATTGTAAAGTAATGCAAATTTGAATTAATGTGTATTAATTTTAACTAGTAAGTGTTATATTAAATAAGTATTTGTCATAAAAAGTTTTAAACAAGTATTTTAATAATTTTCTATAAATAAGGAAAAAAAATTAAATTAATGTTTTTTTTTTTTTTTTTTAAATCTTTACTTTTGAACTAATTTTCTCAGTGAAAATTATGAAGCCTTACATTTTTTCACAAAAATAAAATGGCTCTAAAATTTTTCTTAAAAATGGGTATAAGTTAATTTTGTATTAGCCACTGGGTATTAAAGAATTGTAATTAATTGTAATACTTAAGTGCAGATTGACAAGAATCTTGATTTTTCTAAAGTAGTTAAATGTCAGATTTTTTTTTCATTGAAAATAGATTTTTTCAATTTGTTTTTCCATTTTTCCATCAAACCTGTCGCATTTTGTTTTAGTGAAAAATTTTAGAGTTTTATAATTTCTTGTGAGGAAATTTCTTCAGTTGTGAGGATAAAAAAAAAGGGGGGGATATTTTCCTTAATCAGGATTGCCACTCCGGAGGGAGCACAGGGAAAACCGGGAAAATACAGGGAATTGAAAAATCGCCTAAAATAACAGGGAAAATGCAAGAAATTTAGATTTTTTCTTTACAAACTGGAAAAAGCAGGGAATTTTATTTCTTATTTTTGTTTTTTAAAAGATGGTAACTACGCAAAGTGTATTCTATGTAATATTTAAGGATGATGTTTCGGCTATACTAAACTATTTCATTTGCTATAGCATTATTTAAGTATGTTCATCTGTTTTTCTAGCAATTAAAACTAATAAATATAGTTAGTCCAATATAGCTCACACAAGAGCACAGTAATTGTTGTTTCCTCTTAATATATTGTGTATAATATGCACAGGGAAAATACGGGAATTTTTCCAGATTTGAGTGGCAACCCTGTTAATTATCGAAAACTATTATATATGCATCCTGTTGTGCAAAATATAAATGAAAAAAAAAATTGCAAAACAGAACACTCCAGTGCATTTTTTTTATAATACTGTAGTATCACTTTTTGCCATTTAACAATGTGAATGTGGCCTTCTGTTTTTCACTATTTTAAGTTTTTTTTATTAATTTAGTTAGTCTTTTAAGCAGTACTTTTAAAAAATTTTTAGGTGACCGGGAGAGGGAAGGTGAGAGAGAGCGAGATTCAATGTTTCGATTGAGAGAGAGGCAATATTCAGGATCACGCCGATGGATTGAAACCACACTGCGAGACAATAGCTCCAATGACAAGCCTGGTGAGAGCGTAGGTACATCAGACAGCAAGAAAAGAGAAATAGGTGACTGCAATCCCCTTTGGCTTTCAGATGAGTTGGAGTTCTGGCCAGAAAGGGTAGGTAACTTTCTTAATACGGTGAATGCCTGCATTCTTGGTGTGTGTTGATCAGACAATAAAAATAAATGCAGTAAAATGATGACTGTAATAAAAAATTACTCATTATTCATATTGCCTGGTCTTCAAAACAGAAATATTTTTTTCAGATAAAGGGCCATTGTCTTGTTTTTAATCTTGATGTAGTTTCATACCTGTCAAGTCTTCTGTTTTTTAACGAAGACTCCTGTATTTTATGACTATATTCTGTTACCTATATATTTTTACATATTTGTTGAAGAAATTAAAATCTTTTTTTTTTTATGATAAAATATCTATTGATGGCAAAAATATTTGCCTTATTCCTTAACAGATGATGCTATTGCCAGTACTGCAGTATGTTAAGTGTTAATAGTTTATGTTGAGCTGCGATGGCATAGGGGATAGAGCGTTCGCCTTCCAATAAGGTGAAACCACGGTTCGAATTCCAGCAACGACTGGTCGATATAAATTCTCCATCTGACTTGCACCAACCACAGTGCTAACATGACATATCATCAGTGGTAGACGGATCACGGGTTAGAGCCCCCTTGTTGTCAGGCTAATCTTGGGAGGGTTTTGTGGTTTATTCTTCTTCTTTGAAATATCATATTGTATTATTCAAATTTAAATACTAAATAAATTGAAAGGAGTGTTATTTAACACTTCAAAATCCCAAGGGAAAATAAACTGTCTAGGAAATTTTCTCTACTCTTATTTCTTACAATTTCATTGAATTGATAAAATAATATTAAGAGTAAACCTAAATCCCTTTGTGGTGTGACCGTATCAGAAAACTATTAAGTGCTTTTGGAACAAATAGGTTTTTACAATAACAAAATAACTTTTAAAAATGTCAGAATGATAGTAAGAGTTCCCACAGGTTAGGAAGAACAGGGAAAACTTGGAATTGTCAAGGAATTTTTATTTTAATTCCAAAAATTAGGGTATAGTCAGGGAAAGTTAGTTTTTTTTTTATACAAAAACCTTGAATATTCCCCAATATCATACCTGTATATAACCAGTCTTAAAATTGTCAATAACAGTAATCAGTTATTGAGATTCTTGTTAAATATTTCTAACATCTATTGCAATTATTTATTATAAAAATTTTACATTTTAGTCTAACTGAAATGTTACCTTTCTCATTTAATAATATCGTATACAGAAAATTAACATTTCACATTACAATGAAAAAAAATCTATGATCACAATTTTCAGTGCGCTTATAAAATGTTTTACTGCTCTGATAGTTCAAGAAATTTTTATAATAAATATCTGACATGCATGACTAGCAAAATATGCAAAAAAAAATTTTAATATATATTTATTAAAATATTTACATAGTTAACTGTAAAATTTGTTTATTAGATTCATTTTAGTAATTTATCTCATTTCTGAAGATGCATGAGTAATTTTATAGATATAATTATAATTTTAAAGTGATGCTTAAAAAATTTAATTGCATTTTGATTGGTAATGTGTAATAAATATACGTATAACATGGAAAAGATAAGTACATAACAATATTAATAAGATAATAAAATTATATATATAAAAATAACTCTATGACGAAGGGGGAAAAAATTTACAGTTCAACTTACACTTTACTGCATTAATTTTCTTATACACTTAAAGGTATTTATGTAAGAAATTGTCTTTAAAAAAAACATTTTTTATTGTAACTGAACTAATATATGTAACTTATGCGCATAAAGTGATTAAATTGCTTTAAAGAAGACATTATAAATTTAAACATAACTTAGAGTTGTGTAATTTTAAGTTAAATCAGTCAGATTGCTTAGAATACTTACCTATTCTAACTTTAAAAATGGTAACAATTTTGTGCTATATGTACAATTTGTAATAATATTGCCCTCATTGCTCAGCAACTATTATTAATTCTGAGCAATTTATTCTTAAAATGTATTTTTGTTTTAACTATTTTCTGTTAAGAATCCTGTAATTAAAATAATTCAGTGTTACAATTTGTATGTTATGCTGTTGCTAGACTTAAAAGTTATAATAAATAAATAAATAAATAGAATTTGANAAAAATCTATGATCACAATTTTCATTGAAATTTACCTGGAAAAGTCAAGGAAATTTTTTTCTGAAATTGAGTGGGTGTAATGATAATTTTTCTAATTACTTAAATGTTTGAGTGCACTTATAAAATGTTATACTGCTCTGATATTTAAAAAATTTTTTTATAATAAATATCTGACATGCATGACTAGCAAAATATGCAAAAAAAATTTAAATATATATTTTTTAAAATATTTAATTAGTTAACTGTAAAATTTGTTTATTAAATTCATTTTAGTAATTTATCTCATTTCTTAAGATGTATGAGTAATTTTATAGATATAATTTTAAAGTTATGCTTAAAAAATTTTATTGCATTTTGATTGGTAACATGTAATAAATATACGTATAACATGGAAAAGATAATTACATAACAATATTAATAAGATAATAAAATTATATATATAAAAATAACACTATGACGAAGGGGGAAAAAATTACTCCTCCTGCCTAAGTTGACCTTTAAAGCAATATATCACTACAGTTCAACTTACACTTTACTGCATTAATTTTCTCATACACTTAAAGGTATTTATGTAAGAAATTGTCTTTAAAAAAACATTTTTTATTGTAACTGAACTAATATATGTAACTAATGCGCATAAAGTGATTAAATTGCTTTAAAGAAGGCATTATAAATTTAAACATAACTTAGAGTTGTGTAATCAGTCAGATTTCTTAAAATACTTACCTATTCTAACTTTAAAAATGGTAACAATTTTGTGCTATATCTACAATTTGTAATAATATTGCCCTCATTGCTCAGCAACTATTACTAATTATTACAATGTATTTTTGTTTTAACTATTTTCTTTTAAGAATCCTGTAATTAAAATAATTCAGTGTTACAATTTGTATGTTATGCTGTTGCTAGACTTAAAAGTTATAATAAATAAATAAATAGAATTTGAAAAAAAAATTGTTCCAGTTTTAAATATATAGTTGAATTCTAACCTGTAGACTTTTAGTTGAGTGTTTGCCATTGCATTGTGAATTACAATTCTAACATTGAAAAATTTCTTGACTAATACTAAAAAATTTCTTGTATGAAATTCATTTATTTCCAAATATTTTATATCCTCGAAAATATTTACGAGTGCAAATAACTTTTTTTCTGTCTAAGTTAAAATTGAATTGAAGAGAAAATTGTCTTCCTTGCAATATTTATTAGAACCATTCTTCATTTTTTTTAGATGGGGCAGTGTAAAAGATTTATTCAGATGGGTGCTCTCTATTCTGAACTTGTGGCTGTAACTGCATCAGGTCAGCTTTGTCAATGGAAATGGAATGAACCAGAACCTTATCGTGTTGAGGTAAGTTTTTTTTTTTTTTTTTTTAGTTTTCAGGTTTCGGTTATCCGAATAAGTTTTATACAGGAAATTTTGAGCTTTGCAGAAGTGTCCTTCTTTTGTCATTTTCATGATAAAAGTGAAATGTTTTTATTAATTCAAATTATTATTCTTGAGAACATTTCAAACATTGTTAGAGGGAAGTCGTGGTGGCTCATGGGATAGAGCATTCACTTTTCAATAAGGTGAACAAGGTTCGTATTGTATTGTGAAGTATCCTTGGTGGTATCCAAGTAAGACACATAATAACTAAAGTATGATTTTAATAAAACAGCAAACATAACATAACAATAACATGCTTGCAGCACATAACAAGGTTAGTGATGAACATCTATTAGGAATGTGTTTATATACTCTCTGGAAAGGTAAGGCAGCGCCGCTATTCAGAAACTACAGGCTGTCGTCGTTGACTCTTAGTGATGACGGAAGGTGACGTCGATTGACATCACAACACCCCTTTGCCTATTGATTGGGCTCAAAATTACAAGGCTACTGAGTTAAACATTAGTAACCGTGAAACTAAAATTGGGTCGGCTGTTCAACGATGTTTATAAAATAAAATAAAAATATTGCAATAGGAGGGTTTGGTACAAGTTTTTAAAAGTTCAAATTTCTTATAACTGTTTTAGACCCTTAAGATGTTCTTTTAAAAAGTTGTATATTTTAATACTTTACCCCATTCTTAGGCTTCCAGGTTCTTATTTTTGATATCTCTCAAAAGAAATATGATCTGTTTTATGTAAAAAGTCTGATACTCAATAAGGTTCAACATGTTTTTAAGATCTGTTACATGTTTAGCATGTGATTTTTTTTTAAAATTTAATATTTATAATAAAATTAGGTTATATTTTAGCAGTTTTTCACACAATTGTAAAATTAGATTTTACCATACTTATTTAAGTAAAATATTTAAGAACTACAAGAAGCTATTTTAATTTCTAAGAATTTCATTACACTTACTTCTCCTTCCATATGTTGCATTTTAGTTTCCTTGTATTTAAAAATAACATATTAAATAACTTGGAAATGATTACTATTATTTCAACTAGTTTGCAATTATAATCTGTTAAAAAAAAACTGTTTTCATATTTGATAGTTCCTTTTGCTCTTTCCTTTTCTTCCATGTAGAAGAAAGTTATTTCTTCCATAATGAACTTCTCCACTGCAGAAATTTGGTATCCCTGATTATGATAATTAAACTATATTGTTAATAATGTTATGCATAATGATTGATGATATAATATCGACACGAGCATAGTTCATTAGGGTAGGTTACATAGTTACTTTATTATATAATTTTTTTTTGTGAGGATTTTCGAAACTTAAAGCATTATTTAGAAATGAACAAAGGCACATTGGAAGTGGGGTAGAGGTTGAGGAGAGTAGCTTTTGACCATGTCAACCGTCATCCATGAAAAGGTACCCCGACATAGAGTCGAGTTAACATGTCTTATATACTAGTGAATTGTAGTTGTAATTTTGTAGTGGTAGATACACTACAAGGTCATAGTTGTTTTTATATTTTCATGTTGCTTATGTTCTAATTTTAATATTCTCTTTATAGACTCCTAATGTGTATCACCCAAGAACTGTGGGATTAAGTTTAAGCGGGGAGCAAATAGTGCTACTTTCAACCTGTTCCGTACGAGCAACAGTGGTGACTGAAAGTGGAAAGTGTGCAACGTGGTTGGATGACAGCCTGTCCTTAATTTCTTCTAAGTTAGACCATTCAGCTCAGGTGTTTCCCGAATTTCAGTTGGAGAAAATTGTTTCATTGCATGTATGTTCTTTGTATTCCTGTGTATGTCTAGAATCTGGTGCAATATATTGGTGGTAAGTTCCATATTTATGTTTGATTACACTAAATCAGGTCAACCATTTATGTTTGATTACACTTATCCTTTATTTCCTGAAAAAAAAGTTTAAAAAGTGCTTAAAGGTGTTTATTTTTGATTTACTTTTTTAAAAGCCCTTAAAGGTACTTTTTTTTTTAAAAAAAATTGTGGTTTGTAAAAAGTGCTTAATTTTCTATCTTTTAAAAAGAGATTTTTTTTCTTTGCTGTGTTTGTTCTAAATGACAAAAAAAAAAAAAAAAAAAAAAAAAAAAAAAAAAAAAAAAAAAANAAAAAAAAAATGCATGATTTTTGCATTTCTCTCTGCAATATTTATCTGAAACTAGTTCTTTTTTTTTAATCATGATTATGTAAAGCTTTTGAGAATGATTTTGAATTTTATTGATTTCATGTTTATCAATTAAGAACTTTAAACCATAGAAATTTTTTTTATTTTTTATTACTGTACAAATCTTAGTTCTGATTATTTTTTTTGGAAAGTGATTTGAAATATTTTTTGAGTACTTAAAAAGTACTTAAAATGTGCTTATTTATTGTTGATAAATCTGGCTATGCACCCTGTAGGAGGTAAAACATTACAATATGGAAACAATGTAAAAATCTTCCTTTAACCCTTCTCTCCCCCGTGATATTGACGGGCTGGAGTGTTCTTTAGTAATGCATCAATAAGTATAAAACTAATTCATTTTTTTTTTGCCCGGAAAACATTTTATTTCTCATTTTACACACCATGTAGCAGTACCGGATATTTTTAAGGTAATTGTAAATAGTTAGTTTATTTTAAACTAGATACTAGCACTAATCAAATACCTGTAATTGGCAAAATATACACTTTTATGACCTTTTTCTTGAAAATTAACCAATCGTTAAGGGGTTAATAAAATCATTATCATCATTATTTTTCTAAAATAAAAGTTTCCTTAAGACATAAAGTTTACAGAAGGAAAACTCTGATATTTTTCTTGTGTTTTGAAAATTGGGATTTTCCATTTTCTCAAGTTTTGATAGATGCGTTGTATATGAATGAATATCATATTTAAAAAAATAAATAAGTAAGTTATAAAAAAATAAATAAATAAAAATTAAAGTTATAGATATTCATTACACATCTAAGAGAAATTAAATTGGAGGAAAAGAATTAAAAATATAGAGTGAAATGCAATCCAAATGAAATCTTTATGAATAGAAGAAAGTTGTAAAATAACTATCACCCTTAAATGTCATGATTATCGCTCATTCAAACTTTTAATAAAGTAAATCTGTCTTCATTAAATGTATGAAAAGTGCTTTATACTTTAATATGAATTTTACATCTAAGATAAAAAATATTGAAAGCTACAATAACTCATTAATTTAATAAAAATATACAAAACTGTTAAAACTTAAAAATGTTCTTTTACTCTTTAACTTTTTTAAAGCTTTCGCTGCAAATTTTGCCAATAAAGCTAATATTTTAAAACCTTCCTATAAATTTAAAATTATATTTCAAGTTTGATTAAAACGTTTAACATAAATTCAGCAAAAGTATGAATGTTGCAAGCAATTTAACTTAGTTTATTTGTAAAGGTCAAATTTGATACATTTATGCCTAAGTGTTTAAATTTCGGTTTATAAAAGCAGCCGTTTTATAAAATCGAATTTTCTCAAAATGAATACGGTGGTTTTATATGCGTTTTAATATGTGGTGATCACTATATTTTTTTTAAAAAAAACTAAAATCAATTCAGGTAATTCCTTCATTTTTTTTTGATGATAGTTTTTTTGGAAATTATTTATCATTTTCAGTTTTTTCATATGTTTTTTCAAATTCCAATATTCTTTATACAATGATATTAAGATGCGCAAATTTCGAATTCGAGTGATAATTTTTTTACTCATTCGAGTCTTGATGATTCCATAATAATTTCACATTGTTCATTATATGATAGATTTTGTGCAGTTATTTACCATTTTTTTCAGCCCCCTTCACATGGTTTTTCAATTTCAGATATTTTTAGTACAGTATAGAACCCGTTATCCGGAAACTAAAAAACCGGAACGAAATTCGATGAATTTCTCCGCCAATTTTAAAAAAAAAAAATTTTTCTTCCTCATAAGATTTCAGGATTTTTCTTTCTTTTTTGAAAGATGTTTTCCTTACCATCATTTTGGAAATAATCATTAGTGTATTACTTCATTGTTTTTTCTTCTTTTTAAGATTATTTCCAAATATTTTTTTTTTTTTAGTTTGACTATAAAAAACGGCTTTTTGTAGCGATTCAGAAAACTGGAAAAATCAGTTATGCGGAATAGTGATGGTCCAGATCGTTCCGGATAATTGGTTCCCTACTGTACTTTATAACTCCATGTCTTTGGATGCTGTTATTTATAATTATTACAAATTCTGATATTTATTATTACAATTATTATTACAAATTCTGATTTTTTTTACTTTTTGACTAGCTTAGTTTGCAAAGATTCTATTCTAAATCTTTGTCAAAATACAAGAATTAATCTCATTTTAAAACTAGCTTATAAACTGTGTTAATTTAACTGCTTATTTTTTAAGTCAAACTATCTTATTACAAAAAAGGTTTGTTTTTTAATGATGAAATTAAGAACTTTGGTTTTGCCCCCCACCATTTTACAAGGTTGCTGCTCCAAAGGGAGAATAGGTAACTACTTGAAAATACAGGGAATTTAAAAATCACAGAGACTTTTGAGTTTTTCTTGAGAAATTGGGGAAATACAGGGAATTTTGTTTCATATTTTCGTCCTTACAAAAATGGTAACCATTTAAAGTGCAGTGTATGAAATATTTAAGGATGATATTTCGCTCATACTGAACTAGTTCATTTACTAAACATTATTTGTTTTAAGTATGCTCAGCTGTTCCTTTTTCCTTAAAGTTTTTTCAGCAATTATAACTAGTATAGTTAGCCAAATACAACACATGCAAGAGCACAGTGATTGTGTTTTCCTCATAATATATCGTGTATAATATGTACAGGGATTTTTTTTTTTCAAGATTTGAGTGGTGACCCCAATTTAGATAAAATGCATTTCTTTTGTACGAATGTCTAACCGTGTTTTAAATAGTATTATACTTATTAGCACTGACTGACTGTGTAAATTTAATGTACTTATCATACTTTCTGAACGCACCGGAGTAGGATAAGAGTGTAATGTAATGTAATCCAGCCTGTTAGTACAAATGGGGTAATCAGATTTTTAGAGAAGTTTACGGACTATAATTTGTTTTTATTTGTGAGTTTATTGAATTGCTTTTTTTATTTTTTATTGTAGGGGTGTGGCACCCTATGCACAAAGAAAGAGGCTTTGGGAGAAAGCAAGAGCAAAATCAAAAAGACAATCAGCTTCATTTTCCTCTGAAATTGTCACTGGCGCTCAGGTAATACTTTCAAGTTTTTGTAAATTTCAAATCAAGTTTTTGAAATTTTCGTTACCTTAGTGTTTCTGTGTAGAAAGATTTTGAAATTTTGCTCAAATTTATGACTGCAATATGTTGTCACAAGCAAGGGGTATTAGTACATGTTCATTAAAAATGTCACAGTATAAATGAAAAATTTTAAAAAGATAGTTTCACAAAATGTAGCAGATCGTCTGCTTATTTGTGGGATTAAGTAGTCTTGCAACTTCAGGCAAATAGCAATGAACTTCTGATTATCAGTGGATTTAAGTAACCTTGTAATCTTAATGTAAGATTTCATTGACACTGGTGCTCATGTCTGTGGTGCACCTTTTGGATCGTGGACTTTTTTTATTAATTGCCATATATGATTTACTACAATTCTCTTTTAATCTTTTCTGCCCATGCACAATATAAAAGACCTACTTTAATGACTTATATCTTGCAGAGTTTTAAACAAATTGTTCTCAGATTTTAAAGCAATAATTTTGTAATTAATTCTACATATGAAACATTGTTTAATTTCATTGAATATTTTTAATGTTATATCCAAAGAACTTAAGACAAAACAGAATAAGGAAATAATATCTCATCATCAGCTCACGTGAATATATCTGAAAAGAAAAGACTACTTTCTAATATTGTATCAATATAGTCAAAGCAAAATATATTACTACAATAATGTGAGAAACACCAAAAAAATTTGAAATGAAAGTAGAACTGTATTATATCAGGGTGCGTAGCGTTTGTAAAAAGTGCTTAAAGCTGCTTTTTTGGGGATTTCGTTTTTAAAAGCTTTTAAAGGTGCTTTTTTCAGCTGGCGTTTTTAAAAAGTGCTTTTTTTTCGAGTAATTGTTTTTCTCTTCAGTGATATCTGGTGGATCCCATGCATTTCACGAAAAAAGGGGAGTTTGCTACGTAATCATCCACGCGGACTTCATGTCGTACCCACGTTATGACTTNATAAAAGACCTACTTTAATGACTTATATCTTGCAGAGTTTTAAACGAATTGTTCTCAGATTTTAAAGCAATAATTTTGTAATTAATTCTACATATGAAACATTGTTTAATTTCATTGAATATTTTTAATGTTATATCAAAAAAATGTAAGACAAAACAGAATAAGAAACAATATCTCATCATCAGTTCAGGTGATTATATCTGAAAAGAAAAGACTACTTTCTATTATTGTATCAATATAGTCAAAGCAAAATATATTAATAAAATAGTGTGAGAAACACCAAAAAAATTTGAAATGAAAATAGAACTGTATTTTATATATATATATATATTGCTTAACATGTTTTTGTGAAAAGGACTCTAAGGTAAAGGGGGGGGGGACTATTGTGTTTTGTTTTTAGAACTGTTTATAAAAACAAATAGAATGAGATTTTTAATGTGTCATATGCTGTAGGTGGTTCTACGTAATAGTCCGATGTATCACACTGGAGCCCTTGCATTTACTAATTCTGGAAATGTTCCCAAAGTTGGTCAGCTCATGTCTGCGGCATGGAATCTCACAGATTCTTGCCGTTTCAAAATACTGCCTCCAGGCTCTCTCAGGTGACGTTTGAAAACAATTTGCTTATTTGATTGATGTGTTAAATGGATTTTTTTATTAAACTTATGGTTATTTTAGTGAAAGGAGAAGTGAGAGCAAGGATACTTCAAAAATTGAGAGTAAAGTGGACCGCCAAGAAATGCCACCTCCCCCATCTCCTGCCTCCTCAACATGCAGTGAACCTGCCTCCAGTCCACTGCCTTCCAGTAAACAATTAATTTTTTCTTTACTGTTTGTGAGACAAATTTTATTATTGAATGAAGTAAAATGTCTTGTTTGAAATACAGTCTGATCCCAATCTTTTATTAAATATATTGTCCATTATCTTTTAAAGCAGGGGTGTCAAACTCGCGGCCCGAGACGAACATTTTTACAGCCCAGTCAATATATCCAACGCAAAGTAAAAAATTAAATAGAAATGTGAGTTAGAAAGGAAACTAGCATATGAAATTATAATATACTTTATTTATAAACTATACGGATAATTTTAAATTGTACGTGCGAAAATGTAGAATTCTAATTGGCTTGCGGCACCTGCCATATATTGCCAGGTATATTGCATCGTATCAAAAATACGCAGAAAAAATTTAAAATCTTAGAACAGAATTTGAAACAAGGTTTAAAGATTTTAATTCTTCGTAAAACAAATTTTGTTTGTTTTCGTCGATTTTTCTCAATAAATATAGACTTAGTATCCAGTAGTATGCAAATGGATTTCACCCTCAAATTTTAGGGCAAAATTCATTGAAGTGGGTATGCCTGAATTTTTCAAATATTTACTGGCAAGGTTTGAAAATACTCAAAAATTCGCGTATGAAATTATTTCCATGTTTGGAAGTACTTATAAGTGCAAGCAATTATTTTCTGTTATGAATGGAAATAAATCTTCTGTCCGAAACCGTACTAATAACGCTCACATTGGGTCAATTTTGAAAGTAGTCTCGGCCAATAAAATTTCTCCCGAAATAGGAAAGATAGTAGCAGAGAAGAGATGTCAAGTATCAAACAATAATTTAACTTTATATATGTTAATTACAATGTACTATTCAAAATAAAAATATTTGTTTCTATGAACATTGATTTATTATTTTTTTTTTTTGCGGCCCACCTAAGCATTGTTTATTTGGCCCAAGTTAGCTTTTAAGTTTGACACCCCTGTTTTAAAGCAATCTAATTTACATAATTTCATGATTATTTCTTAACTTTTTTTTAACCCACATTTCTTCATTTATCTGCATTTCTTCATTTAACTAAAAAGGTTTTGTTTATGAACTGTTTTATAAATTAACCTCTTCTTGCAACAACAGAAAAAGCCAAATTTTATTCTGGATGCGTAGCGTGTTTAAAAAGTGCTTATCATTTTTAAGCCCTTAAAGGTGCTTTCTTTTATTAGGTGTTTTTAATAGTGCTTAATTTTCCTTGAGTGATAATTTTTGAAAAGTGCTAATTTCAAAAATGAGATTTTTTCTTCTATACCATGCTGGTTTTCGCCATGTATTATGCAAAAGCGTGTTTTTCACATTGTTCTTTTCAACGTTTTCCCAATTCATTCAAACACAGTGCATTTCGGCTTACTGCCATAGCGTATGAAAGTGCCAATCATTTGACATGTTTTATGAAATACTTGCAGGACCGCATGTGCATATCAACCTCGTAATTCTTAGCTGGATTAAGTGGGAATTATTCTTGCACTCTTGTGCAACTCTGCTGCATTTTGCAAGAGATTATCATTTTCAGGCTTCATTTTCCTCCCTCTAAAATCGAACCGAAAAATCTCTAACTTTTTATGGTGTCTCATGTAATTTAGAAAGAGTTTTTTTTTGTCAGAAGCTAGTTATTTTATCATAATCATGTAAAGTCTTTGAAAAATATTTTACATTTCGTTAATGTATATAATGCTTAAAAATAATTTTTAGTGCTTAAAAAGTACTTAAAAGGTGCTTATTTTCTGTTGAAAGATTTAGCTACTCACCCTGTTATAGCTTAATCTTCGTTCACCAGCAGTTATCCTTGCTTTGTATTTCTTAAACATAATGCCTTTGCATTTACAGTATCCCTTTTGCTATTTTTCCTGCTTGAGTATGTAAATAAAGCTTTACTTAAACTTATTTTTGCATCACAGTTTGTATTAACTTTTTTTTAAATTAATGTGTTTTTAGAGCGCAAACATAGATCAAGCTTGCAGAGTAGGGAAGATGGAGATCGTAAAGAAGAAGAACAGTGGACACTAAAAGATGTCATTTTTGTAGAAGATGTTAAAAATGCTCCTGTTGGGAAAGTAGTTAAAGTATGTATTTCGTATTATAAATTTTTCTTTCTTTCTTCTAGGTAATATAAATATTAGATTTCTATCTTACATAAAAAATGTTTTTTCTTCTTCATAGTTATTTTTAATTTTCAGTATTAGTTATAAATGTATGCTTAAAATGATTTGGTTTAATCTCAATCTTTAAAGGCATCATTATAGCCAATCTTTAACTCACTGATGGTTCTGTAGGTCAAAAGTCGTATTTTAACCTGCAGTCTTCCTTTTTTCCATGTTATTAGATGGGAAAAACAGTGTATTGGAGCGAAATGTTTTCCCGAATTTGCCCAATTCCTAAACCATCAGTGGGTTAGCAATTGAGAAAAATTGGGAAAACTTGATTGAAATATTATTGCTATGAGGGATTTCTTTTTTTCGAAGGGGGGGGGGGTCAAAACTGAGAAATTAAAAAAAAAAGTTTTTTTTTTCTTTCTTCCTTACAAACTTTTTTAAAATCTGTTTGATGTCAAGATTCTTACTGTTTTTCTTTTCTTTTTGTGAATGTTTATGTATATGATTTGTTGTGTGACTTGTCCTTCCCTCAATTTTTTTTCTTTTACTTCTAATTGTTAGAATTTATTTACTTCTAATTGACAGTATAAATCAGTCTCTGAATTTAAGCTTAAGGATAGGGATGATATTTTTAATTGTGCGAAGAATTGTTAGGCAGTGAACATCTCACATTAAAGTGACCTAAATGACTTTAAAAAATATATAAAATCTAGTCAAAGAAAATAATTAAATTGATGAACTGTTTGAAATTGAGGTTTATTTCTTGCAATTTTAATTTTTATAAGCGGTTTACTAGGGAATTGTAACGGACATCATTTTTGAGTGTCTGATTACGTTTGATTGTGTTGGTAAATAAATAATTGAAGACAAAAAAAACTTGATGAAATTCATAAAAAAAAAAGAACCATGACAACGAAAACTTATCCAATTTAGATGAGATCGTAGTCGAAATTCATTTAGCAACCCTTATCTGTTCAGCACAACCTGACTCTCTTTCCACCCGCTGCTCTAAAATTCCAATCTCGTTTCTTAGCCAGTCTTGTACTTCCAGCTAGAATCAAATCCTTTTGCCGACTAGCACAAACTGTTGTGGATCTTTACAGAGACCATTCACTGAATTATTTTTGCAAAGTCATAAGTTTTGTCAATCTTGAAAAAATTGTCGATGATTGAAAAGAAAAAGCAAACAAAGTTGTTAGGGTTTTTTATTGGAAATCTTTGTTGATAATTGATAATAACCATCTCCAGTGGTCAAAAATTATAAAAGTATCTAGTAAATTTTGATTTAGCAAGACAAACAGGCTATGGCAATTTTAAATGAACTCACTTTATTAAACCTGCACATTTTTTTAATTACCCTATTTGAAGAGTGTTAAGTTTTTCCCAAATAAAGCTACAGTGTAAAGTCGCGTATCCGGAATCGGTGGGACTTCCAGAAGTCCGTATAATACACCTCCAAGGTAAACAAAGCTTAAAATGACTTAATAAACGATCTGAATCTAAGAAGCAAAAAATAAATAAACACTATTTTTACGGGGAATAATGTTTTAGCATTAAAATATCTAATCAATCAAATATAAAATATTAGAAAAAAAATATTGCTGAAAATATGGAAAACGAAAAAAATTTAACAGTTACGAAAATATTAATCCGCCATTTTGAACTAGAACGATTCAAGCAGGAAGGGGAAATTCTGGAACAAAGCTTAAAATGATCTAAATCTAAGAAGCAAAAAATAAATAAACATTATTTTTAAGGGGAATAATGGTTTAGTATTAGAATATCTAATCAATAAAATATGAAATATTAGAAAAAAAATATTATTGCTTAAAATATAGAAAACTAAAAAAAATTGACATATGAAAATAATAATCCGACATTTTGAACTGGAATGATTCAAGCAAGAAAAGAAAATTCCCGTCATTCATTAAGGTGGGTAGATGGAGGAGAAAAATTCATTTCCTCCTTATTTGTGAAGGAAAATAAGTGTAAAGAGGAGATCATTTAAGTTGAGGGTGGGGAGGTAACAAATTATTGTTTTCTCTCCAATCATTGGCTATCAATCAAGCATAAAGGCGGGACACAGCTGATCGGATTCTCTTTATTTTTTCTTTTATGACTGAAGAAAGAATGTTACCCCTTTTTTCCCCCCGCCTCCTAAATATTACATGGTATGGGGAAGAACGAATGTTTTGTTTCTCAAGGACCTGTATCCTTTTTAGACCTATTCAAATTTTCCATTCTTACTCCCCCCCCCACCTTAACGCTTGCCCTGTTTACCCTTTTCCACAGTATTTCTTCTTTCAATAAAAAGGTTCCAGGAAATGCCTCTTTTACTAGCCACCTGCATGGGAAAGGAGGGGGGGGGAGGGCGGTCTTTTGAAAACAAATCTCCCTCTTTTTCCTACATTCCAAGGGAGGAGCGTCACTAACGGTCACTCAATGGTCTTGGTAGATCTTCACTTCCCCTTTCTGGTGATTTATGGGTTCGATGCATAAATCAGAGGTTCAGTGCAAGCTAGAAAAAGAGGAAATGTGTCAAAAGATTTTTATTTTTTTTTTAGGAAGGGGAAGATGGAGAGATGTTTGTTTATTTTGATTGTTAAAAAGTGTCCGGGAAAGGGACGTCCAGATATGGGACATTGCACTGTAATGTAAATCAACTCTCAGTTTAACTTAGTTTCTATTGTCACGTTAATTGATAAGTTTTGAGTTCATGATTTTGATGCCTTTTGTGCCAAAAGTGAAGTATTTTGATTAAAAAGTTGACATTTCTGTTAAAATTAAATATTTTCAAAATAATAATCAAAACTTGTATGTGCCAGGGGTTTGTTTGAAAAATGAGACTAATGTTTGTGTTCTAGTAAATTTTAAATTAGTTCTCATTAATATATCTCATGAACAATCCTAATATTAATTTTTGTTATATTAAAGGTGGATGGATCTTACGCGGCTGTCAGCTTTTCAAACAGTAGTGCTGGTTTCCAAACCCAATTCGGCTCCGCTAATGAAGATTTAAGTATATTTCTCCAAGATTGTAGGCTAATGCGTAAGGATGAGCTGTTGGTCGTGAAAAGTGGGAATACTCCAAGAGTTCCAGATTGTTTCCAGAGGACACCCCGTAAAGTTAATATTGCAGATACAAGTTCCATTCTGAGTATGGCTGTGGATGGACAAGGTATTCATTTATACCTAGCCTTATTTAACTTTCTCGATATCTGATATGTCTCTTACTTTGTTAAAGGGAAATTGCTTAAAAATACAAATACTAGCTCTAAGTCAGGATTGCCACAAGCGACTAAAATGCGACCATTTGCAACTATTTTCGGTCTGAGGCGCGACTATGGCAATTTTTTTTGCCTGAAAATTTTTTTTCAAGAAACGAAAACTATTGGGAGATTTTTCTGTGCTTCTAGCTATGTTTTTTTAAAAGCATAAATTGGGTTGACTACCTGCGGCTCCCCAGAGCTACTAAACACAATGAAATTTTTTTAATTTTTTTTTTACAAAAATAAAAAATTTTTAATTGCAAATTTGAGTCATCACTTTTAATTGCACTCAATTCGCGTTAATTCCATTGTAAGTCTATTTAGTTTCTCGATTGCCTTTTGAATGGTTGTTGCTACTAAATTCTGCATGATTTTAAAAAATTTAATTTTTAATACAATATAACGATGCATGAATTTCGAATTTGCTTAATCACTTTTCACAATGTATGTATGCATATATATAATATATAATTGCTAAAAGGAAAAATCTTTTTAAAAAATTATGTTTTTTAATAAAAAATTATTTTTCTGAATTAATTCTAGTTATTAAAAATATTTAATTTTCTAAAAATATACAAATTTTTTTGATTCAGCAATTTAGTGCTGGAACACTAATGTTTATATAAAAATTATCATATTGGCCACCAACTTTACTAAATGCATCACGGTTAAGTCATTTAATAAAATTTTAGTCATATTATTGAAAATTTTTAATTCTTATTTAAGCAACTAATTTCATAGTTTTTGGCAACTATTTTCATGCTTTAGGTTACTAAAAGCAACTATTTTGTTCATTTTTTTTCTGTAGCAACCCTGTAAGTGCATTCACTTATTTTTAAATTTTACCCTTTATATTGTTTTTGAATATGGACTTTTCTTTCTCTAGTTTGTAATTAAAAAATATTTTAATTGTAGGTATTCATGCAGTTGTTAAGAATGGTGACCGCCTGAGTTATGTTCTGTATAATATATCTTCTGGGAAAGCCATACAAGACAGTCCATTTCCAATCGATACACAATCCTTCTTAGGACAAGACACCCGATTGATTTCTTTTGGAATTAGTGGAGAGGTTTGAACATTTCTTTATTAACATTTATTTTTTTCCTCTTTCTATTTTTTTTTCTTCTTTTTTCATTACTTAATATAGTTAACGTGTTGGATTTGGTAAATTTCACCGGCAGTACCATATTGGTAAGGGAGGGACCATGTAATCAATTGTAAAGGCAGCATCAATGCACAAAGTTAGACACTTTTTGAGTAACAAGTGTTTTGTTCCATATGCGATCAAGAAGGTATTTAAAATCCACAAATTAGACCAGAGTTCTTTGTTTCAGACTAAAACCATCTACGAACTACAAAATATTCGGATCTACATGACAAAATTTGTGTAAAGTTCACAAATATGAATAACTTTTTTATTTTATTTCTGTAGTTACATTTCTGCAGGCTACAAATGGATCAAGCATAGTATTTTTTCTTACAAACATAACAACTAGTGATGTAATGAATAATGATTTAGCCGAATACCAAATATTCGACCAAACAAATTGGCTGGATAGCAAAATTTTATTTTTGCTAATCAAAACTTAGCTATATTATTGGTATTGAGTAAAGGGGGAAAAATTACAATAGTTAATCGTTAAGACTAACGTTAAAGTTGAAAAAAACTACAATAATTATTTATTAGGATTGGGAAATAGCAAAATCCTCTTAATTTAAAACAGAAATTTAATTCTAAAAATATTTTCCAAAAAAAAAAAGTATCCATAAAACGTTGAAAGAAATAGTCTATCAGAAACGCTTTTGAAAATGCTGCACTATTATAAAAACACCCATAAAAGCAAAAGATTATCGTAATTTAATATATAAAAGATATGAGTTCAGGCAGTTTAGTTTCAATCGCTGAAGAAAAAAATTTCAAAATATCATAAAAGCTAGCAATATATTGGTAGAGAACTTCAATTGCATAATCCTTAATTATTCTCTCATAATTTGTTTTAATTTTGATATTTTGAAAATTTCTTTTCAGTATTTGAAACTTCGAGGAATTCTCTAGATTTTTCTGAACTCACTTTTTATATACCTTATTTTAAATAAACTATGGAGGTGAAAAAAAAATTGAGATAGAAAGTTTCACCCATGGTTTTGCGTCCTCTTAATTCTTGAATGAAAATTTTAAAGCTAAACATTTCAGTTTTCTAATAACTATATTTTCAAGGAAAAGTGAAGAAAAAGAAAAGTATAACAGAAATAAATCATAATAAAAACGTAATAATTTTTTTTTTTTTTTAAAGAAAGGGCTAGATAGAAATCATTACTAACTCCTTTAAATATGATGCACTATTATAAATCATCAGAAAAAAAAAGATGGAAATTTTTCTTCTTCTCAATTCTTTAAACAGAAAGTGTAGAAAAAACTCCGAACTTAACTGGCCTGAATCTAATTAAAAAATATCTGCAGTACAAAACTCTGTTTATTGTTATAAAGTAGCCTAGTTTCAATTTTTTAAATTTCCTTTTCCCATTCATCTTTTAGAACATAATTTTGCAAGCCCTATGCATGTTTTAGAACTTAATAAATAATATGTAAAAACTATTTCTAATAATGTATAGTAAAAAATATGTTTTCAGATTATTCCTTATTAAATCTATTCAAATTCCAAGAAAAAAAAATTGTCAAAAAATTCTTTTCCAAAAAATACTTTGCCGAATATTTGGAAGAGCATGCAGCAAAAGGGCCGAATCCCAAATAGTGGTCAAATAATAGTTACATCCCTATTAGCAGCAAATAATTCTCTAATTGTGGATTCTTAAATTTTTTATTCCATTGTACTCCTGCAGTTCTTTCTGCCGCCCATTGTAATTTCAAATTTTAAAATATTATAGTTTTCAGCAAAAAAAAGAGAAACAAATTCCGCAAAAGCACTTGAAATTGCCATAACTTTTGAACAAAAACTCTATTTGCCTTCTTGTGGTCTGCAGAGCAGCCAGCATAGTATTTCTTACATCAAGTTTAACAGTTAATAATTCATGAAAGATTATTATTTTTTAAATTTCATTCCCTGTACATTTTTCTACAATACATCGTAATTTGGGGTTTCAAGCCCTATAATTTTTGCAGTTCAAAGCAAATGATTATGTTAAGTTGAGCAGTGTCTGCTATTAGGATTTTTTAATATAAGGAAATTGCAAATTATTATATATATAGCTAATGGAAAGCTATAATTTAGTAGTTTCATGTCACTTGAATTCACTTAGTCTTTTTTTTTAATTTTTTTTTATCTGTTTTAAACATAAAATAATAAGTTACATCCATGATCCTCATTTTTATTCTGGATAATAGCTTGAATGTCAATGAAATAAGACTTTTAATTATTTTCTTAACTCTAAGAATATATTTATTAAGTAAAATATATTTTCCTCTTAAGTCAAGGATTTAAAAAAAAAAAAAAAAAATCAGTTAATTTAAATCACTGAATATTTTAAAAAAAATCAATTGAATTAAATCACAATTAAAATCATGATTTAAATCATACCTCGGATTTAAATCAATGTAAGCGATATAGGTCTGTCAACAAGTTGTAGTTTTTCCCCCTCCACTTTTGAGTAAGAAAATGTTCTCCAAATATAGTGCCTTGGGCTATCCATATAGTAGTCTTGGTATTGACGTAATAGATGTTTCAAGTGTATGTGTATTTTTTCTCCAAAATACAGTATAAAAAAATTTTGAATTAGTTTTTAAAACACTTGTTTGAAATGATTTTGTATTATAATCAGGGTTTGTACAGGCTCATTATACTCCTTAGAAACTCCTTGGAAATAAAAAGGTCTCCAAGGATTTCTTGGAACTACTTAGGTTTCCAAATTAGTCCATAGAAACTCCTTATATTATTGTGTTGCATAGATGAATTTACTAAGTCCGCTGATGAATTTGCTGTCTAAGCAGGGAAACGAAATGATATTACTTAGCTCTCAAAATCTAATAAAACTTTAAAGGAAAAAAAATTGAATTGCAAGAGTTAGAAAAAAATAATTTTAATTTTACATGTTACAAGCAAACTTAATTAATGATTTACTGTTTTTTGTATGAAATGCCTTAGATTTTATGTATTCAAATTTTAAAATATAAGATTGATAGGTTTTTATGTTAATCTTTAACATCTGTACTATGTACTTTAACAAGATTTATTAAAATATTTGAAGCTGGAAAATGTATTTTTGTGTGAAAGTGATAACTTTATTAAGTTTGACTAAGTCAAAATTTATTTCAAAAAGGCTAGAAAAAAATATCATTTGCAAAATATTCATTTTTGCAAATTCTTTATAGAAACGGCTTTTTGATTAAAAAAAAAAACTTTCTAGTTATCTTTTACGCAAAGTTTTTAAATTTTTGACTTGGATACTCCTTGAATTTCTTCTTCTGATCTCTGTATGAACCCTGAATAATATTTTTGGTGCATTTTATTCTATAGAATGAGACAGTTGCTGTGTTACTTGATGGCAATAGTGCAATATATCCTTTGTCAAAAGATTGTACAGACAGTATAAGAGATCCTGTGTGGTTAGATCTACCCCCAGCAAGAGCTATTGGACTTGGTGTTCACTCATTAAAAGATGTTACGGCCGGACAAAAAAACCAAGTTGCCATTGTGGTTTTAGCACTAGAAGTAAGATTTCTCTTTTATAAAAAAGTTACGCTGGTTATTGAAATTTATTTTGTTGCTATTTACTATTGATTATTGTTCTTATTGTTAACCCTATTGATTTCCTCTGCAGCATCAAACTTTGCTTCCACCAATATTTAAATGTGAACAAGAAACTGTGCGACAAACTCTTTCATCTTTAGAACGAGATTCTGGTAAGTAATGATTTATTATTCAAATTTGCTTAATCACTTATTATTCAAATTTGCAGTTATTATTCAAAATCAGTTATTCAAATTTGCGTTCAATTAATGAAACGCTGTTTATTATGTATTTATGAACGAACGCTGTTTATTATTTACTAACTGTTTACTATCAGGGTTGCCACCTTGCAAGTCGAACAGGGAATTTAAAAATCACCTAAAATAGCAAGAAAAATGCAGGGAATTTTTATCTTTCTTTTACGAACTGGGAAAATTACAGGATATTTCGTTTCTTCTTTTAAGAAATGGTGACCTCTTAAAGTGTGATCTGTGGGACATTTAAGGATCATATTTCAACTGTAATAAACTTTCATTTAATATAGCTTTATCTGTTTTAACATGGTGCGTAGCCTTTTTAAAAAGTGCTGAAAGCTGCATATTTTCAATTTTTAAAAGCCCTTAAAGGTTTTTTTTTTCATGGTGTTTTTAAAAAGTGCTTAATTTTTCCTTTTTGAGAAAGAGATTTTTTTTCTTAGCCATGTCAATTTTTGCCACACATTATGCAAAAGCACGCTTTTCAACGTTTTCACAATTCATTCAACCACAATCTATTTCAGCGTACCGTCGGTCCATAGCGCATGAAAGCGCCAATCATTTTGCAGATTTGATGAAATACTTCCGAGTCTGAATGTGAATATTGTGAGATAGGCTCGGTGAGATTTTTGCATTCTCATGTGCAACTCTGCTGCATTTTGCAAGATATTCTCAATTTCAAAATATTTTTAGTAGGGTGACCCGGGGTAATTCACGATCACTCTGTTTCTGGGGTAAATAATGATAACCTAAGTTTTATTTTTTAAAAAATTATTTTTTTTAAGTTTGAGACATGGACAAGAAAGCTTGTACACTTTACTAAAGTATAACTACATTTACTTAATAATAGTTTTTTTTGTTTAATTTAACAAAATAAGTATCTTTTAAAATGCTTTCTGCATTTTCCATTTCAAAGATGGGTTTCAAATTGTGCACCACATTTCTGCAAATCCTTCTCTTAATAATAAATATTTTGAGTTACTTTCTTTTTTTTGATATAAAAATAGTGTAAGCTTTTGTTTAATTGTTCCACATCTACTGTAAACATTATAAGTGATTATAGGAAACTATATCAAATGTTGCCCCCTACAGATGGGGTAATTCCTGATCATTTTCATTTCTTCTTATAGTATAAAAAATAGCTAATAAGTAGTTAATTGTTTTTTCTTATGTAACAGTTCATATTTATTAAGTGGAACAACTATAAAATATATTTTAACTATAATCACAAAATTTCTTTTTAACTGTATACAAGACAAATGTGTTCTGATCTGCACCATTTCTAGCTTTTCTTACCTTTCTTCTATCTTATTTTTATGTGTGTACATTGTTAGAATAGTTTTTAAGTTGATAAATTAACCTAATATAAATATGGTGAGAAATTATAAGTCTAAAAAGAATACTAAGCTTCTAGAAAGCAAAAATAGCAAATTTCTTTTAATGATTGAAAATGAAAATTTCAGTGGGAGAGCTGCTGCCAGAGCTGAAGTGTTAATCTTTATTCCGGCTTTTAAATAAAATGTTTTAATAGCTGCTTAAAAATATCTTTTTGGTTTATTTGCTTGANACTTTTGGGGGGAATTTTTTCAGAAAAAAAAACATTATTTGACTAAATTTTTTAAATGCTTTATGTGTATTTTTAATAGGTTATTTGTCTTAATTAAGGACAATTGCTTCTTACCTAATCTTTCCCCCGGTGGATCAATATAATTTTTGAGCTATTTTTTGTTAAATTAAATTTGATTTTTTTTTGTGCAGAATTTGTTTTTAATATTGTAATTTTTTTTATTTAAAAATGTTTAACAAAAATCTGCATTACACACAAAAAGAAATCTTATGGGTAACTAATGTGTCTAGAGCTGCCATTTTTACTAAATATTCAAATTGCATTTTTAATTTCTAGAATGCAATTGTTATATATATATATATATATATATATATATGGAATGCAATTGTTATATATATATATATATACAGTGTAACGTCCCATATCTGGACGTCCTTTTTCCCGAAGGGTCTTTTTAACAATCAAAATAAACAAACATCTCTTATCGTCCCCTCTCTTTTTTAAAAAAAAAGTCTTTGGACATGTTTTTTCTTTCTCTAGCTTCTAGTGATTCATGCATTGAACCCATAAATCAACAGAAAGGGGAAGAGAAGACCGTTGAGTGATCTAAGTGACGCTCCTCAAGAATGCAGGAAAGGAGATTTAGTTTCAAAAGACCACAAATGAGCCTCTCCCTAACTTCTTTCCTTATGCAGCTGGTTAGTAAAAGAGGGATTTTCTGGAATTATTTATTAGTGTGTCAGGGGGTGAAAAAGGGTAAGTGTAGCAAATGTTAACGTAGAGGGGGAGTCACTTTCAGTCACACAAGAAAAAATAAGGAGAACCCAATCAGCATGCCGCGCCTTTATGCTTGATTGATAGCCAATGATGGGAGAGAAAATAAGAATTTGTCACTTCCCGCCCACAACTTGAATGACCAATAAGGAGGAAATAAATTTTCTTCTTCACCTACCCACCTTAATGAATGACGGGAATTTCCCCTTCTTGCTTGAATCGTTCGAGTTCAAAATTGAGGAGAGAGCAATTAATATTTTCATAACTGTCAATTTTTTTTCGTTTTCTATGTTTTAAGCAATAATTGTTTATTTTCTAATATTTTGTGTTTGATTGATCAGATATCATTCTAATACTAAATCATTATTGCCCGAAAAATGAGGTTCATTTATTTTTTGCTTCTTAGATTCAGATCGTTTATTACATCGTTTTAAGCTTTGTTTACCTTGGGATCTATTATACGGAAAAATCTACTATCCGGATACGCAATTTTGCAATGTAGTTAGCCCAATGCAGCTCATACAAGAGCACGGGGATTATGTTTTTCTTTTTAATATATTGTGTATAATGTGTATGGGGAATTGTTTTTTCTAGGTTTGAGTGGAAACCCTGTATTTATTAAAAGTAATGAATGTTGACATGAAATCTTTGCTTATTGTTTTATCATGTTTGTAGGGACACCTTTTGGACAGAATACTCTGCAATGTGTTTTGAATGAGCGCTGTGATGGAAACAGAAATATATTCCATGCTGCTGTTACAACATGCTTTCCAACTTCAAACAAGGACACTGACTTTTCAGGTAGAGTTAATAATTCATCAATGCATATGCTAATATAGCAAGCCGATTATTTGGTCCAATGTAGCAGAAGGGTGGGCCATATGACCAAACAGCCAGTTCCAACGAAGTTCATTTTTCTACTCACTTCCTCGTGTAATTAAAACTACAAGTTACAGATGTTAATATAAATGATAAATGGAAAAAAAAATATGAACCTACAAGAATTTAAACATTTATAGCTAAAATGATTAAAAACTCTTAGCTGACCATTTTAGCAATCTTTGAATGGAAAAGCAAAATAGAAAAATTTTTAAATAAAATTTTTTAAAAATGTTAAATCAGTCACTCACTCAGTTTTTTTTTAAAAAAAGATTTATTTTGTTTCTTGGAGTAAAAAGTTACTTATATAAACAGGGTTCCCACGGGTTAGGGAGAACAGGGAAAACCTGGAATTGTTAGGGAATTTTATTTTAACTCCAAAAATCAGGGAAAGTTGCAGTTTTTAACAAAAACCTGGAATATTCCTATATCATACCTGGAAAATAACCAGTCTTAAAGTTGTCAGTAACAGTAATCAGTCATCAAGATTCAAGTTAAATAATTCTAACATCTATTACAATTATTTGTTTTAAACATTTCTTCAGGATTTAGTCAAACTGAAATGTTTCTTTCCTCATTTAATGATATTTTTTACACAGAAAATCTAATATTTCACTTTACAAATAAAAGAATCAAAGTTTTAGTAGTTTAGTAAGTAGGAAATTAAATGACTATTTAAGTAATTAATTAACAAAAGAAAGCAAACTAAATATTAACTTACAAAAGGAAAAAAGGCTAACGATTAAAATTAAAATTTTGAAAATGTTATTGAATTTATTGATTTTATGTTTATAAACAAAGTACTTTAAACGATCGAAAAAATAATTTTTATTACTGCACAGACTCTAATTACAATTTTTTTTTGTTTTTGGAAGGTAATTAAAAAAAATTTTTGAGTGCTTGAAAAGTACTTAAAAGGTGCTTATTTTTTTATTGAAAAACTGGCTAACGCACCCTGAAAAAGCTAATGATTAATATTTAGCAAAAAGCAAGTTAACAATGAATCACAAAATATAACAATTAATGTTAAAAAAAACTAACAATTAATAATTAACAAAAAAATAACAATTAATAAATATTAAAACAAAAGAACTATTAAGCGATGTGAGGGAAAGAAGGCAAAATAAGAACTGCATCAATCGGAAGAGCTAATTAATCCCTTAATAAACGTACTGTTGTTTTTGTAGTTCATGTTATTTTATTTTACATTCAAAATTATTATCATAAATTATTTTGCTCAGTGTATTATATATACGTAAGCAACTTTTAAACTTATTGTTTTCTTTGTTTGCCGTCAAATTTCGAAATCGTTAAAAGTGTGCCGCGATGAAAAAAGTTTGAGAATTACTAATCTGAATGCTATGAATGATGTTTGTTGGAAGAGGGGAGGGTCTTAATTAGTGGTTAAAGCATGTATTAACTCTTAATCTTTTTGTTATATTTATTTAGGTGATACAAGTGGAAGTGCTAGCCTAGAATCATTGGATTTACTAAGTGGAACAGTTGCATCTAATGGCAATAGTCACTCCTCTCGAAGGTTGGTTATTATTCTTTCACTTAAAAGTATTTTTTCGTGTAACTAATATTATTTTATTATATTTAAATTTTGAAATTGAATATAACAAAAATCATTAAAAATAAACCATTAAAATGAGCTTTTGTTTGAGTTTTTAATCTTGAAGAAGAATAAATATACTTAGTTTCTTTTTTTTGCTCTTATATGCTTATTAAATAATTTTAAAATAAATTATTTCTTTTTTTAGTGTTTCTTTGAGGGAAATAATGAGACGTGCAACTTCAGCTGCACGCAACTTGGCTGGTCTAGAAAACAGGGATCAAGACATAGGAATTCCTACTCTTAACTGGCCACCTGAACCAATGGATTCCACTAGTGGTAATTGTAACCAAATATTTCATTGAGACTCTGTGTAATGAAAGTTGAATAATATGATGATATGCATATAAATCTCGGGGGTAACCTATGGCTGTTAAAACTGTCATAATGGTTTTTTGAAATAGTGTAAATTAAACATAGATATTTCGTAAGTAATGTGAGCATATTTTACACTCAATATTAATATGAAAAAGTAGTGTAACAACTATGGAAAATTTGTTTGTTGGGATTCTAGACTTTATTTTTGACAGAAATATTATTTACAAATATCATTGATTTAAGTTTAATTATTTAAGGAATTTGCAATTTCGTATTATAAATATTAATGTAATAATAATTCATATTGTATACTGTCATAAATGTTAACAATCTTAAATAAATGTTAAGATTATTGATTCATAACTATAATTGAATTATCACTTATTTGCTAATAGACAAAAAATGCAATTATGTATTAATTAAGTTTATCTTTTTTTTTTTAAAAAATAATAATAAATTTGATATTTTAATATTTTTTTTAGGTTCTATATCTCCTTTAAATAATGCTAGTTCTGTAGAACCAACTGAAAGGAAGAATGCAGCATTGAGTATTTTATGGAGTCTCTGTGAATCTCCTGTGTTGAAACCTTATATGAAAGACCTTTTGACTGCAAGGTATGAAATCTAAATAAATGATTTAAGTTAAGATACTTACCTAATTATTCTATGCGATCAACTTGAGTAGTTTATATTTAGTGTTAGGTGGGTATTAAATCAAGATTTTTTTAAAGAAGGCTTTAAAATCAATCCATTAAATTTATTTTACTGAAAAATATGATATTTATGAATGTTACCATGAATGACCAAAATCAAGAGAATGCTGACTTTCACCAGTGTCAACAATCAAATAGTCGCTTTGGTGAATGTTCAAAATATTTGTTATATTCGATTTGATATTAGTTTATTCTTTGATAATATTATCTTTACTCGATATTTTAATAACTGTTGAGGATAGATTAGGAGAAGCATTAGTACAGTACAGAACCCGTTATCCGGAAATCAGAAAACCGGAAAACCAAAAAACCGGAACGAAATCCAATAAATTTTCCCACCATTTTTAAAAAAAATTTTTTTTTTTTTTCCTCATAAGATTTTAGGATTTTTCTTTCTTTTTTGAAAGATGTTCATCTTACCATCATTTTGGAAATAATCATTAGTGTATTACTTCATCGTTTTTTCTTTTTAAGATTATTTCCATTTTTTTTTTTAGTTGGGTTTAACAATAAAAAAACGGCTTTCTGTAGCTATTCCGAAAACCGAAAAAATCAGTTATCCGGAATAGCGATGGTCCCGATCGTTCCGGATAATTGGTTCCCTACTGTATTTGGAGTTAATGCAAACCGGGCAAATCAGGGTTCCCACGGTACTTGAAAAACCTTGAAAGTCCTTGAATTTGGTTGAAAAAAATCAGGGCCCCAGAAAGTCCTTGAATTCTGGCATAGGGTACTAGAAAAGTACTTGATTTTTTTAGAAATTAAAATACTACTAATTTTTCTTGCAAAAAAGTAATGAAAAAAAATATATAAATTCAAAGGAAAATTATAGAAATTCTAATTATGCAATTTTTAATGCTTGAAGTGAAAAGGGGTTAAAGAAGATGCAAAACTTTTCTCTCCTAGATTTTTCAGACCAGATTGTTGTTCATATCTCTGATATTTTGAAAGCTGTAATTTCTAGCAAATTTTAGGTTTTTTAGTCATAGTTTTGCGAATGATATATAGGGTTTAATTGATTTAGAAACATGTTTAATGTGTTGACTTCATTATTACGACAGGTTAATATTGTTGTCCTATTTGTTTTTTTAATTTATGTAAGAAGGATAATTAATTTTGTATCATTTACAATCAAATTTTTACATTCAGTTTTTACTGCTGATAAATAAAGTTTACTCCTACAGGTTTCATTGATTATGAATAAACATCATGATTCACATTAAACTGATTCTTGATTTATGGATCAGAAATTCACATAAAATGTGCTACGAATTGTGGTTTAACTGAAAGTGATCAATGAATCACATATCGAATATTACTTTAAAGTGATTTGCAAATTACTCATCAGGATTTGTATTAAGGTATTTTATAAGTCACATCATGATTCACATTAAAGTTATTTATCAATCATGGCTCACGATTCTTATTCTAGTAGTTTACAAATCACGCATTACGATTCACAAAAGATAGATTTAAGAATTACCACCCACAATTTTCATCAAAATGATTTTAGAATCACACATATCTGTCCTATATTAAGCACCTTTCGAAACACAAATTGCAATTTGTGAAAATTAGGCATATTCACAAAATTTACATTTTATGGATGTATTTTAAAAGAAAATAAAGCTTGGTAAGTCTTAATTATCTGTAAAATATTGTTCTACAATAGATTTTATTATGTTCAAAATACATTACTGATATTCTTAAGTAAGAACATAGAAAATTTGATATTAAAAATTGAAACAGATATGTTAAATTTTTGATAATTATGTTAAATTTTTGATAAATATGTTAAATTTTTGATGATTTATCTAATTATATACTTTTCCTGTAACCTAAAATTTGATTTAACATATTAAGAAAAGTATTTATATTTTAAAAACCGTGCAATTACACAAACTTTATCAATTATTTACTATGCTTGTTTAATGTAATATGCATTACTCATTCATTCAGTTTCATTAATTCTAATTCATTTGTCATGAAAAGTTTCACTGATGCTAGTTTTAAATGTTGACTAGTATCCTGTGTCAATTGGAGTTTTTTTTTTTGGTCAATAGGATTTTTTTAAAGTAATTTGAAACAGCAATGTAACTATCAACCATTCATATTATTAGCTGATAAATTTAATAAATAATTTTTTGTTGTTGTCAAATAAGCATTATGATTTAAAAATATACAATTTCTGCTTCTGCGTTATTGTAAAATCTGGTTGACATGTACTCTAGCGTATAACAATAATATCGAATAGGTCCTTGAAAAATTTGATTTTAGGTCCTTGAAAGTCATTGAAAAGTCCTTGAATTTTTTTTTTTGAAAGATTGAGTGGGAACCCTGCAAATGTATACTGTGCAGTGACACTTAACTAGACCTACTTTGTATTTCGGACATTTCTCAAAGCAATTATGTGATTGTCAACATTCACTGGTGGAAGTCAGTATTGAGAGAAATTTGCCTTCATGGAGGACTTTTTGATGGAACTAACCCACATTTGCGTTACATGGAGAGGAAGACCACAAGAATCTCNTAATTGGTTCCCTACTGTATTTGGAGTTAATGCAAACCGGGCAAATGTATACTGTGCAGTGGCACTTAACTAGAACTAGTTTGTATTTCGGACGTTTCTCAAAGCAATTATGTGATTGTCAACATTCACTGGTGGAAGTCAGTATTGAGAGAAATTTGCCTTCATGAAGGACTTTTTGATGGAACTGACCCACATTTGTGTTACATGGAGAGGAAGAGCACAAGAATCCGCCACAGTTAGCTTATCAGCAAGGGGACTCTAATCTATGGTTCATCGACCACTGAAGATCTTTTCACGTCAGCACTGTGGTCGGTGCAAGCCGGATGCGGAATTCATATCGACCAGCCATCGCTGGGATTCGAGCCCGGTTCACCTCATTCGAGGGCGAGAGCTCTATCCCCTGAGCCATTTTTCATAACTTTAAAAAATGTTCTGTTATTTGTTTGTTTCTGTTATATTGTTAAAAAATCTTGATGGTTCTATTTCTAGGGATGCCCAAGGCTTAACTCCATTTATGTCTGCTGTGACTGGCAGAGCTTATTCTGCTGCTCTTATTTTAATGGATACTTTCTTGCGTCTTTCCCAAGAGACTTGTAGAGATTCTGAAGCAAAGCAGAAATTTATGCAGCCCATGATATTTCCTTCCGGGGCTTCTCCTGATGACTCTCCCCTTCACGTCTTATGTTATAACGACACCTGTAGTTTTACATGGACTGGAGCAGAGCACATTAATCAGGTATTTTCTTTCTTTAGCTGCCAACTTTACCCGATTTTGCCTATTTCTCCTGGTTTAATAAAATTTCTCCTATTTTTATACATTTTAAAAAGTTTCCAGGGTTGCCACTCCTCAGGGGGAGAACAGGGAAAACCTGGAAAATACAGGGAATTTAAAAATCACCTAAAATAACAGGGAAAATCGTGATGAGAAACATCTTCTTTTTCGTGATGAACATTGACGATTTAGATCTCTATTTTTCACTTTAAAGGAAGCATTTGATTTTTTACACCAGTCTTGTGCCAATCCAAATGAATTTCTTATGTTGCCTTTGTTATGTTATTTTGTTATTTTTTTATATAGTTTCATGCATCTTTTTTTTGTTTTCTATTATTACAGTGTTCAACAATATATGACGTCTTATGATGAGCAAAATAATTTATGATTGTAATACCCCCCTTTTTTTTTTTAAATTTCTATTTTAAATTTATTGTAATTACTTTTCTTTGTCGCCTGGACAGGATTTTCCTCTTGACGACGAATATATATTCCTTGTATTTATGTGTTTTTGTTCCCAATAAAGTTATATATATTTAAAAAAAAAAATGCAGGGAATTTTGATTTTTTCTTTACAAACTGAGAAAATACAGGGAATATTGTTTTTACTTTTGTCTTTTAAAAAATGGTGACCTCTCAAAGCCTAATCTATGGGATATTTAACCATGATATTTCAGCTATAATAAACTATTTCATTTACTATAGCATTATTTAAGTATGTTCAGCTGTTTTTCCAGCAATTAAAACTAATAAATATAGTTAGCCCAATATAGCTCACACAAGAGTGCAGTAATTGTTGTTTCCTCTTAACATATTGTGTATAATATGTCCAGGGAAAACACAGGGAACTTTTTCTCCAGATTTGAGTGGCAACCCTGGTTTCCTAAAAGTAAGGTAGTTTTCTTAAATAAATATATATATATCCCCATTATTGAAATAGAATTTTTGCACAAATTATTGTTTGCTTTAAATGAGTATTACTAATACATAATGAAAAGATCCTCATTTATGGAAATCAGTTTAAAACTGTTTTGCTCTAAAATGTTCTGTTTTTTATTTTTTTTTTCAGAACTTCCTTTTTAAATTACTTACAAAAATCTGTTAACTATCCTTGATTAATTAAATGTATATTTCTATTCAATATTATGAGCAAACATAAAACATTTCAAGTTCATTTAATGTCAAACCTAACAGGAAAATTTCAAATTCAAAGCTATTAAAACCCTTTTGTGAAAAATATTAAACTAAATTCCAATTTTAAACAAGTCAATTGAATTTCTATTTCCATTAGCTCTCAAGATATCAAAATTTTTTTTTTATTGGCTCTTAGTAAGAGATTCTTCTAATTAAGATATTAATAAAGAATGGCATTTTGCTCCAGGCAACAGAAGAATCTTAATAATTTAAAGCGCATTAACTCAAAATGTTAATAAAAGTTTTTTTGAAATTTTTTTGCAATGCGAAGTTCAATCTTTTTTCTAAACTGCAGTGTCATGCTTGTTTTTCTTAATTTATAAATTTTTTAATTGCTTATTTTTTAGGACATCTTTGAATGTCGAACGTGCGGCTTGACCGGCTCTTTGTGTTGCTGCACTGAATGTGCTCGTGTCTGCCACAAAGGTCACGATTGTAAATTAAAGAGAACATCACCCACGGCCTACTGTGATTGTTGGGAGAAATGTAAATGCAGAGCTTTGGTCTCTGGCCATCAACCATCAAGATATCAACTCTTAAATAAACTTATCCAAGAAACAGATCTCGTTACTTACCCTAACAGCAGGTAAGCCAGAATTATATTTAAGTACGTTCCATCAAAAAACATTTGATTTTATAAAGTGGATGATTTTACAAACCAGAATATCTATACTTAGGAAAAGTCTGCTAAAGTTAAACTTTCTAAGTACATTAAAAGCTTAATTCATTACTACATTTATAATTTATTTTTACTGAATCTTCGTTGACTATATGACATTTTAATTTAAGATGAGCTACATATATTTAATATTATGCAGAAGAATTTTACAATACTAAGCATATTTGTTTGATTAGCAAAATTTAAAATTAAAGATTCAAAATGATTGGAAAGTTTATAAAAGCTTTTCTAGCTTTCAATCTTTCCTTTTCTTATCTCTTAAGTTCATTTTAAAATAAAGATAGATTTATTTTATGTAATGAGAGATAACCATTAACATTGAACGATGATAGTCATTCTATAATTTCGATATTTGGATCTCTTTATTCTCATAGTTTCATAATTTTTGAGTTCTCTCCCTTTAAATTCTCTTAAGAAGTGTAATCCACACCTGTAACTTAATTCATTGGGGTAACAGTAAAATCTGTTATTAAAACCTTTAAAAAAATTTTTTTGTTAAAAAAAAAGAAAAGTATAATTATTTTAAGCAAAAGCACTACAAAAATTTGATTTTACGAAAGGGTAATCATGATTTTATATTATTGATATTATATTGATTGCAGAATTAATTTCATAATCTCAATATATATATATTTTTTTGAAGATTGATGTATCTTTAAGTGAAGACGATTTAATTTTATTTGTAATTTTATCTAGGGGTGAAAATATCCTTCTTTTCCTCGTTCAAACTGTTGGTCGTCAAGCCATTGAGCACAAACAGTACAGACCTTCGAGACCTCGCTCATCTGCACAACGCAAGACAACTTCGTCATCAGATATCTGTGAGTAATAAATTTCTGCTTCACTATCATTCAAATTTATTTTCATATTTTTAATCTTATTTTCTAATCGGTAGCATATTTTTTAAAATTAATTATGAAATCTTTTAATAATCTTTGATGAATTAAATGTCTTATAACTATTCAAAATTATGAGTAAACATAATACATAACATTTCAAGTTAATTTATTGTCAGTCATAACAGGAAAATATTGCAGTCTTTCTATTTTTATGAGTATAAAAATCCCTAAAATTCCCTATGTATAAAATATTTAGTTTGTGGTTTTGTGGTGGCAGACCCTGTGGTTTTTTCTGCAGATATTTGTAAAATTCAGCTTATCTCAAGATGATTCGCCAATTTGATTCTTTTGGTTTGGTGGATTTTTTGGTTACGTTGGAATCTGCTAACATCAGGGTTTGAAAAAACCCTACCCGCCTGGGTTTTATTGAATAAATCTGGGGAAAATTGGGTTTTATTTGAAAAAACCCGGGGGAAATTGGAATAATATAAATCCAAAAAATTATTTCAATTTTGTTATATGTGTTTTATATTAAGTTTAAATAACACATTATCACTAATACATATTTGAATCTTCTTTATTGTTAAATACATAACGTTTCACAATTTTTAACCCAAGCATTATAAAATATAAATGCAGTAATATAAAAGGAACAAGTTTATTAATCTTTTTGTTTTCACACACATTTATTTACTATATTTATTAAACATATGGATATTACCTATTATAAAATTATAATCTGTAAATATTTATAATCAGTAAAAACTAAAATTTCATCTGACTTTTGACTTTAATAAAAAACTGAAATAAATATTTAATGGTCTTCCATGTTTTTATAATAATATTAATAGAAAGTGAAATTAAAATTGCATATAATTATAAAGAGTATCAGTTACTTACTCCATTTTTTTTGTCAAATAATTTACCCTAGGAAAATGATTTCATTTTTAGATAAATAATTTTAAAATGTTCTTGTATAGAAAGTTTTAGCTTATTTTTTAAAGCCAGAAAATAAAACTGTTTAAATTTGCTAATGTATCACTTAGTAAAAAAAAAAAAAAAAAGTTTCCTTTGAATTTTTTTAAACATATGAATTAATAATAACCTGTTTATTAATATATAAAGCATGCAACTATAATTGAAAAATTTATCTTTTCAGACTATATTATTAAATTTCTATTTGATTTAATTTCATTAAAATATTACTTTTTAAAAAAACCCACTTAAAGTTTTCAATAGTACCTACTATAAAATTAGATTCGAATTCCTTTTACTTTACAAATATTAGAAACTTAATTATATAAATCCCGCAACTCTATTTGACAAACTGATGCTGTACAATAAATTATATAAAATTAAATGTGCAGAAATAAGTTTTAATGAAATTTTTAAAAAAAAAAAAACCCCACTTATCGCTCCAAGTGGGTTTTTTCAAGGTGGGCCCACCCAATAAAACCCGGGCGGGTTTTTTCAAAGTGGGCTCACTTGGCGAACCCTGGCTAACATCATGATTCTTATTTATGTGATTTTAATATTATTGATTTTTGTATTTACCTGCTTTAAAAGTTACGCGTTGCGATTCATATTTACAGGATTCAAAAATCATACATCACTAGTCTTATTCACGGGGTTTAAAAATCGCATATTGCAATTCATTTTTAAGCATTTTTAAAACCCAAATGTCGCAATTCGAATTTATGTGACCTGAGAATTATGCATTGTGATTCGTATTTATGCAATTTAAAAATTCATGGTCGCAATTTGTATTTCCGTATTTTTGAAATACTATATCGCGATTCATATTTGTGTGATTTTAATATCCAATATCACGATTCTTAATCATGCGATGTTTAAAATCCAATATGGTGATTCTTTTAAGAAGTAAGTTTTTTCTTGAAATGTTTACTATAAAGGTCTGATATTCACCATTAGTAGGTTATTTAATTATAAATGCTAGTTCAAGAAATTATGTTAAATATGAAACATGATTGGTACATAAATTGATAACTTGATATTGATTTTTTGCACATAACGCTTTTAGGGTTTTTTACTTTGTGTCACAATCACCCCTAAACTGTAATAAATTAGATTAGAATATAGCAATTTCAAATTTTTCCGTAACTTAGCTTTACAAATGGATTCTTTACGTGCCATAATTTTATTTAGCACAAAGTTCTACCAGGAATTTTCCTTTTTTTTCATATTGTAACACTTTTTTCTTCTTTTTATGCACTCTTTAATGGTCTAGAATTTATTTTATCAATTGAAATACTTATTTGTTTAGCTGAAACTGACATGCCAGACCATGACATGGAACCCCCTAGGTTTTCCCGGCGTGCTTTAGAGCGTCTGTTGAATGATTGGAATGCAGTGAAATCCATGATTCTTACGGGATGGAAAGGGGAAGATAATTCATCATTGAAACCATCTTACGGATACATGTACGATGAACAAGCTTATCTCGGTCTTCAGAATGGAACAGCCTTACTCGATAAATTCACTCATTGCCTTCTCACAAAATGTAGTCCAGAAGTAAGAAGCCCTTTTTAATCCTTTAAAACAGAGTGATTTTAATATTATAAAACAGTGGAATCTCCAAGAAAGACCACCTCCATTTAAGACCACTTTTGGGAGGTCCAGAACTCCTTAGAGAGCTTTTTTTGACAATACAACCTCATGTTGCAGTCAGATTGCTCTAAAGATGATGGAATGCAGTGAAATCCATGATTTACTATGATTACTTCTAGATTTACTTCTAGATTTACTATCTATGATTTACTTCTAGAGTTAATAGTTCAATTAGAAAAAAAAATATTTTAGGGATAAAAAATTATCTCAAAATATTTTAAACAGGGTGCGTAGCATTTTTAAAGCATTTTTCTTCTTCTTTGCCATATCGATTGTTGTTGTAAATTACAAAAAGTGCATGATTTTTACAATTTTCTGAGCAATATTTATCAGAAGTTGTTTTATCATGATTATGTAGTTTTTTAAAATGTTTCTAAATTTTATTAATTTTATGTTTATAAATAAAAAACTTTTAACGGTAGGGAAAAAATTTTTATTACTGCACAAATCCGAAGTAATAAAGTATGATTTTTATTATTATTTTTTTTTTTGGAAAGTGATTAAAAATATTTTTAGAGTGCTTAAAAAGTACTTAAAAGGTGCTTATTTTTTGTTGAATAATCTGGCTATGCACCCTAATTTTTGTGATTAAAAATTAAATGTCAACTTAAACAAAAAAAACGTAATTGGTAAATTTATTTTTACACATTTTTGTAGACGCTAAATTTTATTCATTTTCGATCCATCTTTTTATGATGCCAATAGAAGTGGCATTACTGCCCCAAGAAAATGACACTGACTGAAATTAAAATCATTTGAGAAAAATTTTGTACCTTTGATGACAATTTTGAAATTAATGGAGGTAACTTTTAAGAACGAGCAACCTCCATCAACGACCATTTACTGTTGAATGGAGAGTGATCGCTCCCGAGAGGTTACACTGTATGAGGTATTTTAAATGTTTTTGTAAATATATTGTTGTAGTAATCGGTTACAATTAATGAAATATATATGCATATTAATATTTGTTTATTAGTGTTCATTATATTAGTACTTACCAAACTCTAGTTTTAAAACAATTTTCAAAACTGGAATTTTTTTAATATTGCACATGCATTTCTGTATCTTAAATATTTTTTTAATTACCTTTTTTTGTTCCATCTTAATCATACATTTCTTAGTATGATTTTTTTTTTAATAAGTGGTTTGTTTTAGTTTTATTATTCCATAAATAAGTCAACCTACATTAAATGTAAAAGATATGAAGCAACACTGTTTGCTGTGTCATTTGAAAATTTTAATAAATAAATAAATGTAAAATTAATTTTTTACTTGTTTTGTCTTCTTTTCAATAGTTAATTATGAAACTTTTTCTATTTCATTTTCAATTAATTTCAATTATGCATTTACATGTATTATGTACTATAAACCAATTTTTAATAGAGTCACATTGTTTGAAATGTACTGTTATGATTTATTTTTAATGATATGATTTTTAAAATGTAACAAATACATAAACTCAAGTTTGGAAATAATAAAAATCCTGTTTGAAATTTTAAGTCAAACAAATAAGAATCATGAATCCTGCTTCTCTCTTCCTACAGATGCTTGATACTCTCTTAACTACCCTTATACGAGAAATTCAAAATGAAAGCAAAGAGGGCCGAAGTGCAGAAGCTACTATGGTTTCAAGACGATTTGTGCGCAGTGTAGCACGCATATTTGTAGTGTTAAATGTTGAGATGGCTCCTAATACTTCAAAGAAAAAAAAGTAAGCATCAATTCCAAAAAATGTTTCAATTTTTCAAAAACTTTACTATAACTTGAAAGACCAAACCACATGATGACTAGAATTTGCAGACCTCTGTTCTTTGCAATGATCTTTACAAAGCGTCTCCAATGGTTTATATATATTTCTTCTAAGACTTTTAGCAATCTGTAGCAATGTTTCTTTTTTAAAGCAATGTAGCATGATCCATGGGCTGAATTCAAATTTGTGATGTCTGGTGGTTGGGTGTGTGCATGGATCCCATTACATTTTGGTTCATTCTCTGAATTCCTGTTATCTGTAGGGTTGGAAAAAATAAGCTTTTATCTGGACATGGTAAAAACTTTAAAAACCTGCCAAATGCTGCTAGCAATTTTTTTTAAAGTGTTAGTGCTTTATTATTTATAGCCTATATTAAAATCTTTTACAGTAACTAGCCATTTGACAAATGTTATAATGTAAACTACAGTAGAGCGCCGATTATCCGAACTGCTCGGGGCCGAACGTGGTTCGGATAATGAAATGTTCGGATAATTGGAAAGTTGTTTAAAACCTAGTTTAAATGATTATTATTTATGCACCAACTTCCCTTCACACTTTTTCTAGGCTTAGAACTGGCAGTACTATCTAAAATAGCTCTGGCGAGTTTAAGACTTTTTTTTTTTCAATTTTTAAATATATTTTTTTAAACTTTTCTTTTCAATTTGAATCATTTTTATCATATTTCGGCTTTTTTATAATATTTTTTGTCAATTACTGATTTTACCACATTTTATTTTATTTTCCATTGCAAAAGATATCCAGCAAAGACTTTTATTTCAAAGAACATGCTCTTTTTTGTGCAGCCTTTTTAAATAAATCAACTGAATTGGATCAACATCATTTTGACGTTCTAGGCAATTCATTGCAATATCTAATGAATTTCATGCTTCTTATGAGAAGGTCCACGATCTTGAATTTGATCACGTACTTCTTCCTCTTAATCTGAGGAGTTCCGATTTTCATTCAAAATTTCAGAAACAATTTCATGATCATTTAAAATTTGAAATCCTGAGTCGTTTTCAGTGTCTCGACACCAGTCTTCTATTTCTTCTGCTGTATAACATGGCATATTTTCACCCGAAAGATCTACCGATTCACAAACTGCAGTTTTGTTTGTTTTTCTGATAAGAATTTTATTCCAAGATTTAAGATTCCAAGCACTGTAATCACTAATCATTAACCATGAGTGACAACTACCCATCCCCCAATTGTAGAATTTCGGCACTTATCTATTCATAAACACATTCCGCTTTACAACAATTGTAGATTGTCAAAATGAAGCTCGCATTCTTTGATGATAATTTTCAGTTGAAGTGGGCTAAAGGGGTATGTAGGTTTAACTGCATAACAATGCATGTATGTATGGTTACTAGAAGAAAACTGCTGAAGAAAGTTGTAAATTAAATATGGTCTTCAGATGTAGTGGATATTATATATTCCTCTAAATTTAGAAAAATTGTCGATAAGTTAAAAAAATTCTAAACTTAAAAAAGAGAAGGAGAAAAAAAGCGAATTCGGACATAGTTCGGATAATTGGACGTTTGGATAATAAGGGTTCGGATAATCGGCACGCTACTGTATCTCCTAAATATTAATTGAAACCTAATTTTTTGCAAAACAATAGAGTGACAAATATTTTTCACCATTTTGGACACTGATAAATGTATTAAATTTTCAATATAAGCCCATAACCATTTATTTAATGTTTGTTAAAAATATATTGTTTTCATGAATTAATTTCAACATACTTCTTCTCAGCTTTATCTCAGAAAAAATACTTGATGTTCTTGATATTTAGAAAATATATTTCATTCCTTTCTTCTCTATCTATCAGTGATTTTTTTTATGACTTCCTAAACATTCGAGCGTGATTTAAATCACTTACTTTGAAAAAAAAAAATCTTTGATTCTTATCAAATAATTTTAGTGTATTATAGTTATTCAGTGTGTCCAAAATATGAGAAAACTGTCGAATATATTTACATCTTACATGCATTGACGACAAAGTTTGACACATAAGGAATATTTTTGACGGCTTTTAAATATATAATTTTTTCTTTTTTACGCATACTAGAATTGCAGTTATTAATAGCCAAATTTTTTTTTACAAAAATTTGTTTTATTTATTATTTCATAACTGTTTGTTTTGTTATACAGCTTGAGTGCAGCTACTCAGCCTCTAGCAAAATGCAAAAGGGTTTTTCAAGCTCTCATCATCATAGCAGTTGAAGAATTGTGTGAAACAGCAGATGCCCTCATAGCTCCTGTAAGACATGGTGTTGCTAGACCAACTGCCCCATTCTCCTTAGTTTCTTCTAGTAATGAGGCAATTCATGTAAGTGTATCTTTTCTGCAGTATTTTTAATTACTAATTGATTACTAATTTAAAGTAACATAGTGTTTACAGAAGAAAGTAAAGAAAAAAATGTAAAAAAATTTTAATTGTAAGAGTAATATTTTTTAAATTCTAATTCTGCGGATTTTGTATACAGAAAAATGAACTAATTATTTCCTCTTTCAAATTTTGTAAATCATTACAAAAATTAAAAGTCATAAATAAATTAAGCGATAATAAATTGAAATTAATATATATATATTAAAAATTGCAAAATCCGTGCAGTAACTTTAAAATAAAGATCGACGACAAATCACGCGAATAAGACTCTTTAAAAAAGAGATACTCAAATAAGAAAAAAAGAAATAACTCTTTAAAGAGGAAAAAAAAAGAAAGAAAAAACATCATTTCTAGAGTGAACTATCTTTTAAACTTTTGCGATTTCTGAATTTTCTTTTTTAAATTTGAAATTCTAGCTGAAGGCAGTCATTATGGACTTTTTTTTCATTCCAAAATGAGAATAGAAAAACCGTGATTATTTCTTTCCTCCTCTCTGATGCGCAAGAAATAAATATTCAAAAAGAAATTCTGCAGAGAGAAAAAAAAACATTTTTTGAAAAATTATACAGAGAGGAAAACCAAAATTTTCCCCTTCCCAAATGAAAAATCTTTCTGCAAAAACTCCAATCTTCTGTGACAATGTCGCTGCGTCGCCTCAATTCTGCCACGGGGCAAACTTGAAGGATTCAGAGTGTGAAAGTACAACGCTAGACCCATTGCTACTCGTGCACTTTCAGGGTTGGAACAGTTGCTGAAATTACTCCAAACTGCTTTCAAATATAATTTTTGTTTTAGCCTTCTCCAAAATGTCGTTCTTTCCCCCGATATTGCTCCAAAACGCTTAACAATATCAGGGTTGCCACTCCACAGGGAGAACAGGGAAAACCTGGAAAATACAGGGAATTTAAAAATCACCAAAAATAACAGGGAAAATGCAGGGAATTTTGATTTTTTCTTTACAAACTGGGAAAATACAGGGAATTTTGATTTTTTATTTTGGTCTTTTAAAAAATGGTGTCCACTCAATACGTAATCTATGGGATATTTAACCATGATATTTCAGCTATACTAAACTATTTAATTTACCATAGCATTATTTAAGTATGCTCGGCTGTTTTTTGCAGCAATTAAAACTAATAAATATAGTTAGCCCAATATAGCTCACACAAGAGCACAGTAATTGTTGTTTCCTCTTAATATATTGCGTATAACATGTACAGGGAANTTCAGGGTTGGAACAGTTGCTCAAATTACTCCAAACTGCTTTCAAATATAATTTTTGTTTTAGCCTGCTTCAAAATGTCGTTCTTTCCCCCGATATTGCCCCAAGTTGCTCCAAAACTCTTAACAATATTCATTGAGCAAAGAGTGCATATTTGGGACAATTTTGTGCAAAAGTTTAATTGCACCATAACCGCAAGCAATTTTGGTTTTTCACCTAAATGTCGATTAATATGTTTAGTTAACTGAGTTTTCCCTCCCATCAAATAGAGCAGGTCAAGAAGTTATTACTAAAATAATGCAATTAACTTGTCCAGTGATTCTGCTTATGTGTTAAAACACTTCAAATAGGCAAGAAATGGAGAGAACACAAAAAACTAGCTTTGTTGAGTGAATTTTTCGTGTTGGAGAATTACTTGTTCCATGTAATTCTCTAACACAATTTTTTCTTTTTCTTTTTGGTATTTTTTTTGTGTTCTAATCCTAAGAGTTTGAATTGGTTACTTCTTTTCAGTGAAAGTCTAGGATAAAATAACTGAATTTATAAGTTCGTCCTACTTACTTATTTTTATGAAACCATATTTTATTTTTAATATTCCTTAAACAAATATTCAGGATATTAAAAAAATATGCCATTCAAAATAAATTATTCACGTGTGATTTTTTCTTCATTTTTCTTGTTCCAATAGCTTGTCTTATTTGTATTTGAAACTTAAGATAAGAAGATGACGATTTTTTTCAGTAAACGCGTGCCTTTTTTAAGCTTAATAAATGCCAAAATAAAATTAATTTTCTTTCCGATTTAGGCGTTTTTCAAAATATAGTAAGTTAAAAATACTTTTCTTTGTTTATAACTTAAATGGAGCTAATTGAGATAATTGCATAAAATTGTATGTTCATATTTCTTAAATTCAGGTAACTAGATTAGTAACCAGTCACTTAAAAGTTTGTCTTATATTTAAAAAAGAAAAAAAAAGCGTATACTTTTATATACCTTTGCTGCTAGGACTAAAAAACTTAGCTTATTTGGAAGTTCTGCAACGTTATGTGGATTTAGCTGCCAAGTTTATAGGATACCATAGCTGCCAAGTCTGCTGAATTTTCCAGTGGACTACTTCATTTTGCCAGTTTCTACTACTTTTTTGCCAGGTCTACTGGTTTAATAAAAAATCTCCTAATTTTTGTACATTTTTAGAAAATTCCCTTAAGTTTCCTAAAAACAATCTCTATTGAAATAGAATTTTTGGACAGATTATTACTTGCTTGAATATTTAAATGTGTGTTACTGATACATAATAAAGGAGCCTCATTTATCGAAATCAGTTTAAAACTTTTTCTCTCCCAGAAATACTTTTTCAAATTAGTTTAAAAGTCTTTTAACTATCTTTGATGAATTAAATGCCTATTACTTTTCAAAAGAGTAAACATAATACATAGCATTTCAAGCTCATTTAATTTAAATCGTAACTGGAAAATATTGCAGTATTTCTATTTTGCTAACCATAAAAATCGCTGAAATTCCCTATGTGTGAAATATTTAGTACATTATGCTATAATTATCATATATTATTTCGTAAAATCTACTTTTCCTTTCTATGTTGGCAGCTAAGGTTTAACAAATTTGTCATAACTCTTAATGCAGCTTTTTTAGTGATTTACTGACTGTAACTGATTATAGGGGAGTGAAGAGCTGTTTGCTGTTGATCCAATGATGACAAGAAGTAGCAGTGAGCTTTCTGTGCGTGCTGCCAGTGGTTTAGTTGTGGAATCGCAATCATCTCTGGGTGTAGATGGTTCTTCACGTGAGAGAGAGGATGAGGATCCTGAGGTATTTCTCATAGGGCATTTTAAACACTTGTCTTAAGCATTTAACAGGGTGCTTAGCATTTTTTTAAAAAGGCCTTAAAGGTGCTTTTTTAATTGGGTGTTTTGAATCCCAATAAAATTATCAAATTAAGCATTTTTAAAAAAAATTTTTTTCATGATTTACTCTTAACATTAAAATGACTTGTGTTTTATTACAAATACACACGATTGACTTTAGATGTTATGAGAATCATGTCATGAGAATCATGCTTAATGATTTTTTATTTTTTTAAGAAGCTATTTTTGTTTGACTACAGGTCTTTTATTTTTATTTTAACCTGCAGGTTGATGTTATGGAACGAGAAGTGAGTGAAGACCAAGATCCGGAAGAGAGTGAGCGTGATGACCACATAGAACAGTCTGAAAATGATACTGTACCTCAAGAGCAAAATGATGATGGTATAATTTACCTCTTTTTCTCATCAAATTCATTCATATTGCACATCAACCATAATTTTTCTTTTCTATATTTATATTTCTTTAAACTATTTTTCAACATCTACTTTTATTTTAGATTCATTGAAATAGGTTGCAAAATACATAAACCAGGGTAGCATTTATAAAAAGTGCTTAAAGCTGCTTTTGTTTTGCTTTTTTTGAAAACCGTTAATTGTGCTTTTTTTTTTTAATTCAGGGTTTCTAAAAAGTGCTTAATTTTCTATCTTTTAAAAAGATATTTTTTTCTTCACCATTTCATTGTCTTCATGAATAACAGGAAAAAAAATGCATGATAATTTTCTGTACAATATTTATCTAAAACTAGTTATTTTATCCTGATTATTTAAAATTTTTGAAAATGATTTTGCATTTTGTTGATTTTATGTTTGTAAATTAAGAACTTTTAAACGATAGAACAAAATTATTTTTATTGCTGCACATGTCCTAATTATGATATATATATTTTTTGGAAAGTGATAAAAAATATTTTTGAGTGCTTAAAAGGTGCTTATTTTTCTCGAAAAATCTGGTTATGCACCCTGGTAAACTCTTTTGAGTTTTAAAGCGCTTCATTTTTAAATACCTTTTTAGGTGAATAGTGTATATCCCATGCATGTTTCTAAATCTAGAGTAAAAAAAATTCTTTTTTTCTTTTTGTGTGAAAAATTTAGACTTTTATGCTTGTGTCTTAGGATAAAAAGTCATTTTTATTTGGCAAAACAAAATATATGAGGTTTCCAAAAAATAGCAAGCTGTGTTTGGTATTGTTTTATTTATAAACAACTGTATGATATGGTAGTCTAACACCTAAGTAAGACTGTAAGTTAAAGTGTAAATGTAAAAATAAGAAAATTTGAAATATTTATTGCAGGCCTGTTTGTAGCCCAGAAATGAGAATGATTGTTAGTGAAAAATCAAATTTCAATTTCTTTCGAAATATTTTCAATTTTTTTCAAAATTTCTTTTAAAATTGAGATTTTTACTGTTTTGAATTATAAACACCATCCACCACTTAATTTTTTTCTCTGAGAAAATTGTATACATACATAGCTGCCAACTCTACTGGATTTTCCAGTAGACTACAGGATTTTGCCAGTTTTTCTTGATCTACTGGTTTAATTTAAATTCTCCTGGTTTTTCTGCATTTTAGAAAGTAAGTTTCCTAAAAAATCCATTTTAAATAGAATTTTTGTACAAATTATTACTTAAATATTTAAATAAATATTATTAATGCATAATGAAGCTAACCTCATTTATGAAAATCAGTTGAAGACTTTTTTCGTTCTAAACTGTTCAGTTTATTTTTATTCAGAAATCTCGTTTTAAATTTATTAACTGTACTGACACATAACTATCTTTAATGAATGCCTATGAATATTCAAAATTATGAGTAAACATAATACATAACATGTCAAGTATGTTTAATGTCAATCATAACTGGAAAACATTGCAGTTTTTCTATTTTGATGACTATTAAAATCTCAAAAATTCCCTATATGTACATTATGCAACATTTAACATGAAATTTATGTTATTTCGTAAAATCTATTTTGTTTTTTCATATTCATATTGGCAGCTATGTATATATTAAAACTAATGAATAGGCTTGGAAGTCAGGAATATTTTTCTCTTCCCAAAAGTAATGTAGGTATGAACTGGTTTTAGTACCAGTTTTTTTTCTTCTTTTTTCCAGGGTGCAAATAGCCTTGTTATTGTGCATTTAAATTTTTTTTCTTCTAAGTTAGTTACAGGGAAGAATGTTTTTAATTTAAAAATAAAATTTCAGAGACTTAAAATATTTAGTTTTTAATTCTTGAGAATTATTTTCCTTTCTCTGTAACAAACGTTTGTGTCTCTGGATTATTTCAATCCTGCAGTTTCCTAGTTAAAAAGCCCCTTATGTGAGAAACATTTTTTCCGAAGAGAATATACTGTTTCATTTGCCAAACTCTTATTCAGTTATGGAAGATTGTTTTTTGCATTTAAAGAAGAAAAAAAAATCTGCATTGTAATCCAAAAATAACATAAAATATTTAGAAACTTATTAAGAAACTTGTGAATTAAATATTTACTTTTTATTTTACAGTTTTTCATCCTGTCTATTAAGATCTTGATTTAAATTGATGTGTGTCTTATACTAATTGTATCAAATTTTGGTAGTTCATAGTACCTAGTACCTAACTGATTTGTAACTGGTCAACTCTCGATTAACTGCAGGCAGATAATTCGCTTTGCGAATCATCCACGCTTCACTTTTTTTTTTGCAATAAAGAACATAGCATTTAGAATTGAAAATTAAGAAATTCATCAAGAGGGAACTATTTTGAGAGCAGCATACTAGCCAGAGGTGGTTATTTTAGGGTAAATTTGAGGCTGTTGAAGGACTTTCAAAATTATTTTTTTATCCTGAAAACAGATCTTTCACGAAACATTTTATCGTGGAAACAGACTCTTCACAAAATATTTGATCATAAAAAACAGATCTTTCTCAAAATAGTGTATCTTTAAAAATAGATCTTCTCAAATACTTTTTTTAATGGAATTGTTATTATTTTTAACTCATCGACTCAAAAGTACCTGGTTTTTATCACCAAAACGGCACCTTATTTTAAAATGTTCATTAAATTATGAGTAAATTTGTCACAATTCAACAAAAGCAGACCTTTCTAAAAAGTCTAGAATAATCCCTTCTAGTAAACAGTCATGTTTGTAGCCCAGGTATTCACAATTAATGAAATTATAGATCTACATTTAAACATTGCAGCTTCGAGTGCAATACCTGAGTAAAAACGAGTATTGAAAATGTGAAAATGGGCATTCATAAAGAGCAAGACAATATGAGTCATGGTTTACAGTTGTTGAACTACAAATGATGGATGATAAAAGTTTCTAAAAATCGCGCAGAAAATCTTCCTGAAAATTAATTTACGTGTATCAAACATAGCTTTATGCGTTCTTTTTTTAATAGTGAATTAAAACTCTGCTGGCGCCTGTTTTATTTTAGCCTCCTGCCTTTTCTTAATGTTAAGAAAACTGCTTAAAATTTATCTTTTGTATTAAAAAAATTGATGTGCATCTTTTTTAAGCGTTTTGCAAATTATCTGCGAATTTGCTTATCCACGCTTTGTGGGGCCCCCAATTTCGCGAGTAATCGGGAGTCTACTGTATGAATTCTTTTCGTTGTAATGAACTTCACTGAGGCGGAAATATTTTGTTTTCTAATCTTTATATTGTGATTGTTAACTTTTTCTAATAATTAGTAATTTTTTGAAAACATGATTATAAATAATTAGGTTTTTAATTAAAGTGTTTACTTTCAGAAAGTGATAGTGATAGTGACAGCAATCCTGATAGTGCATCTTATCAAAGCAATCAAGATAATGCTAGTGCCCAAAGAAGTACCACAACTGGGGGAGCTACCGCTGGATCTGATACTGGTATTTTATTTCTCTTTACGCTATTTATGTTAATAAGTATTAAGTATGAAATGTCAGTGTAGCTTGGTTGGTAGGGCATTGGGCCAGTATCCAAGAGGTCTTGGGCTCGATCCCACTGGCTGAAGAGTAAAAGGTGACTGGTGCACGTTAAATCCGTTGAGTCACTAAGTCCTCCATTCCCCATAACAAATCATACCTCTGGGGGTACTGATCCAGGATTTCCTTGTCTTCTGGATTGATTCAAAACTACAAGGCTACAGAGTTGAACATTAGTAGTTGTAAACCCGAAATTGGATTGGCTGTTCAACGATGGTTATAAAATAAAATGAAATGGTTTGTAAAATTGAATTTTGAAACGTAAGTGTTGAATTATGGGTATCCTTGGTGTTGTATTCTAAGTAAGAAACATAATAACTTAAAATATATATTTAATAAACCAACAAAACATAGCAGCAGGTAACAAAGATTACCGAATGGACATCTATTAGTAACGTGTTTATATACTCTCTGGAAAGGTAATGCAGTGGTGCTGTTCAGAAACTACAATATGTTGTCATTGACTCGTAGTGATGACAGAAGGTGACGTCGGCTGACATCACAACAGTAAGATTGTTAAATTTCTTTTTCTAAAGATGTTGAAGGTGTAGCATGTTTGATAAATTTGGATACAGCTATGTCAATTCATGAGCAACATAACCTTTTAGCGTTGCAAATTTAATGTAGGAAAAGAGCAAGATAAATATAATTTTTAATGACAGCCAATTTTTTGTTTAGTGGGATGATTAGATGTAGCATGAAGAGACATGGACACGTAACTTTCATAGCAAATTTAAAATTTTTTAATTGTGGGGATTGAAAAGATAGCATTGATTCATAAACACTATTAAGTGAAAACAAGACATTTTAAAGGATCAAACAAAGAGTTAAAATCAAATCTCATTACTTATGTTATGTACGAAATTAAAAACTTTTTTAATTGCAAAATAATTTTCATCTTGTTGATTATTATTATTATTCCTTTACTGGTTTTGTTGAGTTATTTCTTATTTTTTTATACTTAAGTTACTGGATCTAATGTAAACATTGGCCGAACATCTTATGTTTTGTGTTAAATACACTGTGTATGTTCTGTATAAGTATGGATAAACATTATCTTTTAAACATCATTTTAGTATATAAAACAACATGGATGACATGAATACTTTTAAATTTTAATGATTTTTTTATGAGTTGCATTTGATTTAAAGCAATGATGGGAAGTGTGAAATAAGCAAACCATCGTTTTTGTTTAATTAAAACATCTTCTAAGGCATTACATTTATTTAACAAATGAGCTGTTTAATTTCCGAAAGTTCTGAAGAAAAGTATCATTTTTATAAACACAGTTAAAATAGAGTATTGAACAAAGTAATTATTGATAAAAAACTATGCAAAATATACATAAAACTGCAATATTCATTTGATTTGTTTACAAAATCCTGTTTTTTATTATTTGAATTGTGTTTATTATGTTTCTTTTTCCATATTACTCCTTAGAACTGTTATATTAATTTTTAAGTGAAGAATACTTCCCTGGAAATTTTAAATTGTTTATAGATTCAAAATATTAAAATTTTTGCGCAATAAATTTTTTTTTTGTTATTTATTTATTTCATGTTCTGATCTTTGTTTGTGACGCGTAAATAGACCCGAAAACCATGGAGAGATTACAGTCGGCGTAAAGATTTCAGGAAAAATAAAAATATTTGTTAAGAGTCTTAAAGTTTGTTACTAACATTAACAAAACTAAAAAATTTAGACAGTTTTCTCATATTTAAAATTTTTTACTTGCTGCTTATATTGTTTAAATGGTTGGAGTCTACCAATGTTACATTTGTGTTTTCTTATTTGATCTGTTCACATTGTGGCAAATATCTGAAAAATTGTTGCTCTTAAAATTTATTTCTTTTCTGATTTATTTTGAGATCTTACTACAGTACTTTTGTCAAGTCCTCTGGAAACATAATGTTTGTGTTATTTATTTTTAAATTTAGTTTCACTCTAAATTATCTGTTTTTAAAAAAAATAATGTGCTTATTATTTTTTTCTTTTTGAATTAATAGTAGATCTTGCGATAGATTATGGACTACAGCTGGTTTATTAATGTTCATTAAAAGTATAAGGTTATATTTATTTTTGATTTGGTTGTTTCTAATTTATTTTGTTGCAAATTGAGAANTTTTTTTTTGTTATTTAGTTCATGTTCTGATCTTTGTTTGTGACGCGCGTAAATAGACCCGAAAACCATGGAGAGATTACAGTCGACGTAAAGATTTCAGGAAAAATAAAAATATTAGTTAAGAGTCTTAAAGTTTGTCACTAACATTAACAAAACTAAAATATTTAGGCAGTTTTCTCATATTTAAAATTTTTTTTCTTGCTGCTTATATTGTTTAAATGGTTGGAGTCTACCAATGTTACATTTGTGTTTTCTTATTTGATCTGTTCACATTGTGGCAAATATCTGAAAAATTGTTGCTCTTAAAATTTATTTCTTTTCTGATTTATTTTGAGATCTTACTACAGTACTTTTGTCAAGTCCTCTGGAAACATAATGTTTGTGTTATTTATTTTTAAATTTAGTTTCACTCTAAATTATCTGTTTTTAAAAAAAATAATGTGCTTATTATTTTTTTCTTTTTGAATTAATAGTAGATCTTGCGATAGATTATGGACTACAGCTGGTTTATTAATGTTCATTAAAAGTATAAGGTTATATTTATTTTTGATTTGGTTGTTTCTAATTTATTTTGTTGCAAATTGAGAAAAGTGTGTATCAATTTGTGTGACTAATATAATCACAATTCTTCTTGCTTTGTTGAATTATTCAGTCACATCCAGTAAACTTTCCTGGTGTCTTTATCAGTTTTTTTTATTTTTTGTTTTATTTTATCTGCAAATCATCTCAGCTGTTAGTGAAAAACTTTGTTTTTTCTCCATATGGAATCTTTCTTTTCCTTCAATAACTGTCTATCTATGCACTCCATGAAAACAGATATTAAGCTAATCTTTTCTATTTAAAAATGTGCGGAATGTTTCTGTTAAAAAAAGAAGTTGTAAATAGAGTAGTGCAAGTGTATTTCCGTTTGATATGAGTAATAAAACATTTATTGAAAAGATGAAGTTAAATATTCATAAGATGACAACTGAAAGTCTAATTGAGTTGTCTCTTGTGTTTAGGAACCAGTGACGGAGTTTTAAAAAAAGCTAGAAAATGGAAATTGTTTAGAGCAGAAGATCAAACATTTGATAGTAAGTATATGAATTGCTTTTGGATGTGGTCTTGGATAAATCTGCAAGAATGTTTCTCCTCCTTAACTAATAACATGAGTTCTGGTGACTTTATACTTGATTCGTCATTGGGGAATATAGATGCAGAAATAAAGAATATTTTCGCGAACCTCCTAACCTTTGAAACCATGGAAGGGTTAATAAATGCTTTTGCTACAGACTTATCAACTTATTAGAACGTTGGGGGGTCACAGTGATTATGACTTCATGATTTTGTGACCAACGGTATGATGGTGGTGATGTGGTTAGCATTCGGCATAACTGTCTTTACTTCCCAGACAAGATGGTAACCATCGAACTCAGTCCTCTACTATCTCAGCTCAGTGTCTGAAGGAGGTTTTCTGATTTAGGGGTTCAGTTTAAGCCTCATTTTAAATTTTTTTTTCCTTCAGGGAAATGAAAGGATAAGTTATAAGAAGGTTTCATTTTGGCACCTTTCAGCTACATTTTCAATTTTTTCTAGCCCGAAATAATTATAAATTAACATATAAAAATGGTGACGGATTTGTCAGTGCACACCAAGCATTGATGGTGTGCTTGCTCGATTTTTAAATTGTACAATCTGAAACAGAAAAGACCAAATATTAATGATTATGTATAAATGTAGCTATGGTTAGTATAAAAAAAAATCTGAAAAAGTATCTCTTTTTTTTAATCTTAAAATTGTCAAGAATAAAAAGATAAAATATATATGTACATATATTTTGCAATTAACCATCCATAAAAAAAAAAGTTGTAATTTTGGAAAATGTTCACTTTTTGTTGCTTTCAACTAAGGCCACATCAACTTTCTACAAATTCTCAAAAGCAACCTCAATATCCATCGAATAGTTTTACGGCAATCCAACTGCCCAACAAAAAAAATTATAATTTAATATATTTTTTGTTGTCAGAGTATAAGTGAGAGTCTTAATATTGTCTATATATAATTTTATGAAGTTATATCGCCAATGCCTGGACCTAGCAGCACATCTTCCTTGAACTCGTACATTTCATTGCCATGCACTTTTTCCATCTGGGCCACAAATCTGGCCTCTTTGCTGGACGAGATAGCCTTGTAGTCGGACCTTTTGTGTCTAATGTTGTGTTGCCAAGCCTTGTAGTCGGACCTTTTGTGTCTAATGTTGTGTTGCCAATTTGATTACCCATGACGTCTGTCGCTGTCAATCTCCTTAAAACCGGTGTTGAAGATCACAGTTAAATAATTGACCATTTCATCTACATCTTTACTGGAATATGTGTTTTGGAGAAAATGTTCGAATAAGGCATTCATTATTGTTTTGCCCGTTTGCTCTGAATATATCTTTCCAGTAAATTATCTTTTGATAGGTCTTCGTTTATAGGTTCGTTAGCTCCGTTCGTAAGCCCTCTACGGCTAGGAGCGGTCTGATTGTGTTTTTCGACTATATCAAATAGTATTTATTGTACCGATTGTTGCATACAACATTTAACTGCTTTCTTTTGTTTCTTGTAAAATTGAAGTAGAGCTACCTGAAAATTAGTAAATTTGTTTTGATCAATTTAATAAGGCTTCACCCAACACATAGTCTACATTTGCACTCGATTATTATCTACCTAAATTCCATTCTTGTAAAATAGAATGAAGAAATGTGTGTGCAAAAATGTTAGTCATTAAATTAGTTTTAATTGATTTAATATGACTCTTTTGATGTGCGAGTCAATTGTTCCTTCTGGTTTTGTAATTCTTGTTTCTTGCAAAAGCGATGGAGCAGAAATATAGGAAAAAGTTGGTCCAAATATTTGAACAGTACAATTGGTTTTTTCCAAAATTTATCTTTTTTTTAGTAGATGATTGCATCTGGTAGGTATCTATGCAAATTTATTTTTAGTGTAATAGAATGGAAAATTAGAGCCAAGAAAGGTTAATCAATAAATATCAAGTTTTTGACAGTTTTAATTTTTTTTCTTCATTTGAGTTAACTGAAAAATTGGAATGATTTTTAAGAAATTCAAAAAGAATAGAAAATTAGAATTATGAGAAAATTACTTTGATAAACATAATGTTCAGGACAAGAAAAATGTGCAACAAGTATTATAATTTTAATGATATTTTTATTTCACAACTGCATAAAAATGTTTGTGTTGTTTAAAAAAAAAAAAACATTTTAAGTGTTCTTCTTTTACAGGTGTTACTAGCCTTCCTTATTTCTCTGAGGATGAATCTGCTGAATCTTCTAATGCTGAGGATGAAGAAGAAAGTGAAGCTGGTGAAACAGAACCCGATACCGAGGAAGCATTTCTCGATGAGCAGTTGGAACGTCGTAGCAACGGTGGTTCTTCTGGTCCGAGGCCGAATCTTGCACCACAGCACATGCAATGGGCTTTACGCCAAAGAGAGTCGGGTCGTGGTCCAATTACTACCTCTGGTAGGTTGGGTATGTCTTTTCACTTTATTTTATTTTCTTAGTATTATATACCTGATCTATAATGATTTGAATAAATTTTATTTTATTTATGTCAGTAAGTTTTATTCATGTTTTTTTTTACATCATAGTACAGGGATGAAAGCATCAATCTTTTGATGGATTTTAATTTGTTTTGAAAAGTTTTAATTCAATGAGCGAGAACAAGAAAAAATTAAAAATTAATTGTGGAAAAAGTCTTTAACTCTAGCTTTGACATGATTAGTTATTCCCAGAAGTGCCAACTTTCCCGCATTTTGCGAGTGACTCACAAATTTTGTGTTCTTCTCCCTCCCTTTAGAATTGATACAAAAATCTCACGAATTTTACCTCAATTGACTGATGAACTCAAAATTACCCGATTTTTTTTTTTCTCCCGCTAAAGTAGAAGTTTTTCTTTCCACGCGAATTACGTTTCCCCTTGTAACTTTTCGTAATTAATCATACATGGTATATATAAATGAATTTCTTTCCATTATTACACTGAGAAAGGGTAGCGTATATGCTTTTTGTTCTGATTGTGTTTGTAATATGTTTATCACTCACGTTGGTAAGAATGATATTTTGCAGAAAACAAATGGGGAAAAGCACAAAGCGGGCTATTATTTCAGGGCAAGTAATATTTATTTTTATTTATTTATTTATTTTATTTTTTTGGAAGTTATTGCTATTGATTTTCACCTAGTTATAAGTATGCGGTATTTTTAATATGATGTTTATTACAACAATCAATCCCTTTTTGAAGAATCTGATTCGCATGATTTTGCAATTGATCTTTTTTTTAGTAGTTACTGCTGTGGATTTCACAGAATTTGTTTTTTTTTTTTTAATATGATGATTTGAAAAATGCAAGAAGGAAATAATTATTGTGCTTACCCCCACAAAATGCAAGAATATCACTCATATAATTTTTTTTTGCAAACACGAGGCTTTTTTTAAAAAAAATTAGTAATCTATATTTGTTATTACTTAAAGTATCTTGCAGAAAAATATTAGTGCTAGAGAGGTTTGTCGTAGAAAACTTCTTCTTGTTATCTCTATGAACCTTGTTTAGTGGTTGTCATCAGGCATCTAATTCTTCCACTAATTTGTGGAATTCAGTGAACCTCAAGACAGTTGATTCTCCGGAATCTGCGAATCAGTAATTTATATTGTGACAAAATTTTCTTGGAGTTGCACTGATCTAAAATTTACAATTTGTTTACTTATGCAAAATCTTGTTTATATGCAAAGTCTTGTTTATTTGTCCTGCCCTTACCAGTGCCCCCTTTTTTTTTCTTTCTGAAGCTCTCATTCTCTTGCAATATCGTTGCATGGAATTTTGATTTTTTCTTTACAAACTAGGAAATTACAGAAATTTTTGTTTCTTATTTTTGTCTTTTATAAAATGGTGACCACTCAAAGTTTAATCTATGGGATATCAAACCATGATATTTCTGCTATACTAAACTATTTAATTTACTATAGCATTATTCAAGTATGTTCAGCTTTTTTTCCAGCAATTATAACTAAGAAATATAGTTAGCAAAATATAGCTCTCACATGAGCACAGTAATTGTTTCCTCTTAATATATTGTGTATAATATGTACAGGGAAAACACATGGAATTCTTTTTTCCAGATCTTAGTGGCAACCCTGACGTGGTATTATCATAAATCTTTTTTACAATTATTGCTGTGAATTTCACAGTTTTGAAATTAAGGATTAAAAAAATTGAGAAAAAAGTTTTCAGATAATTTCTTCTTCCAGCAATCTAGTGTCTGTTTTATGGCAATGTGGACTTAAATTATCTCTTTTGAATTCTGTAGCTAACTAACGACTTTATTTTAAAATTAAAGAGTCAATGTTTGCAGTATTTTATTGTTGTTGAGTGCTTTGCTTGTGTCTGGAAAATTGGTGAAAAGTCATTTTTACTAAATTTTTTAAATTTTATTTTTGAAAGGATCAAGTGGACTCATTTACATAGACCCTTCGTCCTTGAGAAGAGCCACTGGAACAACTGCTTCTGTGTCTGCAACAGTGACTCAAGAATGTACAGCTACAGCCATCACGACATCCGTATCCCTAGCCAGGGCTTTTGCTATTTTGATGAGACAAATTGCTGACCTTGTGACTATGCTGCAAGATTACCATGCTCTCATGCCAAGTTTGCCAAGAATCTTGGACATTTCTTACCAGGATTCATTAAATTTACAGGTTTGTGCTTGTTTTTTTAATACCCATGTTTTTCACCCATCTTCATGTTTCAATACCCATGTTTTGCTGTTTGAAACGTGTACAATTATTGAAACGTAACTGATACGAAAGCTGTTTTTTTAAATAAGAGCCTCAGGGGGTAGAGCGTTTACCTTCCAATTAGGTGAACTGGGTTCGAATCCCATCGATGGTTGGTTGGTACGAATTCCGCATCCGGCTTGCAACAGTTGGTTCATCTTGCAAAAAGATGTACAAACTTTGCTGTTTCATTTTATATGCTGTAAACAAAAAAGAAAAAGAAATGTTTTACAAAAATAAGTAAATTATTAATTTGATGTGTGACCATTAGTTTGGCAAGATACATTTTGAAGGCAGTGAGTTATAAGTTTGTGAAAATTCTAATAAACAATGATAGACCTTGTTAATAGGTCAAAAAAATAAGTTCAGTCTCGAAATTTTTTTAGAGTGGCACCCATGATAGATTTTTTCGAAGAATTTATCTGAGCTAATATTTTTTAAAATTATATTGCCACGATCACAATTTAAAGCTGGTTGAGTTTTTACTGCAATATTGCCCCATGCAGAACATCAAATTGCATGTAAAAATAACAATACTTGAAAAAAAAATCAAATGAAATTATTAAAATATTTCTTTTTTGCTCAGTCAAAGCTTTCTTTTCATATTTATTTAATTTTTTATATTAAAAATGTGGATCAATCAAACAAACAAAGATTACAAAGAGTTTATTTATTTTTTTTTAAATTTTTTTTAATTTTTTTATTTATGTTAAGAAAGGTTCTGATAATATTAACAAATGTAAAGAAGATTAAAAGAAAATATATTAACTCCTAGACACTTATTTTATTTTATATAAATGGTAAGTAAGTTTAAGGTGTATTGAATTTTATCCAAAAATGACGACTATGCACATAATAAGTAAAAAACTTTTTTTAAATTTAAATTAGTCAGTGTTTTTTTTTTTTTTAAAAAAATGCAAGTGATCTAAATCGACAAATGCTGATTCAAACTTCACTTTTTCATCTGCAATGGGTAGTGCACACTTTTCAACCAAAAATATATCTATTTTCTGTAACAAGTTTTCTATATTTCTTCACAAAAGCTCTGCTTGAATCAGTCAACTCCAAAAAAAAAAATATATATATATATATATATATATTTGATTTTTTTTAAAGCTATATTGTCGTACTGTTTTTTATCATTGCTTATGATTGTTTTTTTTTTTTTTAATTTTTTTGCTTTAAAGACTCTTATACTTTAAATATCATTTGAATTTTCCACTGTATAGCTGATTCATTCATCTCACACCCAATTAAAGTCATTAAAATACCGGCTCAAAAATTGCGATTCATGTTACGTACGCATATGTTTCTTTTTAATCAGTTTATTCTGAATAGCAACTTTAATAATTTGCAGATTTATTTGGAGTATCACTTGAGACCAACATGGGAATGGCTTATCACCGTAATGGATTCCACTGAAGCTCAACTTCGCTTCGGCTGTGCTTTAACATCTGGTTCTCATCCCTCGCATCCATCACATCCTATGCACACATCACAGCATTCCAGGTCCAGTAAGTCTAGAAATGAAAATGAGGGGAGGTCTTCCGGTGGTACTACTGACAGTCGTCGTAGAGGTAATTACATTTTTTTCCTTTACACTTGAATCTATATGGAATCTGCTAACATATTTATAACTACTATCTAATAGCCACTTCAGAGGGTGAACAGGGAAAACCTCGGAAAGACAGGCAATTTAAAAATCACCTACTGGGAATTTTGCTTCTTAATTTCATCTTTTAAAAAATGGTGACCATTCAAAGCGTAATTTTCTGTCTGTGTAATATTTCTGTAGATGTGTACTTTCACATGTTCTGTAAAAGTTGTGTTATAAGGATTGATAATGAAATTCTTCTATGAGCTACTGCTATATATGTTTATCTACTAGGGTGACCCAGGGTAATTCACGATCACTCTGTTTCTGGGGTAAATAATGATCACCTAAGTTTTATTTCAAAAAAAAATTTTTTTTTAAATTTAAGACATGGAAAAAAATGCTTGTACACTTTACTAAAGTATAACTACATTTACTTAATAATAATTTTTTGTTTAATCTAACAAAATAAGTATCTTTTAAACTGCTTTCTGTATTTTCCATTTCAAAGATGCGTTTCAAAATGTACACATTTCTGCAAAGATCCCCCTTCTTCTCTTAATAATAAATATTTTGAGTCACTTTCTTTTTCTTTAATATAAAAGTAGTGTAAGCTTTTGTTTAATTGTTTCACATCTACTGTAAACATTATAATTGATTATAGGAAACTATATCAAATGTTGCCCCCTACAGATGGGGTAATTATTGACCACTGGGGTAATT